TTAAGTATAGACCTATTCTATAGAAATTATATCTAATATACTAAATCCTACCTATTAGGTAGGTATTCGCCTATAAAACGGACCTAAATAGGTACGTTATAAGATATAAAGCGCGCTTATATATATATAGAGACTAGTAGATTATAGAGGATCGTGATACGCGCGCTACTATACTTACTACTACTATATTATATATTCTATTAGCTATTATAGCTATATTTAACCTTAAAACCATATAATTAGATACTATTAACGTGTTCTTAAATAGTTAGCTAATAGATAACGTTTTCTATTATTATCTACTAGGATTTAGATAGAAAGGACACGTTTTAAAGCTTCTTTAAGCCCTATATAGTCTCTAAATTACCCTATTTCTATAGTAATAAGAACTCCATAAAGCATTAAGAGTATATAGTCTTAACCTAATTTTAGAAGACCTATATCTATATATAGGATAGAACGTGATTATTATAGTCTTTATAGATAATATACTAATAATATATTATTAGAAACACGCTAAATTAGCGTAGAAAATCAGGTTATTCCTTTATAACCGCTTTAAGATAAAAGATTATAGAGAATTATCTCATTTTATTAAGATATAAATTATCTAAGAATATATAACTTATTAATTATAGATCTTATAGGATATATATATTAATAAAATTACTTACTATTTTAATCTTACTAGATATACCGTACCTAAGACCCTATTACTATCTAAAAGACTAATAGAATTTAAGACTAAACTATCTCTATTATATACCGCTCTAAATAGATATTAATAGCGTATTAGAAGCCTTCTTTTTAACGTTATATCTATATAACTAGATATATACTTCTTATTATAAGCTCTATCCACGTTCTTAACTAAGGTATATACGTTATATATTACTATAGTAGATTACGTTATTAAATATCTATATAGGACGAAATACCTTACTATTAAATTTAATAGGCGTAAGCTAGCTACTTAGCTATTCTAGGCTACCTTAGACGCTAGCTTTATGGATAATCCTAATCAAAAGAGCTTAGAAGGGTATATTTTCTCGTTATATAGTGGAGCTATTAACTAGAAATCGCGTAAGTAGCGCACTATTACCACGTTAATAACTAAAGCTAAGCTTCTATCTATAATAGTAGCCGCTAAATAGTTATATTAGATTAAATGGTTATTTCGATTAATTAAGTTCAATCTTAAAGAGCCCTTTATCCTATAATATAATAACTAGTAAACAATCAATCTCCTTATTAAGTAGGACTTGATATTTAAGACTAAGCTAAAATATATAGATATTTAATAAAACTAGCTACATTAAGAAGTCTAAAATAGAAACTTACTAATTAAGTAGGTTCTAACCTTAGAGATGCCTACCGATGGACTAATTAAGCATCTTTTATCCTAATAATAATAACACTTCGTAGAATAGCTTAGTATAGTTAATGTATAGCACCTTATATCTAACTAGTCTAGTTAATTTTAATAGTTTAACCTATTATATTTCCTTAGTTATATTCTAGAATTTAATAAATTTTATAGGATTTACTTACTAAATATATAGATTTAATATACTATTAAATCTAGGGGGGTATATTAGAGAATAGAGTCCTTACGTGTTCTCTAAGTTCGCACTTTTTTACCAGAATTCTCCGCTATTTTATTTATGTTATATTATATGATATTTTACTTAATTTATTTATTCTATTTAATTTCTTCTCTAAATCTTAGGTATTTATTTCTTGTATTTTCGGCAGAATAGTTTAAATCTCATGCTAATTTCTTCTCTATTTTCTATCCTAAGAATTTCCTAAGAAGACCCTAAATTAGCTTAGCTTAACCACATTACCTTATTCATCTGATCTAATTCCCTGAGATTGGTAACCAGTTGCCCTGCCAATCTTAGATAATAGTAGTAAATAATAGTATAAAAGTACAAAAATAGATATATTAATTTAATAATACCTTCTATTTTAAATAGAGACTAATTCTTAAGGAATTCGTCTAACTAGAATAAGGCGACCCCTTTTATATTAAAACTTCAAGGGTTTAACTATAGATATCCTATTAATTAGCGGGGTACCAATATTAAATCACTATTTTACTAGGGTTAAAATGTTTACCCTTAATAATTTAATAGATTATCATATAGCTAAGAAATTATCTAGGTTGAAATATTTACATGCTATATTATCAAGATTCTTCTATTTATGATAATTCTATCTTTAGCCCTATAGCTGTTTAAATAACATTTTCCCTTATTAGATATTGAATGTTATGATAATTATATATAATAGTATCTAGTTAATTAAGATATTACTTTAATATTTCTATTTTAGAACTTTATTAGATATATTATTATATCTAAAACATATATTATTTATCTTCTAAAATTTTGAATAACGAACTTAATTTTCCTAAACATAGATTTATTCATAAATGTATATGTAGTATATCAGCTTTTAAATAGTTTTTAATATCAATCCCTACTTAAAAAATAGATGATTTATACAAAAATCTATTTATATCTCTTAATAACTTTCTTTTGATATCTTAAAATCTTTAATAGCCAAAGAACTTTAAATATAGTAGATTTCTATCTAAAATATTTAGATTTTCTAGACTAAAATAGACAAAACTAAATTCATATTATAATAAAATAAGTGTATATATTAGTAAATATGAATATGATCTAATAATATAGAAAAAAAGATATACAAGGACATAAAATAAATTCCTAGTTTTTGATAATAAACCTTTAACTAAACGATATATTATATTATAGATGTACTAAGTATATTTTTTTTGTCTTAGATAATATTAAGATAAAATAAACATTTTAGTATGTTATCTTTTTATAAGATTAAATAAACATTTAGCTTGAGAAAAATTGAGAAAACTTTTGAAGTTCTTTTGAAAATATACTAAAATATATATCTTCTTAGTTTTTTCATGAATTACTTCAGTAATAAAAAGCTTTCTAATGTTAATTTATTTTATTATCTAAGCTCGAAGAATATTCCTAATAAGATAATCTTTAGTATTGATTTATAGAATTAAATAAAATTAGACCATTTATAAAATTGACTTTTTCAAATTAGTATCTACTATACTTAACTGATAAGTATCACTTTTCATATAACTCTTTTTAATGGTTTTATAAAAATAAATAAGACTTATTATAAGATCCTCTCAGTATTTGACTCATCTTTTAAAATTATTTTAATGAAAAAAATACTAGTAAAGAATAAGAAAATCTATATAAATTACATATAGGGATCTAAAAATCACTAAACTATAATTTAATGTAGTTTAAAAAGAAAACCTATAGAAATAGAATTAAACTAGATAATATATATAATTCTTATAAGATAGGTAATATAATAAGGTTAATTATATTTATCAAAGTTATTTTTAACAAAGTTATAATAAAAGTAAAATATCATACTGAATATACCTTTTTATCATTTAGGAATTATAAGTAGATAATCTTAATTAAGTATGTAGATACATCTTGATATAAAATCTCTCTAATAATCACTTTTAAGAGGATATTATATACTGATTACTTACTATATAAGTAGCGTTCTAGAAGGTTATTAAACTATATTTAGGTTCAATAGATAGACTTTGAATAAAATATGATTTCATTAATTACTTAAATTCTTATTCTTATAAAAATAGATAAGACATATTAACTTTTACCTCTTAATGTAAATAGCACTTATCTAAAATATATCTATTCATTTAGAGTAAACCTAAAATAGTGATAATATAACATAAAGTAATATCTAAGATCTAATTTTACGTATTTTATTGATTTATAAAACTAAACTATAGATAAGATAAATCAGTTATTTTAAAAAAATAAGAATAAATTATCAATATTCCTTATATAATATCTATAGTAATGAAATTATATAATTAATTTAGATCTTTAATCTATGTTTTCTTAATTATTCCTATCTTTAGTAAATTAGGCTTTTTAGAGTTCTTTAAATTTTCTTTTTTTCTCTATTATCTCTATTTTATTTCTTATTTATATTAAAATACTATAATTTTACTATAATTAGTTAGTAACCCTTTTGAAAGAATTGAATTTAGGATAATAATCTTCTAGAGGAGAGAGATAATTGTTTTATCTATATTCTATTATATTTTCTTCTCTAGGGAAGTCTATTTAAGAATAGCTATTACTAGAGATAAGCTAGACTAGGTAAATAAATTCTATTGAAACTACTACTATTACTACTACTATTACTATCTAAGATTAGTAGGGTAACTAATTACTAATCTTAGGGAATTAGATTAGATAAATAAGATAATATAGTTAAGCTAACCTAATTTAGGTCTTCTTAGGAATGTCTTAGGATAGAAAGTAGAGAAGAAATAGGCATGAGATTTAGACTGTTTTACTAGAATACGAGAACTAAATATATGAGATTTAGAGAAGAAATCAAACAGAATAAATAAAGTAAGGAAAATATCACACAACATAATATAAGCGAAATAGCGGAGAATTCCGGTAAAAATGAAGGATAAAGTGCGAACTCAGAGAACATGGAAGGACTCCATTCTCTACTTTTATATTATTTTCAAATCTCAAACAAAGTTCCTAACTAATATAAATTACCCTCTTATCTTCATCTAGTCTATTTTCATATCTTCATAATAATCTAATATATTAGATCCTTTCTATTGTTGAGAAATTATCATAGAATATATATAGAGAGATCTACTTAGCTAAAATATCTTAAGACCGCCCTCTTATCTTGACTATTTCTTAAAATGATAATATAGATTAAGAATTAGTCGGCTGAAAATGAAACATTCTTCTATAGAGTAAATTATTATCGATTCCTACGAAGGCATAGGCTATAGCATAGCTAAGAGGAAAGAGGAAGAGGCTAGTAGGATAACAGGTATATGGGTATCTAGTAAACTCATTAGTTAGATAGAGAGAGCCTAGAGATTCCCCTTAGGCTACGATATGATTTTCATTTCAATTATTTTTGGTCATTGCCTTCTTCGCAGCGATGACTCTAGAGATCAGTGAAGTATTCAGCAAGGCATTTTGAGCTGCTTCATCCCCTGCCTCGACTTTACTTGAGCCCTGCCCTGAGCCAAGATGCATTTTTTCCCAGCCCCAGCCCGTGAGGTAGACTCCAATGAAAAACATCTGGGTACCACTGCCCTTTTCCTGAATCGGATCACGCTCGGGAAGATATTCCAGCTTGATACCCTTGCCCATGACTTTCTTTGCAAGCTCCTCCTTAGAGCGCAGCTCCGCTTTTTGATGCCCCAACTTGTCTAAAATTGGCGACCATAAACCAATCAGCCATTCTTCCGCCATTTCATAGCCCTTTTGTGGATCGGATAGTACGATCGCAGCCACATAAGCTTCGAAAATATCGCCCTTGGTCTTGATCCATCGCTTCGGCTGGTTGGAGTAGATCGCTGGTACCGAGGCTTTATGATCAAATCCATATTTCTCGGCGAATTTTGCAAGCGTCTCATTCTTGACTAATCCTTCTCGGATCTGTGATATTCTCCCAGCGGGAATCCCGGGATACCTGTCCCACACCAGTTTTGTTGCTATCAGTTCGATATATGCGTCTCCCAGTACCTCTAGTCGGTCGTAGCTGGCGTCGTTTGACTTTCCACAAGCCGGGTGCATAAACACAGCTCGCTGCAGTAGATTGTCCCGAATCGGTGGCAAGCTGGGCATTCTAGATTGATTTCGCTGTGGTTCTAGGGACGAATGGTTGGGCTCTGCAGCTTGAGAAGCTTGACAAGGTTCATGATCAAGCACCGAAGTTCCATGTGAATTCTGAAAAGCAATGTTCAGCATTGATATCGCTTGTGCGATCTTAGGTTCAGCACTGGCGATCTCGAGATCATTGGTTGCTTCTTTAACAAGGGCTTTCAGAAGAGAAAGCCGAGAACTGCTACTCGAGACCTGGATTGGTCGATTCTCTCCAGAATGGTTCTCATTTTGATGCCTTTCAGGCAAGTGGCTGGTCTTCACGCAACAAGTTAGTTGTATTGCAGACAAGATCGATGAAGAACATCTAGGGAGAAGATAGCCATAATCACCTTGGATCGTTTTGTGCATGGGTGGGATGCTGTGCTCCCCACAGAAGGCGCTGATCTTTTCGAGCTCATGACGGAGAGAACATCGCGATTTCGTTCCTCCCCCAGTCAGATTGTCTTTGGCAAGAACAAAGGTTGTTGGGCATCCGAGATTCGCTGATATCAAGTCCTGTGGTGGAACGGTCACATGACCTGGAACAATCAACTTCCAACGGCACCAGTCGGCATTCTTCCCAGTTCCTTCGCGTCCACTGCAGCACCGTGAAGATGTCGCAAGGCCGATTATTGGACCTGGTCAAGGTATGGGATTTCCTATTATTGTGAGATGCTCGCTAATAATTATCCGTCTTTACCCGCAGACACAATGCCGTATCTTCTCGCTCAACTTCAACCCCCAAAGACTCCGATTGGGCAATAAGATCCTCAGACAGCGACTTCGTGGCCCTGCGCTTGCAGCATGGTATCCCAAGCAGGAGGTTTCTTTTCGCGATCTCCAGAACACATACAAGCCTCTTGGCTTGACGACTTTTGATGAGGCTGAAGATGACCGAGAAGAGGCTATCCAAATGTGGGTACCCTTCAGTATTGTCACTACCCTGTTATCATACTAATTCACCTACTTAGTGCAAAGCTTCGAGGAAAAGGCCGACCGAAGAAGAAGCGAACTGCTGCAGGTAAATGTCCCCTGTTCAATTCCGATACCAGGAGATACACTAACAAGGCTCTTTAACACTTAGAATCACGATCAGCAAAAAAGAAGAAATAGAGGTATCATCGCTCGTGTTGAACCGAACACTGCCGTCACACCTGGTTGTGTGTCTCGAGTTGTGAATAGGATGAGATCTGCAAGCATGGAAATATGGAACGGGATTTTATCTAGCCAGGGTCCCCCCTTTCCATCATGTCTTTCTACCTGTGTTCAAGAACCCGGCTTCGTTGTACTATATACACACGTGTAATAAAGCGTTCATTATCATCTACATGCAGAGAGTTGGATCTGGTCCTTTATAAAACAAACCTAAGTTTAATTGGGACTTAGCCTTTTGTTCCATTTTGCAAGGTCCTCACGATCTCAATTTAGTTACTTTATTGACTGACACTTCAGATACATGTCGAAAAGGATTAGATTAAGAGGATTCAGCGTCAGCAAAATAGACCTTGCAATTTCAATATACAAGGCGGTGAGAGCCTTAACCAATCAGAATAATTATTGGCATTTTATCGCGACTTGATCTTCAAGACCGCGATTCATTTCTCAACCTTGCGACGCCAACTTCCCTCCCCACCAGCGATAGCTCTCCAACCAAAGGAAGTGAAGCTGCGGTCTCATCAGCAACGATGAAACAAAGTAAAAATCAACTTCGGAGGGCCCGAAAAAAGATTCAAAAGGCAGAGGTGAGTTCGCGCCCCTGCTCTCACATGCCCCAGGAGCTGACATAATTCCCCAGGCTGCGAGCGAGGCCATTGAAGATGCTCCCCAAGAGCAACAAATTCACCAAAATTCAGTCTCTAATACCTCTAAAGTACCGAGCGCTCCCGCTGATGGGCCTTCCCCCGAGGACAATGATCCATTATGGGAGATGTACAAGGGCATCGTCAGTAAATTTGACGAGACCGCCGGCGAAACAGCCACAACCAAGGATGTTGAGAAACCAGAAGTCTATTATGATGACGCAGACGACATCCCGGACGAGGAAAACGAACAAGAGCCGAGAATATCGAAAAAGAAGCGCAAGGAGATGAACAAGTTATCCGTGGCCGAACTCAAAGCCATGGTTCACAAGCCTGAAATCGTGGAGTGGACAGACACATCTGCGACTGATCCTCGACTTCTAATCCAGATCAAAGCCCATCGAAATGTGGTCCCGGTTCCTTTACACTGGTCGCTCAAGCGGGAATATCTATCATCCAAGCGAGGCGTGGAAAAAGCGCCCTTCGCCCTTCCCAAGTTCATCCAGGAAACTGGTATCGCGGAAATGCGTGATGCTGCTTTGGACAAGCAGGACCAGTCGAGCTTAAAACAAAAACAAAGGGAAAGAGTTCAACCCAAGATGGGACGCTTAGATATTGACTACCAGAAGCTATACGAGGCGTTCTTCCGCTTTCAAACAAAGCCAGAGCTGACTCGATATGGTGAGATTTATTACGAGGGCAAGGAATATGAAACCAATCTCAAGCACCTTCGCCCAGGCGAATTGAGCGACGAACTCAAAGAGGCCCTGAATATGCCACCGGGAGCTCCTCCGCCTTGGCTCATCAATCAGCAACGTTACGGTCCACCTCCATCCTACCCTGCCTTGAAAGTCCCTGGTCTAAATGCACCGCCCCCACCAGGTGCGATGTGGGGCTATCACCCTGGAGGATACGGAAAGCCTCCGGTTGATGAGCACAACCGACCGCTTTATGGAGGTGACATCTTTGGCGTCTTGCAGCCCCAGCAAAATGACCAGCAAGGAGAGCCGATCGAGAAAGATCTCTGGGGAGAGCTACAGGCATCAGAGGAATCCGAGGAAGAGAGTGAAGAAGACGAGGATGAAGAGGAAGACACCGATGAGGAGGAGGCTGAAGCCGAAACCCACTCCCCTAGTGGCTTGGATACTCCTAGTGGTATGGCTTCAGCGGCGCCGTCAGAATTTGTGGGAACGGAGAGTGTTGCTGGAGAATTTGACGTTCGAAAGCACCACCGAGGAACAGAGACTGAAGAGACTGTTCACCCCCGGAGCGCATACCAGGTTATCCCGGAGAAACAGACGAGCGTCCAAGGATTCTTTGGTGGAGATCGAGCGTATGATCTCAGTACGTCCTCCGGTAAACCTCCACTTCTTGGAGTTGACGACCAAACCCGAAAACGCAAGAAGCCAGGGGATGTGGACGTTTCGGTGGACTTGGATGCAATCCAAGCTGGCGATGGTCTCAGCAAAGAGAGTCTTCAAAACATGTACGATGTACAAAGACAGCAGCAAAACCAGCCACAATGGGGATTTCAAGAGGATCTTAGTGATATGATCGCACAAGAGAGTCGCAAGCGATTGCGCAAAGAAGAAGAGCGACGGGGCAAGCACTGAAGCCCTCACTTTTATCTCTCTCCTGACTATACCTGCTTTTCTCTTTAACTCTGAAGGATAACCCCGATAGCTCTGAAAATCAAACCTCGTTCCTTTTGTTTTCGCCAATGTATTAGTATCGATGTTGATATCCATGAATGTATAACCAATTCATATGATGTACACGCTTCCCGAAAGTGGTTTAGTTTCTCCCGTATCTCCGATCTCATCTTTGCAAGATCGTCATTTCTCCCTTATACCAACAACCCCAAAAATCTCAGTCCACCCAGTCATCAAGGATGGATTGGGATCGTAGAAGGTACATGCCTTTTCATTCAGAATTAGTGACATTGCTAACTGAGCTTGCAGATTCGATGACCGGCGAGGGGGCGAAAGTTATCGACCTGCTGACCGACCTGGTCGGTCACCCTCGCGAAGCTACGACGCCAGACACAGACGTTCGCCTCCTCGGAATCGATCTCGCCTACGTGGTGACACATGGTTGCCATCCAGTAGAGGCTATGGGCGTCCAAGAAGTCGTTCACCTCCTGAATACCGGCGTCGCTCCAGAACCCCTCCCTTCCAGGGCCGAGCCTTTGGGCCTGGTTCGTACGGTAGGAGGCGTTCTCCCCCCCCGACGGCTCTCTCCGCGGCGAGAGAACCGACCCAGATCTCCTCTACCATCATGGAGATCCAAGTCTCCTTACAGCGAAGGCCGATCGCGTGACGTATCTCGTGGCCGCAGCAGCCCAAGGCGTATCCGGGATGTATCCCCTGGGATTCAAGATTTGCGCCCAACCAGGCGGAATACCCCCCCCAAAGCTCCTACTGGTGAGAGAAGCATTCGAGCCCTCTCACCGAGAACGCAGAGCCCTTCCCGTCCCCTTCCCCGCCGAGACCTGCCTACGGACTTAAACCGGGGCCGATACTTTTCGCAGTCTAGGCCAGTCTCGCCTGCACATGCTGCGCGGCCAGAATCCAGCACTACATCAAAACGGTCTTCTCCAGCGACGGGCCCAGACCGTGGTGGCCTAACGCCCCGCAAAAGCCGCAGCCGATCTCCTACTCGCTCTTCGCCCCCCCCTCGACCTTCTGGGCTCTCAGGATCACCCCATGCCTACCGAGATCGCGATTCGATGCGAAACCCGGAGGCTGTTCACTCTGACAGGGGACCAAGCAATGCAGATCACCCAGAAAGTCATCCATTGGAGCCTGTTCAATCCCGGTCAGGGAGTTACGTCCCAACTCAGCCAAGGAATTTAGGGGTCCGCCAATCACCACCATCAGGGCCATCTCACGGACCTAAGGCCATACCTTCACAACCTCGAGGCTCTCATAGTATGTCATTTTTATCGGCACCAACACGCCCCCGTCGTGGCCCCCCGGTTCTCGAGACGGGCCCTGGCCCGGGGCGTCGATGGCTCGTCGCGGACCCTCGGTGACTGCACCGCACCCCACTCCTTCTGGTCCTCGAGCGTCCTTCACACCTCCGGTGCCTGGAGGAAATTTCCGCCATCCAGGATCCAAACAGAATAGCACTGCCTCTGTAGTATCCTCGCCCGTGTCCAAACCTCCGAATCATTTGGTTGGGCTGTATACCTTGGTCCCGGGTGGCCGGACTCTACCTTCGGCATTAGACGGGGCAATAGAGAAACGCCTTATTCAACTTGAATCTGATCAAGAGAAGCTTCTTGAGCAGATGGCCGAGTCGCAAAGATTGAAGCGAGCAGGACTCCGTGATTGGGATCGACTGGATCATGAAAGCTCCATCTGTGCACTCAAAAGCGACTTGGCTGAGGGACATCTACAACGTATGACAGATGAGACGATTGGAGGTGGCATCCCGTTCTGACGTGATGAATGTGATTTATGTAATTGTATCATCCGGCGTTTACCAGTCTTTTGGGGGTTTTCTTATGGTGATATGAGGTTAGGGAATATGAGAAGCATGGAATAAGGCGTGAACAAAATGTATCGGGACTTGACTTGGTTTTTTTTTTTTTTTTCAATTTTATTACAATTCTTATCCATCAAAAATCCGGTTTCTAATATCTCATGGATCTCATGTACAGTAGATCTTTGAGGGTACAGAGTTCCGGTTCCACTCTTAAAGTGCCGCTTGGCCCGCGCGTACCTGATCGGCAATGTAGCCCCTTCCTGGTTTCGTGTCAACAACTCTTCTCTTCACAACTCCTCGACAAAACTCGAGCCCTCCTGCAATCATGAATCTATTCAGGCTTTTAGGTAATTTGCCTCGCTTTCCTTCGTGCGCACTACACTGACCTCAAATACAGCCGATTTCTCCCACCTGGCCTCTATCTTCGTTCTTCTGCAGAAGATGAAGTCCACCAGTGTATGTCACCTTGGGCCTTCTCACGCTTATCGCTAATCTTGGGCTGCAGAGCTGCTCCGGTCTATCTTTCAAGTCGCAAGTGCTCTATCTTCTGGTTTTCGTCACTCGCTATCTTGGTGCGTTCCAATACTCCCAGCCCAAAGACTCTTGAAACCGGTAGGAATGCCATGCTAACCTACTGGCGATCGTTGATTAGATCTGTTCTGGACCTTTTTCGATTCGTTATACCTCACGACCTTCAAGCTTCTCTTCATCGGATCATCCGGCTACATTATCTACCTGATGCTGAACGATTACAAGCCCACCCACGATCCGAACATTGACACCTTTAAAGTTCAATATCTTCTGGGAATCAGCGCGATCCTCGCAGTACTTTTCCCCCATGACTACCGTTTTTCCGAGGTTTGTCCATATCTTCTATCGGGCATGTTGCGCCGAAGCGTCCCCCACTGATGACGAATAGATTCTCTGGACCTTCTCCATCTGGTTGGAGTCCGTCGCCATCTTGCCGCAGCTCTTCATGTTACAACGAACGGGAGAAGCTGATACAATCACCACACACTATCTATTTGCTCTGGGTCTGTACCGGGCTCTCTATATCCCGAATTGGGTGTACCGGTACTTCACCGAGGTCCATTTCCAACGATCTTTCCAACCTGTCCCCATCATTGCTGGCATCATCCAGACCTTACTTTACTCGGATTTCTTCTACATTTACTACAACAAGTAAGCCGTGATTCCCACGTGCGCCAAATCCCACCAATACTGATCATTCACAGAGTGTTGAAAGGAAAGAGGTTCTCCCTTCCCGTCTAGTAATCGCAAAGGTTACTGCAAGGGAAAAGGTCTTTCGAGCTTCGTAGAATGGCTCCGAGCTACCTCTCGTGGATTACCTATTCTTGAACATGCTCGTGTACAACTCCAGGTACACTCTTGGGCCTTTTTGGGAGAGGTCAACTTGCCTGATATAAGCATGTCCCGCCTCCGTCCCTCCTTTGGTTATGAATGTCTGATCATCCGATCTGGTCTACGAATGTCATGACGCCTTTCACATCGCTTCGGCTATCCCTCGAATTTCTAAGTTCGTACGCACATTGATACCGCTCTTGTGTAGGGAGCGGCTTGCGTAGCTTCGACTGCCCCATACCGGGCTAACCGATACCTTTGACATCGGTTCGGGATATTCTTTCCCCCGATCTTTTCCAGTCCGAAAGAAAACACAGAATGTAATAATAGATATATCAATCTTTTCAACGTTGCATTATTCAACTTTTCTACATCGTATTGATGCCTTGGTTTCCCCATTTCCTTTTTTTTTCTTTTTCTTTGCTTCGGATCTCCCCCTCGCAGGTGGATTTGTCGACCAAACCACCTGGGTACTTCTTCATAACCAACATCGAAATCAAAACTTCACTTTTTTGAGGGGCAATTGAGTTTGTGGCATATCATGGATGCCCACCAAAGACAAACTCCATGAACAGGAAACACAAAAAATACGTCAAATCATGACCTCACGCCATGGCCCTGAATGCCCAGCTCAAAGTGACTAGTACTCACGTTGAGGTGGCGGTCCATAGGCTGGGCCATATCCGGCTGTGTAGCTAAGTTGCGAGCCCGGTACAGAAATATCGGAGAAGTGGTCTAATGGTCCTGTGATCGAGTGTGTGAGACTGCCCATGGGTCCATGGGCAGACCGGATCCCAGTACTCAAGGTGGATCGACCCTGTAAGTTCTGGTGGCTATCGATCCACCCATGACTATGTAACTGACCAAAATAGTCGGACTGTGCCCGATCAAGCGGCACCTGCCCTCCAAACGTTGATTCCCGTCTTGAGATAGGTGGCGAGGGCAGTTTGGGAGATCGAGACACCCTATCGAGGCGGGGGAGCTTCGCCGAGAACTGGGGGGGGTGAGGCGAGATCCGCCTCGACGCACTTGGCATGTTGGACAAATCTTCACAAACCGAGAGATCAGTTCCTTTGGAACCCTACAAACAACAAGTGATGTGGTTAGTGACCAAAGGCTCTCTCATCTTTCTGGGGACGCTTACCAGGAGTAGATGCGTCGAACTTGGGCAGAGGTCTTGTCGCGTCCACCATGTTGGCATTGCTTGTGCGCCTGGGTCAGGATTTTGAATAGTTTCTCGCGGATGGCGACGGGTTTTCCCTCATGGCAGATCATTTTGCGGCACTGGGAGGACTTTGTTAGAATATAATATGGCGTGCAGTTGGCAGGAACCTACATCGGTTGTTCCCATCCCGGCACTTTGAAGTTTGAACATCTTTTTCACCCAGAAGCTGTAGATATTTCAGTTTACTATTATGGGACCTTTGCGGAAATGCTTACCGAAACTGAGCGGATTCAATCGCCGTATCTTTCGGTTCCATCAGCACATTCTTGATGTTCCGTGCTCTTTTGGCATGAATCAGTGCCTTGTCCTGTTTCTTCACCGACAGTTCATTGACGTAACTGACCCGAAGACATACCATTAGTTTCCAGGTCATCAGTGTAAGCCCCAAGGGCTATAGGTAGACCTACCTCTGCATCAATTGGTCAAATTCCTTGACATCTGGGAATCCATCCAACGGAGGCACTACAGCTTCCGACAGCATAGTACCCTCGTTATGGGATTCTTGATCCTCAATCTCCGTTTCACTAAGAGCCTCGCGAAGGGGCAGGTATCTGGCTGGCAGGTATCGTGTCTCTGCCAAGTATTGCGAAGACGAGTTGTGCAGCCTAATGTCATCAGAGGGAGGCATTGAAGGAATGGTGTGATCAGTCTGATACGGCAAATGCTGGATGCCAGCAGAGAGACCAGATTGCTGCCCATAGGAGGGACCGAATTGAGATCCATAGGGATTGAACGAATGCTGAGGGAAATGATATGGGCCAGATCCGGTCGTGTTGAAGTCATGACCACCTGAATGACTGTAGGTCCCAGGAACAGCCATCTGTTGGTTCATGAGATAGCTATCGTTTCCTTCATTCCGTCTCGCGAAGTTGCCCATTGTGTCAGATGCTTTTCAAATATCAGAATACCAGCGATCCAATGTTCTCACGAGTACACGAGGAGGTTGTATAGAGAAGAATTGAAAGAGGGAAAGGCACAGGAGAACGAGTGGATAGGCAAAGAGGCAAACGAAGATATCGAGAACGACCCAGTGAAGACAGCTCAATGATATATAGAAAGCGAGACAAAGGACTAGGATGAAGACGATGATTATGGGGTAGCAATTGTATTAAAAAGGACCTGCAAGACCCCCCCCCCCCCCAGGCCAAGCTTGCAGGACATGACCGATGCCCAAGAGAGTGCACGAGACCATGTCGAAACAGAGTAGGGTAGAAGCAACAGAGGGCATCCCTGGAAGCCAGACTGCAAAGATTCCACAGAAAAAAAAAAAGCAACAATAGAAAAGTCAAGCAAAGCTCTGTAAGGTACGGCCGGAAAGGGTATTACCCAGGGTCTGCAAGGTAGCAAGTAGAGAGATTGAGGGAAAACATGTAAATTCATGGAAACAAAAATCCAATATTCATGTTTCCGGGTGGATTTTCGTTTCCCAAAAAATAAAAATAAAAATAAATAAATCCAAAACAGATGCAAAAAAAGGAAAAGAAAAGAAAAGAAAGCAGCAAAGGTCAGAGGAAGACCGAGAGAGAAGCAGCAGAGAAGGACTGGGGTTCGTGGTCGAATTCTTTCCGACCCGCCGAGGGGATTGAAGGGTGAAAGCAGGCTGATACGACAGCGCACACAAGCAATGGTGATACGGATTCCTGCCTCGATGCCCGGCGCCACCATTTGCCTCATGGAGAGCCACGTTGGGCCCTGTCGAGGCCACCTATGGTAACAGAGTGGGGTGGAGTAGGGAAGATCGGCTCCATATACCGGGGGGCCAAGGAAGACCTCCCCGATTATGACGGCGGAACAAACTCCCCGGAAAAGAACAAGAAGCGAACGTAGGGCTTTGTTTCTGCAGGTTTGCCTTCGTCAAACAAAAGTCGGGCTGGAGATTGCTCCGGCAAAAGTCCAAACATGCACGTAGCCGTCCGTAAGGAACATGGATTGGGGAGCACTTCCAGGCTATGCGAAATGGGCATGAATAGGGCCGAAGAGCGACCTCCCCCTGCCCGCCTCCACCGCTTCGCATGTCATATGTGATTTGTGTTGGTAGATCGTGAGCTGTCAGGGAAAGCGCTGGTGACTTTGACGTGGCGTTGATGCCAGGGCACGGCGGGATTGGGTCTGATGGGCAATCAAATGCATTATGCGGGATGACAGGATTGCATGCGTTTGGCCCGACCGCGACAAGTGAGACACCGTGTTCGATGAACTTGGCGCCGGACCCTCGCAGCACGGCATCTGGGCCAGTCGCAAAACCGAAAAGGGGCTCGAAGCCAGAGTGAGTTATACAATCTATCACCCGGTGTCACGCTGCTGCTTCCCGATGATCTCTATGAGAGCTGTCAAGAAGAAAAAGAAAAAGGAAGCGGAGAAGCAAGCGCGCGTATACCCTGGAAACCCCGAATCCGAGTGGTTTCGGATCTGCCTGGGGTGAGGCTGCGGTTGTCGATCGTGACCGCATGGATCTTCCTGGTTGATCGGATGCAAATCATGCAACTGGTCCCATTGACGGAGCATAGTGCCGGTAAGAAACAAACTGTATATTGGAGGATAAGGGGGCGAATGTAGTACAAGCAAAGGAACAATTGAGCGAGAATTGTCAGGGAGTCTCTCGTACCCCCTTTTCTCCAGTGCATTAGGTGCAGTATGTATGTACTAAGTTGGGAAAAAACACATCACAGAGACAAATATAGTTACAGAACAGCTTCCAAGAACCGTAAATTCGTGCTGGCCAGTTTCATCAAGGCCAATAAAGACAAGGGTCTTTGCGTCATTAGTTCGTGTATCCATGCTCAAGGAATAAGGATCATCGGGGCTTCTAGAGCTCAACCACCTTAATCGGCGGGGTGCCCCATGCCATCAGTCAGGTCGCGGATGGCCCATCGCCAGTGACCATCACCATATCCACGGTCAAAGCCAATCCACTTGTCTACCTTCCGCCTCCACTTCTCTTCCTCTGCTCTCTGGCGGCGGATGAATTCTGGGCCCACATCAAATTCTTCGGTGATGGGCCCTTCGTCGGAAGACTCCCCTGCACTCGGATCATCCCTGGTGGTATTAGGGGTGGATCCGACCACTGTTTCAGAGTCTCGTTTGATGCCGATGGTCTTATCATCTAAATCATCTAGGCCGGCAAAAACATCGTCATCGTCCTCGAGAGCGATTCCACCTTGCTGCCCGGATGCGAGAGGCGTGGCTCGAAGCCAGCACATGCGCCGTGGATCAAAGATCATACCACCTACAGCTTGGGCATTATTCACAGCACCCACATTACTGATAAGAGCTGGAGCGGGTTTCGGTGATTTGGGTGCAGTCGCGATGTCGAACTCCTGTACCAGGTTTTCGTTACCTTCCCAACGAAAAGTGTCAGGGTTGTAGTGCATGCCTCTCACGGCTATGATATAGATTAGTTCTTATCTAATGACAATGGAAATTTTGGTGAAGATTAAGGATTCTCTTACATTTAGACTCCTGCACCCCCGATCCCATGGGCTTGATCAAATGAGGCTTAGATTGAGATTTGGTGGATGATCCACTTTTGCGGCTGCGAATCGGCGCGGCAATTGGAGATATTCGAGATATGGGGTGGGCCTTCCAATTCGGATTGAAGGAACCAAGTGGGGTCGTATCACGGTTTCGGGGGTTTATGGATGCAATACGCTGCTCTCGCGCATTCCGGGAGGCATTCGTGTCTCGGGCAAAACGTGGCGTAGATGCCGGAGGCTTAGAGATCGTGGGTGGTGTAGAGGATTGTGTCGGGGATTCGCCAGGTGGAGTAATGCGGCTCTGGCTCAGCCTGGCACGCACTGATCGAGGGGCACCTCGACCGGCAGGGTTCTTGGTAAACCTGCTCTCTGTTGAGACCGATGTAGGCAAATCATCAAAGGACTCCAACTCGGTTCCATCTCCGAAATTGCGTCGCCTAGTCGGTCGAGTTAGTGTGCGTTTAGCCGTTGGGCTAGCGCTCTCCGTTTTGCTGTCGTCGAGGCTCAGACGGAAACCTTCCGGTCGGTTTGATCGTGAAAGTCGAGAGTAGGTGCCTTGGGGACTGAGTAGGTCACTGGAGCTATCAGAGTTGTGGCGACGAGCAGGACGGTATGTTTTAATGTTGTTTTGGTGCGACTGCCTTTCCGATGCACTTGGTGGAATGAACGGAGCTGGCGGCCTCCGGCTAGATGTTCTTCCTCCCACGATCGTGCGTTCCACTGGTGTCTTTGGTCGATTCACTGATGGACGAATATAGCCATCTGGATTGGATGGCAATCGTTGCGGATTCTGAGCTGAAGAAGCGGATGCAACGCCACGAATGGAAGGCAAGGACCTCTTCGTGCGAAGTTGTCTGGGAGGCGTACAGGAATCCCCGGCGGGGGCTGCGGCCTGAGGAGCTCGCGCTCCAAGAAGCCTTCGGCCTGCGGGGTTTGGATTTGGAGAATTTGAAACCACACTAGCAGACTGAAGACTGGATATTGAAGACTGAGACGAATGCCCAAGTCGGGACTGGGGTCTTTGGAACTTAGATATTGGCGCACCACTTTCTGAAACGGTCTCAAGATGGGTCGAATGATTCCTGTCATGGCCAGATAAGCGTGGGATGCGAGTGTTCTGGCGAGGGGAGCCTGCTGTGTTGACTGCACCAGTGCCGGAAGTAGTGAAGGTCAAGGTTGTTGAAGATCGCCGCGTTGGGCTGGCTGGCCACTCTGTCTTTCGTTTTACATTGGGGTTAAGGGTTAATTTCTTTGATGCGAAAGCTTTCCCGTTGTCAACCTCGATGCCAGAGAAAAAGTCATCCGCGTCCGACGACTTCCCAGCCAGAGATTCCTGCTTGGCTTCCGCTAAGGCAGCATTCTCATGAGTGGTTTCCTCTTCTCGTCTTTTGAGAGACGCGGTGAAATCCAATGGTCCATCTGGGAATACTAGGCCATCCAGGCCGTCCTCTTCACTTTCCGCGGTCAGACAACTTGAAACGCTGGGGCTGGCGATAGATATCGAGGAACTAGGAATTGAGCGGCCATCTCGAGCTGTCCCGCCAACTCGGACACCGATGCTTCCTTCGGACCATTCTAGATCAAAGTCCTCTAAAACGGGGCTGGAGACGCCAGTAGTATCTTTTCGATGTGATAGTCGTAGGGATTGGCAGTCTGGCGGCAATTCAAGGTCTTCATCAAAAAAGTCTGCTTCTTGTTCCGCATTTAGGTTCCTTCCAGCCGCCTTTGTGGCAATCTTCTGTGGGGATCGTGGGTTGGGTGCTTTAATGGTTGGAACATCCCAATTGATAGGGCCATCATCTTCATTATCCCGAAAGCGATCTAGATTTCCCAGCGCTGGTTGCAGGCGAGTTGGGATGTTCTCATCCCAAGATGAGGAAGCTGTAGACTTCACCGGACTTGTAACTGTTGAGCTTATCTGTCGGATTGATTCTGGAAATTTCACCTCTTGAGCTGTTCTGAGTTGTAGTATTGCATCCGGACCAGGGAGCTCTACATCCTCAGACCAGTCATCTACAAAGCTCCTCTTGGGCTTTCGAATGGACAGGCGCTTGATGGCACCTCCGAGAAGCGCAGAGCTAGGAATGTTGGCGGGAATAGGAATCCCTGCATTTTTGGCCGAGGCGAGAGCTTCTTCTTTAGCGAACTCATCGTTGTCATGTAAAGGGACCTGCCAGTCTTCGTCTCCAACATTTGAGTCCAGATCGGACCGAGCAGACCGCCTCGACGATATCGAATCGCGATGACCGGATGGTCGGAATGAAGAATTGGCCATCGACCCTGTACTGGATGCCGCACGGGATTGAAGGCCCTCAGTAAATTGTAAATCGTCATCATCATCCCAGCATTCGATTTGCTCGTCTTCCTCCGGTCGTGTTTGAGGATTTATCGACTCCATTATGAGCGGCAAGTGTAGTGTATAGGGTAATAGAGTCACACAGAGCAATTTTATCGATTAAGTAGTAAACTCCGAGCTTTGCGGCGCTGACACATAAAATCGAAGATGGGGCGTCATCCCGTGATGATTGGGCGGAGCGAATGTGAAAGGTCTCTCCTCTCTCTCTTTCTCTGCTTTGTTATTTTGCTTTTGATAGATTTCTGGTTTGTACCCCTCTATCTGTAGTGCGTCTGTAGGTGAGGGTGGCTTCTGGTTGCGAGTCCCCCAAATTCGAAGGGGCAACTGAGGGGAGAGAGAGGGTAGGGGTTCAGGGGTATTGATTTCAACAGCAGGTTACCAGAAATCACCCCTCCGGTAAGGATCCTGGGAAGACAACAGATGTCAGGAGGTTTCAGGAAAGAACCAGTGGTGAGAAGGCTGGAAGAGGAGAGAGAGACGTTCCCGGGAGAGGAACGTGCTTGTGGACGCGGTGGGGAACTGCCCACTGTGTACGCACTCTAGAATTCCAAGCTTAAGACCTCATGTCAAGATGTATCTTAAACCATATCATTTGCCCCCTCCCTTTTAAACGAGGGAGATAATCATAAAAAAAAAATTAAATAAATAAATATCAGAAATAATTCAAGCAGTTGATGATGCTGACAAGTTGTGATTAGAGAAGGCCGGATATACCTTTACAGATGCCTCTCTACGGGCACACCAAAAGCGCATTGTTGCCTGGGCAAACGATCGGGGCTCAACGTTCGTGACAACCACCAAGGCATTACATAAATCTCCCCAAACACAAGGCCTACGAAATGTCTCGGGTTTTACGATTCGCTCGTTCTGACGAGGAAAACGAATTCGTTCTTCTCCATGTCGTGAAGTTGGGTCCGGCGGCGCTGGACCTCTCTCTCACTGCCACTGAAGGCGAAAGCCCATATACGGCCAGAGGTAAAGTCCTGGTGAGAACCCCCACCATAATTACGCTCACTGATACCCTCATAGTCCAGGAGTCACATCTCAAAGAACTATGCGCCAAAAGCTACCAGGGCCCAGACGAAGAGTGGACACAGATCATCGCGTATGTATTGGGACAAGCTGACCCGACCCAGAAGCTGCCAGCATGGTCGGGAGTGGCGGCCTCCATTCATATCACAGGTTCGACGGAGGAGAACAAAGAGATGGTCATAACCGTCCGAAAAAGAGTCCAGTCAATCACGGTTTGTGAAACTTCCCCGATGGCAAGACACACATACAACAATCCTAACTTCAATTTTTTGTACTTAGCAAAGGCTTGGTGCGATAATTCTCAAGCAGAATGACCAGCAAGCGATCGAGCTGTTCGACTGGTCAGGTCTTGCTGCCGCCAGAGCGGGCGAATTGGAAAGCCAGGTCATTGACTTGACAGATCGAGTTCATGCTGCAGAGGACACGGTCCAGAAATTGAACGAACAACTGGAGGAGCTGATGCGGGCCAAAACCCAGCATGAAGTCCAGCTTGTGGCTAACTTCGTTCAACTTCTGAATGAGAAAAAACTTAAGATACGTACCCAGCAACGGCTTCTAGCATCCGCAACCATGGACCCCACAAAAGGTATCTCCCATTCCCTTGACCCTGCCTGGACCTTCTCAGAAGAATCATACTATCTGTTGTTAACTAATACACGCCCATTGGAAACCAGCCGCAGAGATACAAGCAGCCACTGCGAAAGTCCATGCAACCCGGGGAGAACCGCAGTCCACAAAACGAAATGCCCATGATATGGGTGATAAAAATGGCGATATAGAGGAAGACTTTGAAAAAATGGACGTTGATCAAGAGAAGAACGATGACCAGGATACTGATGCAGGAGGCCAATACACGCCACAGCAGTTGGAGGAAGGAAACACGACTACCGATGATGAATTTTGGGGACTAGAGACAGCACAGGCGTCCGTCAAATCAGATCGGACCAGGGTGGAGGGTTCATCGTCCAAAGCAGCGGCCCCGCCACCGCGCAGAGAGCTACCCTTTACCAGACGAGGACCATCGGCGAAGGCAGAGGTAGCCCCTGCTCCCAGTGAAGTTGCCGAAGAAACTGCAGGGGAGACAGATGATGATGAGCTGTGATCGTTACTTCAACGGGCAATTTAAATGTCAAGAGCTGGTCCATGATGAAATAACCTAATCAAAATTATGAACATGCAAGACCTAGATTACAATCCACAAATTGACAAATTCCAATTACCGCAACCTCTTCTTATCAGGCAAGGGCTTGGGAGTATGAAGACAAGGCCTCATGGATGCAGGGCCCAGGAATTATAAAAGGCCATCGTCCTCTCGAACGAGATCGTTTTCTCCGAGACGGAAGTTAAATTTTGTGGGTCTCAATCATTTTATGTACAAGTTAACCCCGACCGATTATTCCCAGGCAACACCAGAGAGTGGGCGAAAGAGGTCAACCACGGAAACAAGATGAACCGGCGTTGAACGTGATGGGAGAAAACAGAATATGGAAAGGAAATGGGTACATCAAAGGGAGGTTTAATGTGGTACAAATAACAACGCCTGCAACCATTAGTCAAAACATGGAATCAATCAGCGGCTACTGAAGAAGAACAGTCTCCAGCCCGTTTAGCCGTACAGTGCCTGAGGAGACATTTCGCCCGCGGCCATGAAGTTGGTCTCGGGGTTACCGGTGGCCTTCGAAGCCGAGCAGCGGGCCATGGTGGGTGAGCTGAAAGATAGAATGTAAGTATAAAGTATGAAGATCAAGAGATGGATAAGGGTACGAACCTTCGGGAGATGGCGTCAGTGAAGAAGAAGTCCTCAATAACCTTCTTGAAAGGAGCTCCAGTGGCCGATGAGCCCTTATTCTGATCAGCCAGCTGCACCTTGCTCAATGCGCTGACGGAGGTGGGTTCAACAACATCGTAGCGGCGCATCACCGGGCTGATCTCTTCCATGCGGTCACGGAGAGCCTCGATATCATCATAGGGAAGAGGAACGCCAAGGAACTCGCTGGTGGCGCGAATGATCTTCCAATCATCACGGGCTGCCCCAGGCATCGAAGTAGCCGCGCGAGTCACCTGCACACGGCCTTCGGTGTTGACATAGGTGGCAGACTTCTCGGTGTAGGCTGCACCAGGCAGAACAACATCTGCCAGCTGAGCACCCCGGTCACCATGGTGACCCTGGTAGATGACAAATGCATCCTTCGGGATTTCACTCTGGGCAATCTCATCGGCGCCCAAGAGCCAGACCATCTTCGGGGTGGTCTGGGCGACTTCGGGGGATGGAGCAGTGAATCCCACCTCGTAAGCACCCGCCCGAGACGCGGCGCGCTGCAAGACATTGTAACCTTGCCACTCCGAGGTGCTGAAGCTACCGGCGTGCTTCTCGACGAAGCTGCCGACGGCCTCAAAGATAGCCTTGGCATCAGGGTGCTCGGCAGCTGCACTACCAACGATAATCATGGGCCGTTGAGCAGAGCCGAGCTTCTTGCCAAATTCACCGGACAGAGCAGCCTTCAAAGCGGAAACATCGACACCCAAGTGGTCATAGTCGAAAGTGCTGTCAAACTCCTCACCAACGAGCCCAACTTCCAGATCCGAGCGCAGGTATTGCTTACGAATACGGGCGTTGAGAACAGAGGCCTCGTGGCGGGGGTTAGTGGCAACCAACAGGATAGCATCAGCCTCCTCGATACCATAGATCTTAGAGTTAAACAAGTAGTTAGAGCGAACGTCGATGCCGTGGGCAATAGGAGCACTGCCACCGGGCTGATCGAGGGCGAGATTGTCTGAGCCCAGCTTGTTGGCCATATCTTTCATTGCGACAAGTGATTCGGTGTCGACAAGGTGTCCAGCGACAGCCTTGAACTCATTTGGTTGCAGTTGAAGTTTCTGCTGAGCTGATGAGATTTCGACCAAGGCCTGTTCCCAAGTAGCAGGGACAAATTTGCCCTCGCGACGGATCAGGGGAGTAGTGAGTCGCTGAGTCTTCAATCCATCGCACGCAAAGCGCGATTTGTCGTTGATCCATTCCTCGTTGATGTCATCGTTCAGTCTCGGGATGATTCGCATCACCTCCATTCCCCGACTATCAATACGGATGTTGGAGCCAAGTGCGTCCAGAACATCAATGGATTCGGTGTGCTTCAGCTCCCAAGGGCGAGCGCGGAAAGCATAGGGCTTGGAGGTCAGGGCACCAACGGGGCAGAGATCGATGATGTTGCCGGATAATTCCGAGTCAAGGCTTTGCTCCAAGTAGGTTCCGATCTGCATTTCATTTCCACGGCCGCTAGTTCCCAGCTCAGGAGCACCGGCGACATCATTCATGAATCGAACACAGCGAGTGCATTGAATGCATCGGTTCATCGAAGTTTTCACGAGGGGGCCGATGTTCTTGTCCTCGACTGCACGCTTGCCACTGACCTCGTGGAAACGACCTCGATCCGCTCCGTAGCGCATCGACTGGTCTTGGAGGTCACACTCTCCTCCCTGGTCACAGACGGGGCAATCCAGGGGGTGGTTGGCGAGAAGGAACTCCATCACACCCTCCCGGGCCTTGTGCACTAGCGGCGAGTTCGTCTTGACCACCATGCCTGGCTGGACCGGCCAGGCGCAAGATGCCACTGGCTTCGGGGCTCGCTCAACCTCGACGAGACACATACGGCCTAATATAGATACACGTTAGTATTGCGATAATAAGACCACTCAAGATGAGAAATGGCCGCAACTCACAGTTTCCCGCAATCAATAGTTTTCTAGTCACTGTGTTAGTAATGTGAATTATCGGATGCATCGGTATTGGAGTACATACTCATGGTAGCAATATCTGTGGGTTAAGTTAGCATGGGGTACATGAAAGCCTGGGTCCATTGAGAGTGACACACCTTGGGATAGTAGCACCTGCTTGTTCGCATGCCTGGATGAGAGCCGAACCGGCTGTTGGGGACGTGAGTATTTGGCCAATTGCGACGGCGGAAATGAATGTTACCTTCGACAGAAACCTTCTTGCCATCTAGATGAGGAGTTAGCATGTATGGGGCAGCCTAGAGAAGATGTTTAGGCCATACCAATGGTGAGTTCCACCTCGGCCGCGCGACGGGCTGTCGTTGCGAAGGGCCGGGCTCGGGGCACCCGAAGAGACCGGGCGGCCGCACGAAACAGCTGCGGCCGCATTATTGGAAGAGGTCGATGAGGAGAGGGGGAAAGGTTGGGGAAGGGTTTGATGTGGATGAGGGGGTGGGAGGGAAGAAGGGAGCTCGTTCAGACGGACTTCGAATCTGCTTTGCATTACATAATACAAATGCTGACCATCCCTGGGCTGAGTAAGTCAGTCCTCACAAATGGCTTTACCCGGATTGGCTCGGTTACTTTGACCCGGAAAATTATAATCCCGGGTCCGTTCTTCCCCTTAAAAAGCGGCTTTCTCCTATGATCTACTTTTGGAAATCATCTCATTCACGGGCATCATTTATTGTAGGAGACAGGCTCAACCTTTCCTGTTTCCTCTACAGTATTGTCCAAGAACAATGTCCCGAACTGGAGCAGTCAAGGGGTTTCCCCGATTATGATATTGTTCTTTACCGACGGTGACTACACACTGCCGCTCATAGCGTCTTGATTTTCTTCTTCTACCATCATGGAACCCGTCCACGAATCGTCAGCGTCGCTTACAATGCAATTCAACTAATGCTTTATATACCGCCAAAACACATAGACAAATGCATACTTCCTGCTTCCATAAAACATTGTCCTTTGATCATCTTCCCTTATGCTTGTTGCTCTTTTTCAAGAAATATGATCATATACCCGCTACATCTTAGAGCCGTCGAACTCATAAACCCGGGCACTTATAGGAATGAAACCGAGAAAGGTATTGTACTAAGGCACACATCCGCTCGAGACTCTCATAGATACAGTCACTACACTGTTGCCTTTTACTGTCGCCCTACTTTGGTGCGCAGGTCTTAGACTTCAGGTCAGAGAGTCAAAAGATTATAGTCATATACATCTCAAACACCCAGTCGGCTCCTGATGGATGCTAGCGCCAAGGAATATCCAGCAAGCCAGTTCGGCAGATGTCATGACTCGAAATTCGTCCTCATAATCCACAACGCCATAGTATAATACACCGAATTTCCCCCATATGGTCCAATGCGGCAACAAGACGAAGAAAGAAACATCGGGAGAGAGTGGGAGAAGAAAAAAAGAAAAAAAAAAAGAAAGAAAGAAAGAAAGAAAGAAAGAAAGAAAGAAAGAAAGAAAAAAAAATGCTATGTAGCTACAGGAGAATCATTTGTCTGCCATGTTGATTCTTGTTTGGTTCCCGGGAGCCAAGTCCGAGAAAGACTAGCTCCGCGAGGTCGGACACGTCCTGGGCCATCGTCCTCCTTCTTGGAGCTGTTGGTGATATGGCCATTGTTAGACGTGAAAGACTCAAATGATCGTGGGCCAGGGAAAGAATAACCATTCGAGTCCCACGGCTTGCTGGAGTGTTGGACATTCGTGGGAAGAATCGACTCCCGCGCGCGAAAGTGGTCTGCATTCGCGCGCTGGTCAGCCACGTCGTCGTGGCTATTGCGATCATACAAGTAAAGGCCCACAAAGGTGAGGCCAATTCCAACAGCCTGGATGGACGTGGTTGTGCTTCCAAACCACACAATCGCGACCACGATGACGAAAACCCGTTTGACCAAGGAGGCGACTGAATAGGAGACGGGAGACACCATGGACAAAAGCACAAAGGCCAGGATATTTTGGGCAAAATGGGAGATACCGTTGAAGACAAATTCAAGGACCAGAGCCCCATGGTCCAGCGACCCCTGTTTACCGGAGAGAGAAATCACCCCATCATTGATGAAATCGGACACCAAGGGATACCCCTCACTGACAAACCAAATGGGCAAGGTGAGAAAGAATGCCAGGCCGGAGCAATAGCAAAGCAAATTCAGCTTGTCCAGCTTTCGCCGTGCCGGGTTTGCATCGGACTCGGCTCGGTCTGCCTCGTTGAAGAGTTTCTTCGAAAAGATGTTCTGCGACACAAAGACCAGCGCAGCCAGAAATGCACAGGAAATTCCGAAGAAATTCGTTGATAGCCCCGTGGAGCATGCAAGCATCACTCCGAGGGTGAGGGGAATCAGGGACAGGTAGGTAGCTCGTGCGTATCGAATGCGAAACAGAATTCGATACGCTAGAACGGTGAACAAAGGCGATAGTCCCTTGATCGTATGCACCAATGAAACGGGAATTTGAGAGGTTGCCATAGAGCTGAGAATATGCCCGGCTAGTTGGAAGACGGCCAGGGGCAACGCAGTAGAGATCACCTCGCGCGAGGGATAGCGGATGCCGTGCTTGAGAATCGGCACACTTTGGCGCAGTCTGGGTATCACTGTGGACAAGTATACGAGTAGCAGACACCAAAATGATACAAATGCAAATTGGATGATGGTCAACGTGATAGGCATTGGGAGGGCATTCAAGATGGATTTCGAGGACGTGTTGGTAAGCGCGGACGTTAGGTACCAAATCATACAGAGACCCTACACAACAGACATTAGCTCGGCATCAGCACCTCTTTTATCCCTCAGAGCATACAATCAACCGATATGAGACCGGGGCACGAAGGGCCTCCGCTAATTCATGCGCGTTGGCACTCATGCTGCCGTTGCGAGCCCGGATCGTGGTGATAGCCTCGCTGATGCTTTTCCGAGGCCGATGTTTGGGATTTCTGATGGAACCGTTGGAATGGTCTCTCGAGTAAAAGCTCGATTTCCGAGGCTCCCACAGATCATTGGATGCATATTTCACGGAGGGACTTGGATTCGGGCGGCCAGTCCCCACGGCGGAGTCGAGAGTGTCTTCGTAGGGAGGGAATTCATCGATTGGACTACCCGTCGGTTGCGATTGAGATTTAGCTTGCGCTTGTATTTCAGCTTGTCGTATGGATGAGCGACGCCCATGACCGGTGACTGTGGTTGTGGCCATCGCCAATAGCCTCTGGTATCCCCGGCTTTCTTCGCCGCTGGCTCAAGTTAGCAATTCTTCCGAACCCATCGAACATCCCTGTCCACTGGTCCGCTCACCCTAGTGAATGATCAAAAATGCCCGCTAGAGGCTGAGAATCAATCCCTCTCCTAATTGTATGGTTCTCGTGGCCGATTGTTCAGGTCCTAAACACACGCTCGACGATGGTCAATGAGCGCAGGTAGTCCGTCGATGACGAATCAGCTTGAGCGAATGGGGGTTGAGAATAGCACACGGTGAAATTCTCGGTGCAAAGCAACGGAGGTCCACGAGGCCGAAACAGACCAACCAAAAGAAAGAGAAAGAGGCTTTTCTTTATAGGAAGAAAAAGATGGAGGTGTGGAGTGGACGGGTAAAGGGAAATTGAAGGTTAACCCGTGTCGAGTACTACCGCCACCGGCCGTTACATTACATACGCGGAGGGCGCCGAATGGGGAGCACATAACTAACATTAGGCAACGGTGACTTTTTGAAGATTGAAATCAAATGAAAGCTGCCCTCAAAAATCCGTTTCAGGGCAATTTGAGGATAGTCTAAGGGTATTATTAAGCAGTACCTTGTTATAGTACAAAGGAAGAGCCGCTTCTGCATATATTTAAGTCCTGGACATCAGCGTTATTGACCGGAGATCACGTGGCAGCGTATACATCGAAATCCCCTCGCATCGGTACATAATGCCAGTCTAGAAGCCCAAGGTTACTCAGCCCGAATTGATCTTGCAGCTTTAATCTGCCCTTTTCAACCCCCTCGATCAACCCTTCCAAGGTTGCCAATCTAGGCCATATATCTTATTCCAAATAATCATCATTGGAAGCTTGATCCAATGAGAATACCATCACCTTGTACTGTAGCGATTCACGCCTTACAAGCTCAAATTACCTTCCGCTTCTCCCTTTCTATTCTTTTTGAATCTCCAATGGTGGATAAGCTGCCAAATCAGAATAAAAGCCCCTTATAGGAAGAGATCCAGAATGCTGTTTTGGCAGTATGAACCCAGCTGAGGCCGGGAGATACCTTTCCTTACCCTGGAGGACATCAAGTTGAAGCTGGTCATCCGCGGGCGTTGATCTGGGTGCTTTGAAGTAGCCCTGTAAGCCAGCGACTTCCACAGGCTTATACTACACAGATCAATTCCATTAATAATATGTTCTGTCGGATTTTTTCTACGGTACGAAACCGACAAAACGCACTTGGAATAAAAAAAATAAAGAAAGGGTCTAATATGACTTCGGTCTCTATTCGTGCCTTCCCAACCATGGAGAATTGTTGTTCTTACCCTGAGTCTACTCAGTTCTCGCCTTATAGTCCTTCCTCACTCTCCTATTATATCACTCTCCTCCCCCTCTCCCGCTTCCTTCCTGTGCTTACCCTCAATTCCAAGCTCCGAGTCGAACCTCATTCCCAAGTCAACCATTAATCGATAAGCACCTGGCTACCCTAGTTCTCTGTGTGATCTGGAAGCCGGGAATACGCGTCTGCATTTCGACTGATTCCGACCCACTCGAGCTAGCACCATGTCCTCTCACGTTGTTCCGTGCAAGCTATCCCACAATGAAAAAGGTAGAAGACTCAGCAATGTTGTCTCAGATGCACGAAGCCTCAACTTTGGGCGAGAATTTTCGGTAAGTCTACTGACTTGTCGAAGCCTTGAGAAAACATAGCACCCATCTTATTGACATTTTCTCCCTCAGAGCCTTCGGCATTCCAACAATCGTCACAGCTCGTCGGATGCCATGGACGCCCCCCAAGATGGACATCCCCAGGGTTCTTTTAGCGAAGACTCCGAACTTCCATCTTACAAGGTCAGTGCCCCTCGGTACGATAGGAAACATTGTATCTGTAGTGGTCTGAAAGTCCTAGAAGCCGAAGTTAGAGCACATGAAATCCGAATATATTGTCGAGCATCCTCCAGAGCTGGAGAAAATCATCGCAAAGTGTCCTCCCAAAGCATTATCGACGATAGATGCAGAGACTGGTCGATCCCTAGGTCCGTTACAGATTACGATAACAAACGAGACGCAGCATTCTCTGGCTTCCGATGCTGTGGATCACCATGCCCGTGATGACAGGATGGTGGAACTTGTTCAACTTCAACAGCAGCTCCTTGCTGCAAACTCCAAAATTGCTCTTCAGGAGCAAGAGCTTGCCCAGACACGGGTCATCAAGCATACCCTGGACCAGGCTCTTGGACCACCGTCCGAGGCAGATTTCGGTGGTCGTGAGATCACGGAACAAACAATCAGTCACTTGCAAAGTGCTTTCAATGCTTCCAACCCTGCATTTGGTCAGTTCCAGGACACATGGAATTCGCAAGAGGACTCGCAGTCGGATATTTCCGACGCATTGTCCGCTGAAGGCTACAACCGTGCTCGAAGATCATGGAATCCGCAGGGTCAGATCTCATTCGGAGTCGCAAAAAACGATGCTCCTTTTGACAAGGCCTATGGTGAGGCTTTCCAGGGCCCTAGCCTTGCTGCCCAGGAGTCAAATCGATTTTGGGGTGGCCCAGCTGCATATCCGGCATTTCCATTTCATGGGGCGATGCAACCGCAGAGGGTTATATCAGGCCCTTCGACTAGTGCTTACGGCTTCTATTCTAGAGCCTCAAGCGACCAATCTCGGTGCGTCCAAGCCCCGAGCTCTGGACCACGTCGGTCCATTCCCCCAGGTAAGCCAAAATGGCTTGTTCCTTCAAGCTCAGAATACTCCCTGGGGAAGTATGGTTCCAGGATCTCCTACAGAACCTCCTAAATCTCCATCAGCCTCCACTGCAAGACCACCTAGTACTTTCCAGCCCGTCAATACATACAAAATGCCGCCTTATCACAGCCGATCTCTGTCAACTGCTCTTTCTCCAACTGCCACCGAGTTCACAGCCGGGGGTACGAATGGAGGACCCTCGTGGACGTCTTCTTCTGTGAGTATTTCCATATTAACTTGTTGAGCATGAACTAAAGCTACAGGTAGCCCAGTGGAAATTCTATACAAAACTACGTTTCGCCCCTTGAACCTCTCAACTACCGTCGGCTCCTGGACAAAAACGTTTCATGCGACTGGAAATACATCATGGACAAAATCGTTTGCAACAACGACCAGCAAGCATCTATATTCCTGCAACAGAAGCTCAAGGTCGGCACAATGGAACAGAAATACGAAATCATAGAAGCAATTGTCAGTCAATCTTACTCTTTGATGGTGAACCGGTTTGGGAACTTCCTGGTTCAGCGATGCTTTGAGCATGGAACCACCGAACAGATTGTAGCGATTGCCAATGCAATCAAAGGCAACACTCTTAGCCTGAGTATGGACCCATTTGGCTGCCATGTGATTCAAAAAGCATTTGACTGCGTTCCCGAGGGCAACAAGGCTGCCATGGTACATGAGCTTCTTCGCCGAATCCCAGAGACGGTGGTTCATCGATACGCGTGCCACGTCTGGCAGAAGCTCTTTGAACTGCGATGGACCGGCGAGCCACCGCAGATAATGGCGAAAGTGAACGAAGCTCTACGTGGAATGTGGCATGAGGTCGCTCTAGGAGAGACGGGAAGTTTGGTGGTTCAGAATATTTTTGAAAATTGCGTGGAGGAAGAGAAGGTAAGACCCTGCTTCAAGTTCCACGAAGCAGCTGTTTTCTTATATGCTAATGTCTAAAAGCGACCGGCAATTGAAGAAGTACTGGGGAAAGTGGATGTACTAGCCCATGGTCAATTTGGCAACTGGTGCATTCAGCATGTCTGCGAGCACGGTGCCCCCCATGACAAAAGTCGCGCGATTGAGCACGTACTTCACCACGCGGTCGAATATAGCATGGATCAATTTGCGTCCAAGATTGTCGAGAAATGCTTGAAAATCGGAGGCCCGGAGTTTCTAGATCGATATCTCTCTCGTGTTTGCACAGGCCGTGCCGACCGACCTCGAATGCCGTTGATCGACAGTGAGTAGAGGCTAACCCATCCCTCTTGCGCTTGAAGCCAACTCTCACACAAGTCACAGTTGCTGGCGATCAGTATGGGAACTACTTGATCCAATGGATTTTGATGAATGCCGCCCCTCATCAGCGTGAGCTTGTTGCTAGCCATATTCGGTATGTCTCTTTTCCGCCCCAGGCTAATTTCCAGGGCTCATTGCTCTTTCTTTTAGCAAGCATATGGTCTCCCTACGTGGTTCCAAGTTTGGTTCCCGTGTCGCCATGCTTTGTTGCAACCCGTCTCATACCACCCGTCCTGGACCTGGAACTGGCATTCAGATCGGACGATTCAATCAGTTCAACGAGGAGAGGCTCCCCTCAGCCGGCCAGAATGGTAATCGGTTCAACCGGGGAAATCATTGGAATGCCAACTATGCGTCGTTCCATTAAATCTACCCATATTCCCTCTACGCTCAATACATGACACTTGATATTCTCATTTACCCGCTTCAACGGAACGAAAGCGAAAAAGAAACTGATTTCTTCGACAAGGAACCCCAAAAAACACGCCCAAAGTATCGATAATAGCAGTTATCTTCTCATTCAGGTCCTAGGGCCACCTACCCAATGGCAGTCAGATGTTGCCAAGATCGCCTTCTTATATCTCTATGGATCCAATCTCGTCCGTTCCCTGCGTCTGTCGTTCTATTTTCTTGGTCTGTCACGCGTCCATTGTTCAGTCACCCAGGCTTTTTGTGTCTTCGAAGTGACGAGCATGGTCCGAAGTACCCCCTGAGGCGTCAATCTGCTTGTGATGGTAACTTATATCTCACTTTCAATTACGGGGTAGCTATCGAGTGTTTACTGTGTCGGTTTGATTCGCGAATGGTCTTATTACTTCTGCGATATCTACTGCCGACCTCTCCAGCCTGTCTTTGTATGTTTAACCCTCAGAGATGATTGTTTTCTATTTGAAGTATCCAGTCATCCGGGCATTAATCGTCACTGTTTGTCATATATTATCGCAAGGGCAGAGAACTCGTATTTCAATAAACCCAGTTACATATATTCCCCTTTCTCGCGCATCCGCTCTCCAATGGCTCGTGTTGTCCCCAAGAAAATGAAATTCATAAAGTGATTATGCGGATGACGCTTCCGTTGTAGATTGACTCTGCGTCTGCTCCAATTCATCCTTCTCCCACGGCTTGCGTCGCCGAGGCTTCTCACTTGAGATGTCATGTCCAGTCAACACCGTGTCCGGAATCTGTTCAATCCCCGGGATCGGCTGCCCTGTGGTAATAAGCTCGACTATATGAGCAAACGAAGACGGATATGTAGGTTCCGAGTCCGGTGATTGCTCGAGTTCGGGGACATTTGACGATTCAGCTAGACCACTCGATTCATGAGGTTCGCAAGGCGATGAGGCATTTAGCCACGACTTATAGGAAGTGAAGTCTATGGATGGAGATATATTTTCTTTGCTGTGTATGGTCAGCGGATGTTCTGATGGGTATCAGTGATCAAGTTGTACCGTGAGAAAAAGAAGCATTTGGCCTGTAAAACAAGATCATCTTCGCGACTAATCTCCGCCTCTGTGGCGGGCGTTTGGGGATGGCCAAGGATAATGGCGAGGCCCTTTGCAAATTCAAGATCTTTCTGAAAAGAATACGTCCGTAGTCGTTCAAACACTGATTGCGATGCCATTTTCTCTTCCTTCTCAACCCCAAGTGATGCGGAGTGGTGGGGTAGAGAGAGAAATGGACAGTAGCCGAGGTTCACGCGATAAGCGTATCAATCTAAGCTCCTCGGGGCTCACTTTCCTTATCCAAAGGTCATTGTCAAATGTATGAGTATTGAATCTTCGATCTTTCATTTTTCCTTTATTTTTAAAGTCTCTACATGACGCCGCACTATGCATGTATAAAAGTGATTAAATGCTCGTGTCCATTCCATCTGCCTTCGCCACGCTGTCCAAGGCCCGATTATTTTTACTCTGGCATCCAGGACAATTATGCACAATTTCATGGGCGAAGAGATCGCAATCAATGCAGAAGTGGTTTTGACATGCTGTACACTCGTAACGACTACTCACACTCATTCCTTTGGTGTGGGTTTCGGCCGCTTGCCATTGGTCCTCCGGTGGAACAGCAGGAAAAGGGAGGCCACAGGCAAAACACCCGGTACTCCGTGAAGCCCGGCGCCATGACACCTCGACCCAATTGATCAAAGGGAATAGATGGTGGTATGAACGGGCAAGGTGCGTCGAAAGAATCAGGGTAAGCCCGCAAGAGGGGCACTCTGCGGGCAGACTACATACCTTGCTGCCACAACGGGAGCACAAGTACCCGCCCCGGGATGGTTTGGAGTGGCAAGCACAGAGAGAGAGCCTCGACTCAACTGTTCGGGATGGAAAGCCCATCATCAACAGCGAGCTAGCGGACTGTTTTTGGGAATATACGGCGGGAGGTGTGGTCACATCCATCATCAGTTCCCGGAAGTGCTGCTCATTAAGCGCCACACCGTAGGCAGTTTCATCACCTCCATTTGTTTTTGTGCAAAGCTCACGACAAATCGCGACCTGTGCAGCGAGACCGACAATGCGAACTCGTACCTTGTCACCAATCAAGGTGTTGATCGTCTGATGAATATCACCTGGGTCCGAGGACAGGAGGGAGCCAAATATAACCAGCACTTCTCTAGTGCCATGGTTGGGGGTGTGACTGTGGCCACGGGTTAGCTTAGATTATTGGAAAGTTTAGATGAGACAACGCACAAAAGGGCACCTCGGGCCATTTCTAGACCATTTTGCAAACTGGGGAGACCTTTCGGGTCTTGAGTCTTGAGTGATTGAATGGCTGTCATGTGTTCCGTGGGATTCCCACTCATATCGCTGATTCGAAGAGCCAGGCCATCCCGTAGGCCTAGGACGCCTAGTTGTGAGATGGGATTTTGTTCAAAGAATTCTCGGACAAATTCCTGCGCATATCGCAGGGTCAGCAAGTAACGTGTCGGACGTAAGTCTTTTTCGGACATGGACTGTGAAAGATCGAGGACAAGGACCAGATGCCGTATAATACCGCGTTGCAGAGGAGTTGTATCTTTTAACAGCCTAGTGGCAATAAGGTTAGTCTATCGGACATCTCGACGCCTAACCAAGTCGAGTGAAACCACCTTTTCCGCTTCCCAGCTTCCAGTAGCCCCTCTACTGTCGCACTGATCGTACCATCTGCGCCTTCAACAAGTGTTTCCCAAGTCCTGGACAGCTCCCACTCAGCTCCCCCACGCTGTTTCCTCTTCCTTGTCCCGACCTGGTCTTTCCGGGTTACCTGGAGATCATCTTCATCCTCTGTGACATCTCCGACATATTCCTCGTCCGAGTCGGCCATGGCGTTTGGTAAATATTGGTATCGACCCAAAGTGGGTGAAAGGTGGATTCGTAGCGCGGGAATGCTAGCCGCCTTTGACGATGGTCCAAGCTCCGACGGAGCTCCGTCTGGAGAAACTTCTCTTCTCTTCTTTGACGCGCATCAAACGGAAGGACTCGTCAAATTAGGGTATCAGGAACCAAGACGGCACCGACGGAAATAACAAATTAGAGAGGAATACCCATCCGTCAATAGCCGGGAACTGGGGAGAGTGGGCAATTGGAAGAGATGTGGGGGAGAAGATCCATAGCGGCGACCAGACGCGCTGGAGTCGCCATTGCAGAGCGGCGAGTGCCTTTCTGCCCCTCCCCCTCCTTCCTTTCTTCCTTTTCTTCTCGCCCTACTCGTCTGCGCCCACGATTATCCACGATCACTGCGCCCAGACTTAACTTTGTCTTTTCTCGTTATTGCTCCGCTGAGGCTCGCATGATGGCCTCGACCGACAGAGATACCTTGCCTGACGTGTAAGTGATGCCTTTTTCTCTTACTGTCCTTTCGTTTACTTTCCTTGACAATAGTAATACAATTGGAACTTATGTGAGGTTTATTGGATATCCTTAAATAACAGGCTAACGTGAATATAGGGCTAAACCAACCAACTACCATGTCTCGCTTTTCGACTTGCAGTTTGAGGGTTCGTGGGGATACAAGGGTCTGCTGAAGATCGATGCCAAGGTCACTCGTGCCACCAAGGAAATCGTGCTGAACTCCAAGGAGATTGAGGTTCAGACTGCCGAAGTATTGGGAAAGGATGGTTCGTGTGTAAAATCACCTTGGAAGCGCACCGAATGTGCATTTGTGGACAAGACTGATCAATTCCCTCCGGTTTGAAAAACAGGTGCTTCTTTAGCAAAGGCTTCTAATATCACCTACGACAAAACATCTGAACGGGTGTCTCTGGAGTTCTCACAGGAAATCAAACCATCGGATGTGATCCTATCGATCAATTTCACCGGCACTATGAACAATGCTATGTCGGGCTTTTACCGATCCAAGTACACGCCTGTGGGGGAACCAGCTGCTGATACACCTAAGGAAGGTGATTTCTACTATATGCTGAGCACCCAGTTCGAGTCTTGCGATGCCCGGAGGGCCTTCCCTTGCTTTGATGAGCCGAACCTCAAGGCCACCTTTGATTTCGAGATCGAAATCCCCAAAGGCCAGACTGCCCTCAGTAACATGCCCATTCAATCCGAACGAGATGGAAGTCACTCCGGACTGAAGTTCGTCACGTTTGAGAAAACACCCGTAATGAGTACCTACGTGAGTACAACGCCCTGTCTTCCAATATTTTGACAAAATTGTTAACGATATATACTGGCCCGTAGCTCCTTGCTTGGGCAGTAGGTGACTTCGAATATGTTGAGGCCATGACAGAGCGCAAGTACCAGGGAAAGAGCATTCCTGTTCGGGTCTATACCACTCGGGGTCTCAAAGAGCAGGCTCGCTTTGCTCTCGAATGCGCTTCTCGGACAGTTGACTACTTCTCAGAAATCTTTGAGATTGAGTATCCGCTTCCTAAGGCCGATCTCCTGGCTGTGCACGAATTTGTAAGTGGCTGAGTCTTGTCGAATATGGTAAGAACTTGGCATTTAACTGACTGGATTATATTTCAGGCTATGGGAGCTATGGAGAACTGGGGACTGGTTACCTATCGGACTACCGCCGTCCTCTTTGACGAAGGGAAATCAGACAACCGATACAAAAACCGTATCGCTTACGTGGTCGCCCACGGTTAGTCTTCTTCTCTTACCTTACAAATGAACTTGGAGCGCATCTAACACATCGAATCATAGAGCTGGCTCACCAGTGGTTCGGTAACCTTGTCACCATGGACTGGTGGAATGAGCTTTGGTTGAACGAAGGGTTTGCAACCTGGGTTGGTTGGCTTGCCGTGGATCATTTCCATCCGGGTAGGCATCATTTGCACTCCACATTTATGTCATAATCTAACATTTTCGGCAGATTGGAACATCTGGTCTCAGTTTGTTGTACGAAATGCCCGAGGTAAAGTTAATCTGTCCTATAGATCATCATTGACATCTTTCCCAGGCTGAGGGTGTGCAACAAGCATTTCATCTTGACTCGCTTCGAGCCTCTCACCCTATCGAGGTGCCCGTCCGGAACGCCCTCGAGGTGGACCAGATATTCGACCACATTAGCTATCTCAAAGGAAGTTCGGTCATTCGTATGCTAAGTGTTCACCTTGGCCGTGAGACGTTCCTCCGGGGCGTCGCTGACTACCTCAAGTCCCATGCATACGGTAAGTAGGGAGACAAAAAAAAAAGGAAATGAACATAATTGGATGCTAATATTTGGCGTTGAAGGAAATGCAACTACTAATGATCTGTGGTCTGCTTTGAGTAAGGCTTCCGGTCAAGATGTGCACGGGTTTATGGTAAGTCTACCCCTAATCTTCAAGGCTTCATACATATGATTCCACAGGGAAGCAAAGCTCTGACGACATTACAAAGGATCCATGGATTCGTAAGATTGGCTTCCCTGTCGTTACTGTGGCAGAGGAACCCGGTCAGATTAGTGTTCGTCAAAACCGATTCTTGTCTACCGGAGACGCGAAGCCCGAGGAGGATGAGACTACCTGGTGGATTCCTCTGGGAATCAAGTCCGGCCAAAGCCTGGCTACTGTGGATACGCGTGCACTCACCCAGAAATCCGACAGTGTGTCAGGTATCGGAGAGGACACTTTCTACAAGATTAATAAGGACCTGGCTGGTTTCTACCGGACAAACTACCCCCCTGCTCGCCTACAGAAGTTGGGTCAATCCCTTGAGCTTCTGAGCACCGAGGATAAGATTGGATTACTGGGAGATGCCGCTGCTCTTGCAGTCTCTGGCGAAGGCTCTACACCAGCCCTGCTGGCTCTTCTGGAGGGCTTCAAGACAGAGAAGAACTATCTGTAAGGATCCTATTTGTCGATAAACTGTAGGTTTTTTCTAACGCCTGCTAATCCGGGGGCCTGATTCTATAGTGTCTGGTCGCAGGTGTCTTCATCTCTGGCAAACCTCCGCTCTGTTTTCGCCCAAAACGAAGCTGTGGCGGAGGGAATGAAGAAATTCACCAAAACTCTTGCTGCTCCGGCGGCAGAGGAGATTGGCTGGGAATTCCAGGCCAATGAGGACTATCTCACTGTTCAGCTCCGCAAGTTGCTGATTGCTATGGCTGGCAATGCTGGTGATGAAGGGTAAGCTATGTCTATCTTCGCTATGTGCAATTTCTCAGGCGAAATTCCAAGTTCATTTTGCTGACGAAAATACCTAGTATCGTCGCCGAAGCCAAGAAGCGATTCGACCTGTGGGCCACTGGCCAAGACAAAGGTGCCATACACACCAATCTTCGATCAGTGATTTTCAGCCTCAACGTTTCGGAAGGCGGCCGCAAGGAATATGATGCCGTCAAGGAAGAGTACCTGCGCACCGATTCTGTTGATGGCAAGGAGATTTGTCTGGCTGCCATGGGACGCACCAAGGAACCGGCACTTGTGAAAGACTACTTGGACTTCGTTTTCTCTGACAAGGTAGCTATCCAGGACATGCACAGTGGTGCAGTTTCTCTGGCTGCCAACTCCCGGGTCCGACACCTTCTGTGGGATTACATTAAGACGAACTGGGCATCGGTGGAAGCCCGACTGTCCTCTAACAATGTAGTTTTTGAGCGGTTCATTCGTATGGGTCTCTCCAAGTTTGCTGACCACCAGATTGGTGACGATATCGCCACTTTCTTCCAGAGCAAGAACACTGGTTCCTATGAGCGTGCTCTCGTCATTATCTCTGATAACATTCGAACCAACGCCTCCTACAAGGAACGGGACCAGGCGCTGGCCCTTGAGTGGCTGCAGGCTCATGGCTTCGCATGAAGCATTCTTCACTTTTCTTCAGTTTAAATTTCAAGCAAAATGATGTGAAATGGAGTCACTAAGGCGGAAAGCCCTTGGCATGGCTGATCACTTTGATCACCTGCCAGGGGCAACTGAGGTTCGCACGAGGCGGAGAATGGACATGTGCGGTGAGAAAGGTCACTTGAACGACATGATTGATTCTACGATATAGTCCAACACAATGAAAAGGCACTATCTCTAGTCTCTGAAATCAAGAAGGAACAGAAATAAGAGATCAGAAAATCAATGAATTGAATAATTCCAAAGTAGGGATTACTAGATCTTATTCGTTCATAATTAATAAAGCGGTGACGGTGAAACAAAGCTGCACATCAGGTGCGTGTGCCCACCTGCACCTCCTATCATTCATTTCAGGCGTTCATCATTCAACTCCCCTCCAACTTGGAACCTCCTTCACCTCCTATCTCTCCTCCTCCTTGCTTTTTGCTATCTTCAACTGCATTTTGGTGCCTGGATCGCCTCTCTTCTCTTCATCATGAATCCTGAGTGGTAAGCTTCCATATTTCCTCGGTCGGGACGCATGTCTTTCCCCCGTGTCCCCATCTCTGCTGCTATTGCAAACCCTTCATTATGACGCGATGCAAGCCTGAGGACTCTACTGATATTCTTTTGGTTTTCTAGAGTATTCTCCCGAAGTGCTGATATCCCCCACTCCTCTTGGTTGCGACTCTTTAAACGTCATCACGCCGATTTGCCTATCCTAACTTCTCAAATCCCAACAATAGATACGATTACCTCTTCAAGCTGCTGCTCATCGGAGACTCCGGTGTTGGAAAGTCTTGTCTGCTGCTCCGTTTTGCCGATGACACCTACACTGAAAGCTACATCTCGACTATCGGGGTGGACTTTGTATGTTGACCTGGATTCCGGTGGGGCTCCCGGAACGACATGCTAATGCACCCGTCGCAGAAAATCCGCACTATTGAACTGGATGGCAAGACCGTGAAACTTCAGATTGTAGGGCAATTATCAAATAGCGCGTTTGGAACATGGCTAATTGGTGCAATTTAGTGGGACACTGCTGGCCAGGAACGTTTCCGTACCATCACCTCATCCTACTACCGTGGCGCCCATGGAATCTGTGTGGTGTACGATGTGACCGACATGGACTCCTTCAACAACGTCAAGCAGTGGCTCCAGGAGATTGACCGATACGCCACCGAGGGTGTGAACAAGCTGTTGGTGGGCAACAAGAGTGATATGGAGGACAAGAAGGTCGTGGAGTACACTGTGGCAAAGGTATGGCTTTTTCTTGAGTCTACAAAGAATAATAAAATTCAGGTTGCTGAGCCATTGGATTTTCCATCTGGTATAGGAGTTTGCTGATAGTCTCGGGATTCCCTTCCTCGAGACCTCTGCTAAGAACGCATCGAACGTCGAGCAGGCATTCTTGACAATGGCAAGACAGATCAAGGAGCGTATGGGAACAGCCACCGTCAACAACAAGCCCACTGTGCAGGTTGGCCAGGGCCAGGGTGTTCAGTCTGGATCGGGAGGCGGCTGCTGTTAGACCTATGCGATATGATGCTTCTCATTTGGCGCAATGTTACATGAATTGAGGGTTCTCGAAGCGGTATGCTAGGAGTTTTCGATAGCCAGGCTCATCCCATACCCGGCATCGATCGAGGACTTGACGAAGCTTGAGGGTCCTTGGTTTCTTCTTCCTGTCTTTAGACGGCCCTGTGTTCTGTCTTTCTGCGTTTGCTTCGTGATCACCGGTGTTTTCTTCTCCATTTTTTTTTTTCTTTTTCTCTCCTCCTCCCCTACTCCCTTTTTATCCTTTCCTGGTCTCGTATTGCTGGGCCTTCGCTGTGACATGTTCTACTTTTCTCTCTATCTTTCTCTGTTCTCTTTCTTGTAGGTTGGATTCATCTTTTCTGAATGGATTAATGGCGAGAATTTTTGGTGTCTTCTTTGGAGTGGATCATCTCTGTTCGTAGTAATAATGAAAATCCAGGTTGATAGATGCGATAGTCCGCTATGTCATGTGTTCTATGTAATTCTTAGTGTAGGGATCACATGCCACCCATCACTTGTCACAATAATCGGAAAAATTTTCTTCTTTTTACCTAAAAACCGAACAGTGCCTAGCAATATTCGGTCAGTTCCGGCATCCTCCTGGATTTGGTACGGGATCATCTGTCGCATCGACCCCGGAATGTAGTGGGCACGAGCCGAGGCACAACACTCGGCAAAACGTCATGAAACTCTTTCCCTCATCAAAGCCGATTCATTATCGCACCCCTTTTGCTCCTGAATCCCTTTCTTCGATCATTCTTCCGCTCCTTTCTTGATTCCTCGCCTATATCGTGACTGACTTTCAACATCCCATCCCGACTTTCATTTCGACCCCTGCAACCATGTCCGAACGTCCACAGCAGAAGCCCGCCCCATCTGTGGCCGTTCAGCAAAGCGATAACATTGCGCACGCACTAGCGGGTGCTGGAGGAGGAGTTCTGTCGATGGTCTTGACGTAGGCTATTCCAGCTTCCTTTCCGATGAGCCGACTGTTGAAATCTACTTACTAGATACCCCCTCATCACCTTGTCCACCAGAGCGCAGGTGGAGTCCAAGCGTGCACACTCCACCAATCTCGATGCAATTCGACGGATCGTACAGCGAGAGGGTATCTCTGGACTCTATTCGGGTCTGGAGTCCGCTCTTTTCGGAATCAGCGTCACCAACTTTGTTTACTATTACTGGTATGAGTGGACCCGGGCGGCCTTTGAGAAAGCAGCCGTTCAGGCGGGTCGTGCTTCCAAGAAGCTCACAACCGTGGAGTCTATGATCGCAGGGGCTATCGCAGGTAGTGCCACCGTGCTAATCACCAACCCCATCTGGGTGATCAATACCCGTATGACGGCTCGCAAGTCCGAGTCGGAGGAACAAGGTCTACCAGGAGCGCCCAAAACCAAGGCGTCGACCCTCAGTACCTTGATGGACTTGCTACGACAGGAAGGCCCCAGGGCCCTGTTTGCTGGTGTGCTCCCAGCCTTGATTCTGGTGATCAACCCAATCCTGCAATATACTATCTTTGAGCAGCTGAAGAATATGGTTGAGCGTCGTCGTCGGATGACTCCCAAGGACGCCTTTTACTTAGGGGCCTTGGGCAAGATTTTGGCCACCAGTATCACTTACCCATACATCACGATCAAGAGCCGGATGCATGTGGCCAGCAAGGATGGACCCAAGGAGAGTTTGAATGGAAGTCTTAAGAGGATCATCCAGGAAGAAGGATGGAAGGGCTTATACAAGGGTAAGTTACATACGCATTTCCTTTCCATCATCACTTATATATTCATACATGTATATGTATATTTAACTTCTACTGATTTATGAATGTCCAGGCATTGGCCCTAAGGTGACCCAGAGTGCCATCACAGCTGCCTTTCTGTTTGCCTTTAAGGACGTGTTGTATGATACGATGGTAGCGATGCGCAAGAGGGGTGCAATTCGTAAGTAGGGGCATGTTTCTGCCAACTCCTGAGCTTCTATCGAAGAGGGGGAGTATATTCAGATGTTCATACGGGTGATTGCTCCAGGTAAATAGCCAACGAAATGGCTATAGTGGATCAAGTTATGTGTGAGGTGATGTGTTTGCACACCCTATCTTATAGTAAGCTCTACAGAGTTGTACATAAACGCTTTTTTTCTCTATTATCTTAGGTCTATTTTTATCTTGTCATTGCTTACCCTACAAGACCATATAGTCAATTAATCATGACCTAAGGAGTACACTCGGAAGCGATAATAAGCATATAGTTGTATAGTTCCGATAACTCTTATCGGGTTCTCACCGCCTTCTGCTTCTCCGCGTCGATTGTGGCGCGTTTTCGCGATCCCTCATTCTGAACAGCCTTGTGTCACATATTGTGCTATTGCATCGAAAGTCAGTATCCAATCACACTTGCTCTTTGAAACTCTCTAACAATCACTTAGAACCATTTTGGGTTCCTCAAAATCCCGAGTCAGGGTCCCCCATACCTCTGGAATCTCATCCCTCATTGCCCCGACTTGGACTTGCATTTTCGCGCCACCTTTATCGCTTAATACTCTAAGAGAATATGACCGGGCAATAATCTTGGGGATAACGAATGGTTTTTAAATGCCCTAGACTTTGCTGTGGATCGCAGTTAAAGCCCAACCCTTGTCAGTGGGTTGGTCATGTCTTTCTCATTTGACACTGCTGTGCTGAGAGAATAGTGTCATAACTCACTACAAGCTCAAATCATTACAGTGAGAGATGATTACACTTATCAAGATATACGGCTCAAACTAATTCTTGGGGAAATCAAGGCGTTCTGAGATCCTTGATACGAAATGCTCCACAGTTTACGAGCTAGAGACAAGGGCCAGATTGCTAGTTTTAGCCGGGAAGATAGTGCGGAATATGTCGAATATGTCTCACAGGAGGCTCATCGTTTACTTGCAAAATTCACACAATCCTCCAATCTGCCACAAGAACAAGAACAAGCCTGCTCAAATACCGTTACCCATGGTCATACGGTGTTCCACTCGGGAAAAGTCAACGATGTCTGGCGAACACCACGAAGTGCTCCAGAGGCAAAAGAGGCATCTATCAAAACCCCCTCTTCAAAGCAAACAAATCGACTGCCTAATCACTCATCTTCCCACCCTGCCCTAGAAGATAATGACCAGGCAGATTTGCAAAAAGAATGGGCCGTGAGGAATCCATACCAGAAAAAGGTAGAAGATCCCTCATTGCCAGGTTTGCCTGTTAATGCAATTCCTGATACAGACTCGTCAGCCTTGCAACCATTGGGACAGAGTGTCATCATTGCTCCCTACCCTCCGAACCAGATTGTCGACCTGCATATGTCCCCTTTAGATTCTAGATCCTCTTCAACCCCCTCTGGATCACTCTTGCAAAGCCCTGACATCCTAGCTCCCAGGCGCTCGGGCAGGGCCAAAAAAAAACCGATCACCTACAATGTACGTGCGTTACTTGGGTTGGAATCCAATGAGACCCCAAAGAGTCCTGGAGATTCATTGCACCGGGCCTCCCGAGTCTCCTCGAGACTGCCCTCTGAACCATTGCTCTCTCCAGATTCTCCCTTGGTATCAGATCTGCCCAAGAAAAACCCCCCTGGCACGGATTTTAATATTCGAAAGTTGTTGTGGGATCGGGAATTACGCGGTTGCAGTCATAGCAACCGGATTCGCACAGCCATGACATCGGATCTCAGGCCATGGAAGTCATGGAAAGGCGCTTCGAATGATGTAGTGGCTCTTGCCTGGTCGCCTGATTCCACCAAGTTCGCGGCGGGAGCGACGGCTCAACCGGATGAATACAATCGAAAACACAATTTGCTCCTGGGCGACCTTGTCAACAGTGCCCTGTACGAGCTTCCAGATCACTGGACCCCTCGCCCTCCTTCATCAACTGCTACTGAAGAGCGCCTATACACCAGTGTGGCTGATATGCAATGGGTTGGTGACCGACTTTACACTGCGAGTTACGACAATACAGTCAAAATTTGGGATGCCGCTGGTCAACATCCTTCCTGCCTTCAAACCTTGGAGCATAGCTCCAAAGTTGTAGTGATGGCACTTTCAAAATCGAAGCCAAATCTCATTGCCACTGGAACCGATAGTTTTCATCTCTGGGACGTCCAGAAGGGCCAGGCTCCTACTTGTGTGGATATGTCTATTGTTCGGCACCCCCGCCAAAAAAGTATTGATCTGGCACCCACAACCCTTGCATGGGGTCATACGGCATCAACAAATCATGTTCTAGTTGGTGGCATGGCCGAGCGAACTCTAGATGAGTACAAGGTTCCCAACCACGGTCATCTAGCGCTGTGGACTATTGGCCAGGGCTCAGTGACACCACGAAAGCTTGTACCTGACTCCCAGAACGTCTTTGACATAAAATGGCATCCATTCTTGCCAAAATTTGCTGCTGCAACTACCTATAGCCAGGCAATGCAGCTTCCATTGAAGACGCGAACTGTTCTCCAAATATATGACTGCATAGACGGCAATTACACCTTCACTGGCCGATTTCCCTGTCCAGCTGCAGATGTGAATGAAACGAGTTTCTGTCCAATGGATTCGACCTACATCACTGCCAGCTGTACGGACGGTCGCACGTATGTTTGGGACGTCCGTTTTCCCGACGATAAAAGTATTCTTCAACTTTCACACGGCACTCCGCTCCATCCACTCAGTCATAAGCAACCCCGGGAGCTGACTGATTATGGTGTCTCTGTCGCTCTGTGGGGAACATCTATGGATCAGTTCTATACGGGTGGCTCTGATGGGTTTTTGAAACAATGGGATATCCGTCGAGCCCCAGAAGACGCGTTAGTGGCCAACATTGCCAACTTCACCGAGGGTATCACAAGTGGAGCGTTTTCGGAGGATAAATCCCACCTTCTTATCGGGTCTCATGGTGGAGGCATTCGGGTGTTGTCTACCGGGCCTTGTTCCGATCCCGAAAAGTTAGGGTTTGAGTTCAAGAGTGCCCCCGAACCGCCCACTCGGGATATATCTGGCCGCGAGGCTAGTAGAGCGCTCATATCTAACGACGAGATCGAACGGCATCCGATATACGGCCCGGGGCAGGGACCTAACTACCAAGGCCCTTATGCTCGTTGGGCACGGGATATCTCTGAGGATACACCCCTTGACCAAGTGAGCCGATTCCCTCTCAAGGATGAATACCAACTTCGTCAGCTTTGCGGGCCAAAGGGGCAAAACCAGGGTGAACTCGATCTAAATGCGCAACGTGAACTCAAGAAGCAAAGACAGGCTGCTACAATACGAAACAGTCTGCGCAATAATTCGCCAAGGGATAAGCCCAAGTTCGATACATTTACAGCTACGGACCGAAAGAAGAGAAAGAAGCAGAATGATGAGAAAGATAGGGAGAAGCGAAAGAAGCGGCGCCATGGGCCGGTGGTCAGTAATGTTGAAGTGGTTCATATTGACCTGACCGGTGATTCCCCAGAACCCGAGTCAGCCAACTCGATCTTGATCCCAAAACCTCCAAGGCGAGGAACACTCCCCAGACTTCCATCTTCTACTGAGAACCTGGAAGATGGCCTTGAAGATGACCATTGGTGGCCAGATAGTGGCTGTTATGATGCTAATATTTGTGATAGCGACTGAAGACCAAGTTCACTGTCATATTGTACTATTAAAAGATTTGAAAAAAGAAAAGAAAAAAAGAAGCTTTTCATCCCTTTTGTCTTGTCTAGAGGGATGATAATAATATTATTGCCAATCAAAGCAAAGGGAATTATACGTATGGTAATTAACTAGTTACAGTAGTTAACTAACTTAACATTGTCATTATACTTACATAAGATGACGTCGCACTGCCTCACTGTGGCGCAGTTGCGTTTTCTAGATTATGTAGGCCGGGAGTGTGGAGCCCATATATAGTTCTTCACTTCCCCCCATATCTGATTGCCCCCCCTTTCCCCTCCTTCATCGACTCGATCTATTCTTTTTTTAAATCACCGAGCCCTTGCACTATTTTCACTTTGCTTATGTCGGCTCCCTTCACGCCACCCTCTGGGCCTCCACCACCCTCTGTTCCGGAGGGATGGAAGGCGCAGTACGATGATCGATATCAGGCATGGTACGTCAACATTTCCCTTCGCTGATGCCTCTTTCCCAATCCTGAATCTGCCCCGGGAAGTGGACTGACTGACTCATTTTAGGTTTTACGTGAATCTCGCCACTGGAAAATCACAGTGGGAACGCCCAGAAACATCAGCTCCGTCCACTGACGGAGGTTCTCACGAGCCGCCACCATCATACGATAATACAAACTCCGCTGATCCAGTTGCACTCGCCAATGCTGGAGACAAAAAGCGGCCGCTGGCTTCAAATAACCCATACAATCCGACTTCTTCCTCGCACGGCACTGCCAACCTCATCGATGATGACGCCCGCCTCGCCGCTAAGCTCCAGGCGGAGGAAGACGCCCGGGCCAGCAGTGGCAGCAGAGGTCCCGGGACACCGGGTGCCGCTGCTGACTTTTACAACGGGCAATCCGCTTCTCAATCCACCGGTTCCTATGCATCCGAGCCAATCGCTGGGGGCTCGGCACCAGAGCAAAAATCTCGCAGCAGAGGCTTCCTGAGTAAGTTGATGGGCAAGAGCTCTAGCAGCTCCCGCCCACCGCAACCACAGCTTCAGTACACCTCATACCCGCAGCAGCCCCCACCGAATGCCGGATACTACGGGCGATACCCGCAGCAACAGGCGCCAGGATACGGATATCCGGCGCCCGGATATGGAGGATACCCGCCCCAAGGCGGGTACTACCAGCAGCCACAACAGAAACATGGCATGGGAACTGCCGGTGCAGCAGCCTTGGGTGTGGGTGGAGGGTTGCTCGGTGGACTTTTGATTGCCGATGCCGTGGAAGGGATGGAGGACCATCATGATTATGATAATGGTGGTGACTATGGTGGTGACTATGGCGGTGGTGGTGGTGGTGACTTTGGTGGAGGTGATTTTGACGGTGGTGGTGACTTCGGTGGAGGAGACTTTTAAACCGTGCCTCGCCATCTTTGTACCATTGTGGGGACTTGCTTTCATGATACGCATTTCATGATTTTTGCCTTGTTTGATCGCCACTAGCTTCGGGTGATTCCTATGAGCTCTGGGTCTTTCTTTGTTTTATATATATACCTCTCTCTCTTTCTCTTTTTCTGCAATATGTGGTGCGGAATGGAAATTAGGTGGCGACGATTGGAATCAGTTTGGAATAATGGTTTCACTGCGGGCCTAGGATGGAATGGATTTATGATTTCACGAGCAGTTATCGAGTCACTTTGTAATTCTATGAGTTTATTGAGCAACGTATAAACATAATTAGCTGTAGAGTAACAAGTCAAGCTAACGTCGTCGTGTAGCCGCACCTGTTTCACGACCAGTGGCCCCAGCTGGAGCAGCGTCGGTATTGGCCATGGGGCTAGGTGAGGTACCTGCCATCCAGCCAGCCAGATCAAATCCCCCTCCAGCAAGGGCATTGCTGGCACCTCCCGTCAGGGGTGAAGAGCGTGAGTGCTCCTCAAATTCGGCGCGCATTTCCGGATCCACTACATCAGTCAGTCAGAGAGGATTCTTGGATTCTCGACAAAAAACAAAGGGCCAATCATACTGCTCTCCATCAGCTTCGGCATGCCGAGAGTGAAACCCAAAGCGACAATAGCCAGCAAGATCATGGGATTCTTGATGAGACTCAATGGTGAAACTATGTATGACCTATATTAGCAGACAATATAATCCATTTCACCACATCACTCACACTTGGCACGCTCTTCAAAGAACCCCCTCCTACCCACGAGCTTGGCCTCGACAATAACATCTGATTGTTTCTTGGCAGCCACATCAACGACATATTTCTCTGCCCCACGGTTGTCCCATGGATTTCCACGGAAGGTCTCCCAGATTCCTAGGATGGACCCATCGGCAGCCACGTCGACCCGGTAAGGGGCGAAAATGTACTCGCTGGAGCGAATATCTAACAGGTAGGATTCCTGCTGCGCCGGGATATCATTGAAGACCAGTGTAGACGCGTGAGTTAGTGAAGCAGCCAGGCGATGATCATTGCCGGAGGGGAGCGTGGTCAAAGTGGCATGGGTGGATGCGGACAGTCCATGCGGGTTGGGCAGGAGATTTGTGGCAGGGATGGTGATAGTGAGTGAGGCAGCAGCGAAATGGCAGAGCAGAACCAGCAGCAGGAGCGACATGGTGGAGGTGTATTGGAGAATATGAGACTGCGAGATTGCCCCCCGTAACTATCTCGGCATCAACTTGAGAAGCTTGGACCGGGTGTGGTATATTGGTTCAGGGTCCCGTGACTTGCCAAGGACTGAGTTATAACCGGGTGAATGGAATGACACCACCATCCAGATTCTACTGTAGGGTAACTTTAACACACGGGTCTTTCTACTTGGATTCCAACATCTAGATCCTTACTCCAAGGTCCTGGTAGGTACTGGATTCTAGATCCTAGATCCTTGATCCCTTGAACCCGCCTCCAAAACAAAAATCTCGGTTAGCAGTCGCGGTCAGAAGCCGAGCTGGTGTGGACTCTTTTCTCTTCCCCACTTGGTGGACTCGGGAATTGGAGCCTGGGGAGGCCTCTCTCTTTTAAATGGAGACTGCCAAAAATGGAGAACAGGGAAAGACTGGGGAAGCAAAGTCAAGGTTGGAGGGACGATCTGTTCTATATATTAAGTTTGTTGCATGCATATTGGACGCCGCTATACTGGATTCTCTCGAATCTCACTCCCACTAGACCACATTCTCCCGACTAGAAAGACACCAGGCGCCTTTAGCGCCAACGCGAAATTGTTCACGGAGGAAAAAAGTACCGTTTCCGCCCGGGCAAAGTAATTAAGTCAAAGTCGAAACTAAGAGAACTAAGGGAGAAAAAAAAAAGAGGCAACGAGTTCCAAGGTTTAACCGTTCCTCTCACCCAGCCTTTCCCCATTCCCTCCATTGCCTCTCGTTCCTTTTCCCCTTTTCCCCAGGACCGCACATGCTCAACTCTGGAGCGTCTTGTCCTACTTTTTCTTTTTCTTCGAACTTTATATGCGTGGTCGCGAAATCCTGTAACCCCTCGGTGATTGGCTCGATCCCTCTTCCACTTCCACTTCCAATCATTTTCCCCTCTTTACTTGCCGACTTCCCTCCCACCCTCCGCAAAAGGCATCATGGAGCCACAATCGGCCATGCCGTGGCCGGAGCAGCTTCATGAGAATCCCCTCATCTCTCCTGGGGAGGATGAATTTTCGAACTTCCTCGAATTCGACATGCATTTCTCCGACCTGGAAGGGCACGGACCAGCACATTCCCAGATGCAGGACCAACATTCAATGGGCCACCCTCCCACCACCACTGCGCCCTCGACCATGGCCTCAGACCCCCGATCACATCCATATGCGACTTCAATGGAGGGCATGTCAATGGACTTTGGTCATCACCCTGCCCAGTCGCAATCTGCCATGCCCTACACCACTACTCCCAGCATGACCCCGGGCTTCTGCGCCCAGGATTCATCCCACCAGGCCATGCCGCAACAGTCAGGTCAACACTACATGCAAGGCCCCCCGATGATCCCTCCGACACCCAACAGTATTGAAATGCATGGGAATGCTGTCCGATACTCGCAACGGATGGACGACAACCCGGAGATGTATGATCATCGGTACTCGCGCGTTGAGGACCAGGTATGTATTAGATATGATGTATTTAACTCTTTTTCCCCGGAGCCTCTTTTGCTCACAAGCTCGCCAGGCGCTGTACACTCCTCTGGTATCGCCTGCGATGACACCGCTGGAAACCCAATTTCAACTGGACTCTTATGCGATTCCTGGGGAATATAGCATCACTCCCCTCACCTCGCCGGCTCTGGAAGCCCAGGCACATTCCACCAATGGCTTTTATCACTCAAGGCAGATGTCAGATGTGGGCTTTGTGGCCAACAACATCGAGGCCAACACAATGCCGGGGACTTCAGCTCCGGGCTCCCCATCTATCATTCGAAAGACCAATCGCCGGCGAACGTCGACCGCTTCCCGCCTTTCGGGACGCAGCAAGGTCAAACAGTCGCCTTCCATCCGGGCCCAAACGCAGCGCAGAGGGAGGCCTGTCCCTAATTCGGAGGAGTTTTACAATAGCTTGTCCCAGGAGTTGAATAAGCCACAGAACAATGATGTCCGCTCGCTCCAGGCCAGCAGCACCGAGGGTTCGGGCCAGGATTCGGTTTCGCCCGAACCATTGTCAGAACCTTTGATGCTACCCCCAGCGCTTCCGCCGTCGCGCAAGTCTCCGGCCATTGCTCCTCAACCGGCACAGCCACCCAGTGCCGCGACTCCCGCCACTCTCATGCGAATTCAGCGGTCACAACACACCCAGGACCCCTCTGGCCAGTTCATGGGGCGCGCGCAACTCGAATACCATGACGAGACCATGGAGGACATCACTTTGCCTGAAGCAGTAGCAACCTCGCAGGCACGTCCGAAGATCAACCGCATTGACACCAGCCTCCGGGCTAGCCCGGCCATTTCTGCAAACTTGACTCCTTTGCTAGAAGCCAGGTCGGGCCCGGCAAGCGGGTCCGTTCCCATCAGCCCTAGGACAGCTGCAATGCCATCTCCCAGTGGGCCGATCCCGAAGAGATCAGACCCATCCCGATCTTCTATCTCCAGCCGGAAACGACCGAGTGTATCCTCCACACATGCCAGTCCGCAACTACGACCGAAGATTAGCCCTAGCATTCAGCCCTTGATGCGGGCCGGCAGCGAAAGTGAGTACAATATTTGCCTTTTTTTGTCTTTTCCTCGCAAAACTTCGTCTAACCACATTCTGTAGATTTTGCGCAGGATGCACTCTTTGCTTCCAAATCAAACTATCAGCATATTCTTGACGGCACCTTGCCCTCTGGTGTTTCATACCCAGAGGCCTTGGCCGAAAATCTCAGCTCTAAGCGCACCAACCATAAATTGGCCGAGCAGGGCCGACGAAATCGCATCAACAGCGCTCTTAAGGAAATCGAAGCTTTGGTACCGCCAGACTTCGTTCAGGCTCGACTAGCCAAGGAGGCTGCATTGACAGGGACCAAGCCTGGCGACAAAGAAAAGGATAAAGCGACCAACCAGGCCATCAGCAAGGCCAGTGCGGTGGAAATGGCCATTGACTATATCAAGTCCTTGCAGCAGAGTCTCAAGGAGACCAATGAGAAATTAGTTGCGACCGAGGCCAAGCTCGCGGGTTTCACGCTTAATGATGGGAGCAACACTCCGACTGCGAGAAGCACAGCGGAGGTGGCTTGCGAGAACGATGAGTCGGAAGACAAGAGTTCATGACCAGACTGTACATTCCAAAACGCGAGGATCAAGGGGGCTTGAGTTACACTGTATATTTTTGGTTGGGAAAAGGAATCGGATAACCCTAGGATCTTCATGGACAGTCTCGCTATGTGGATGCGTAATGATCTTTTTTTTTTTTTTTTTTTTTTTTTTTTTTTCTGGATTTGGGCTGTTATAGCGTCGGTGTTGATGTTCTTGTTCTTGCTCGGTGTCTACTGTGGTTTTATCCGTGGCTCTATTGTTTTTCTTTCCTTTTTATTGTTATATCTTTATGATTCGTATATCCAAATAGACCTTGACATATATATATTTTTATTTTTGGCATTCTTCAGGAAAGATAGAGTATAGGTACTTGACAAAGTGCCTTTTACGCTATATATCTTTACAGTGAAAGAAGATGAAAATTGCCAACACCTTCAAATGCTGCCTGGTAGGAATTCGTCGCTCATGAGGCTGTACAAATGCAAAGGAAAGATAGACCCCGTTTTCGCCTAGAAGCGATAGCCGCCTACGGAGTAGATGGAGGATCAATAATCGCGGAACACCGCCACCATATCATCCAAGCGTGCCACTTCAGCAAGTAGGAGAGCTTCCTTGTCTTTCCAGCGTTGCAAAAGTTCCAACTCCTCTTCGGTGAGGTACTCCTCCTCGTGGCCCTTGACATCACTACGCTCGGTCTTCTCGAGGAAATCCTTGAGTCGAGCTCTCTCGACTTTGATCCGCTGCAGGGTCCGCGACATGGCCTTGTATGTATCCTCCAAAATACTGCTGCAGACACGATCCGGGTCATAGTACCACAGGAAAATGGTCTTGGAGGGTTGACGTTGTGCGTCCTTGGGCACCTCTTGCAAATCCACAAACCCACCAGACTGCATGCTAGAAAGGGTTTGCCGCAGATCCTTGAATGGAAGCAGGCTAATTTCCTGCAGTCGCTTCTCATCGAGTTTGCCCTTGGCATGCAGCACACGGATCACACGAATAGCAACGTCACCGTACCTGGATTCAATCATTCGTTCAAGCTCCAAGTGTCGTAATTTGCGAGCCAAGCCACGGAACCCAACCCGCCACTTGGGGACACCATACAGCTCAACACACGATGTGAGATTGAGAGGTGGCTGTGCAAGAAGTTGAAGATGCTGATTGATCTCCCAAGCTCGACTCGGACCACTGGACTCGTCGTCAGAGCCCTCATGATCGCCGTTGACCCCATTTTCCAAGGGTCGTTTTCCGCCTCGATTTACCGACTGTGAAGATGAGTCTAGCGGGGCAAAGGCTCCAGACAGATCCAGATAAGGGTCGACATCCCCTAGTATCTTTTCTGCATCAATGGGGACAGTCCACTGCTCTCCTTCTTCACACTCACGTGGAATTTCTTCGGTATCTCGGCATCGAAGCGTGGCATATTCAATATGTCGAAGGAGACAGTCATATACCTCTGCGGTGGCCGGAGGTGCATCCTGCTCAGCAAGGCTGACAAACCTAGCGTTGCGTAGCGCCACATCCAACTTTTCATAGTTAACCCGCACGACCAATCCGGACTAGAGGAAAGTCAGCTTCCATTTCATGAGAAATGTCCAATTTGGTAGCAAGAATCTTACATCCATGGGGGTATTGTCGAAACCGTCTTCATCTTCTGACCAGTGATTCTCTTCCTCATTTGTCATTTGATGCTCATTGGCTCCATTCTCCCACCGTTGCTCATCTGTAGAGCTCGAAGCATTGTGTCGGAACTTCCTTTTGATCCCTCGAGGAAGGCCATGAACCATAAGCTCTTGGGAAAGATCGGCATGGGTCCGATTATGTATTAGTTCCTGGATCTCAAGCGCAAGCGTTTCTTGCTGCCTCTTTCCCTTCAGCGCCTTGATATCTGAACGGGAAGACACTGTGCGTTGTGCTTCAAGTAGATTGTCCGAGGGACTCTGGAAATGAGCATCACGAACACGCATCAAGTATCCGTGAGATGCAAGAGCTTTGATGGTGGCATGGAAAGGAGCAGGCTGTCTTTCCGAGGTATGACCGCCGTTCGTCTCGCCGGTTTGGTCCTCAACTTCCATGTCATCTTCTTGTGGTTCTTCGTTGCCGTTTGTAATCCCATTTGGGACTACGGGCGTTAGGGTTTGGAGTTCGGGTAGAGTTTCAAGATGGCCGACAGAGGCGTGGCCGAGGAAGAGAATTGCCTCCATGACTCGGGCCGCGTATTCTCCAAGCCGATCTTCGACCAAGTTGAGAATCTTCCCGGAGCGTACGAGGTAGTATGCGGCATGGGGATTTGATTCGTAGTAGGTATGGTTATCTTCGAGAGAGGTGAAGTAGTAGACGAGATGATGCTGAATCATGGCAGTCAAGCCATGGCGCAGCTGACGGTCAGTTAGGCGAGAATAGAATTTTAATCGAGGAAGAGAAAGCCGTTCATAGCGTTGTAGGGTCGAGAAAATGCGCTGGAAAACACCAAGCTAATGATCAGTATTGCTTTGCAGCGGGAATGCCACCACAGGGCTGATTCTGCATGGATGGGCATAGCAGTCATTGGTTCAGAATCACTTACTGCGAACAGCTCTCCGAAGTGGTCCTCGATGAGGAGCGTACAGAGCTCCACGGCATGCTGCGCAGAGAAGGGTGTCAGTATTGGACCAAGGTCAGTGGAGGGGCTGTAGCGAACCTGGGACATCATCATGGCGTTTTTCAGAAGGCTTACCAGCCTCCAGTCCTCATGAGGAACAATTGAGGTCACCGCGACAAGTTCATGGAGGGGACCTGGTATAGTTGCGAAAGGGTATTACTGGCGGGCACTTTTTTGCTTATCAGTCACGTGAAGATCAGCTGATCCTGCATCTACAGTACAACGAGGAGATTCGACTTTCTTGTATAGACCACACCCTGAGATTATGGGCATGATCATTGCTGTTTTGACCCATACCTCTCTCATTGAATCCGCATATAACCCAGCAAATCATGCAATGTTTTGATCAATTAAAACTCCCCAACACTATATAAAAGTCCAAACCTCTATTGTAGAAAAGTTCTTCCGAGTCCGTCCGACTCGTCACGGCAGCCAATCAGAGCCCGAGTAATCAACCCAGCCCCGGCATCTTGAAGCTTTTCGTAACCCGTCTGCTTCCCTCTCCCGACGCATCTCCCCTCCCCTCCCCTCAATTGCTTCTTCAAGCCCATTCGGGTTACTGTTTCTTTTCTCTCTTCTTCAATTGTCCCTGGCACATCATGCTGTCGCGGTCTTCCCTCAGCCGAAATGCGCCGCGTGCGCTCTCCGCCGGCCGTCGGGCCATGGCCTCTGCTGCCAACCCGACCTTCCAGTACGATGTCACCGAGGCTGCCGGCGTGAAGGTTGCCAACCGTGAGGTCAACGGTGCTACTGGTACTCTGGCGCTGGTTGCCAAGGCTGGCTCCCGTTACCAGCCCTTCCCTGGCTTCTCCGATGCCCTTGACAAGTTCGCCTTCAAGGTTGGTCCCGCGACCATTGTCGTATCAACTTCCTCAATGTTAACCTGTCCATCATAGACCACACTTAAGCGTTCCGCTCTGCGCATCACTCGGGAGGTTGAGCTGCTGGGCGGTCAGATCTCGTCGACACACTCGCGCGAAAACGTCGTTCTCCGCGCCAAGTTCCTCGCCAATGATCTCCCATACTTCACAGAGCTGCTGGCTGAGGTCGCTGGCAAGCCCAAGTTCACTGGTACGTAGCTTGACATCATGCATGGGAACGAGATGAGCTTGAAATGAACCTGGCGGAGGGTGATAGCATATCAGAAACTTTTTTTGCTTTCCAACTGACATGAATTTTCGTTTGACACTAGACCACGAATTGAACGAGGTTGTCAGCCAACTCCTCAAGTACCAGCAGGACGCCGTTTACTCCAGCGCCGAGACCGTTGCTATTGATGCCGCTCATGGCGTCGCCTTCCACCGCGGCCTGGGATCTCCCATCACCCCCAGCCAGTCCACCCCCTATGAGAAGTACCTCTCCGGCGACGCCCTGGCCCAGTTTGCTCAGGATGCCTACGCCAAGTCCAATATCGCTCTGGTTGCCACCGGCCCCAACTCCGCCGATGTTTCCAAGTGGGTGGGTCAGTTCTTCCAGGATCTCCCCACCGGTACCTCCTCCGGCCAGTACAAGCTTCAGCCTAGCGAGCCTACCAAGTACTTCGGTGGTGAGCAGCGTCTTCCCTCCAAGACCGGTAACGCCGTCGTGATTGCCTTCCCCGGCTCCAGCGCTTTCGGCACTGCTGGCTACAAGCCCGAGGCTTCCGTCCTGGCTGCTCTTCTGGGCGGCGAGTCCTCTATCAAGTGGACCCCTGGTTTCTCGCTCCTGTCCAAGGCTACCCAGGGCTTCTCTTTCCTTAACGTCTCGACCAAGAACCACTCCTACTCCGATGCCGGTCTCTTCACTGTCACCCTTACCGGTGCCGCTGACCAGGTTGGTGCCGCCAGCAAGAATGTCGTCGATGCCCTCAAGAAGGCCGCCGCCGGCGAGGTCGCCAGCGAAGACATTAAGAAGGCCATTGCCCTGGCCAAGTTCAGTGCTCTGGAGTCTGTTCAGACCCTGGAGACTGGCCTTGAAGCCACTGGCTCCGGTCTGGTTCACGGCAGCAAGGCTTACCAGATTGGCGAGATTGCCCAGGCTCTTGAGAATGTTACTGAGCAGCAGGTCAAGGATGTACGTTTTATTTCTCTCTCGTTTTCTTATGAATTAACACTAACTAAAAATGTTCATAGGCCGCCCAGACTTTCCTTTCCGGAAAGGCCACTCTTGTCAGCGTCGGCGATGTTCACCAGCTCCCGTACGCTGAGGACATTGGTCTGTCTGCTTAAATATCCCTTGTATACCATACAACCCCCTAGACCGAGGGAAAAGCGTGTTTCCTCGTTTGGATTTGATGTGATCACTTGTGCCTAGATTCCTTCCCGATATCTCCTTTGTGTTTGAGGGTGTAGTTGACTGTAATACAATTGTACCTTATTTGATGCAGTCCTCCTCTTAGTAATCCTTTGTGAATGTTTTTGTCCATTTTTTTCTTTTGATCTTGGGCCCTATTGCGCAAAATTCGGCCGTGGATCCGAGAGGGCTTCTCGCATTAGATACAACCACAGATCTCTGCGAGTGGTATGTCTGTAAAACACAAATGCACCAAGACAGCAGACCAGATGTCATCTAGCGCGTCTTTAGTATGATGAGCCTCAAAGTCCTGTGCCAACCTCGTTTTCAAAACAAAAAAAAAACAAAGTTGACGGGAGCTAGGAGTACCCAATAAAAGGATCCTGTGAACTGAACAATGGATAGCGCAACAGTGCTTGACTTTGTCCCTAAATGCTTATGTCCTCGTCTTTGGGGAAGATAATGACATACGGAACATTTGATAATCACGATCATATGAGACATCTAAACAATATCGTTAGCCGAGGTCAAGTCGTGCGTACATCATCACATTACAATGCCTCGGTCGAGGCCGAACGGATAAATGGAAGAGCAACAAAGGTCCATACAATGACGTCTCAAGAGCCGATTTGCGCCCCCGAGATCGGATGATTCGACATCACGATACGAAGTAAGTTCCCCCGAAAACTGGGGTCAATGGTTGGTTTGTAGAATAGAATCAAGCTCCAGATTCCTGGCATCGGATTACATAACTTCGTGACGCTCCAAAGTGGCTCCTTTAAGGGGGTTTTCATTGAAAGATAATGAATTAAGTTAAACACCAGGACACTGGATCAAGCTAAGACAAAGTATTCTAAGGGGTGTGTTTGAGTTTCACAACAAATGCATTCAGTGGGTATCGGGGTCTTGTTTCAAATTATGGATGTATAGACGGAATTTTAAGTCTCGCTCTCCGACAACCGCTGCATAGCAGAAGGGTATCTCAAACCTTCTCTTTAGTGCTTAGCGGTGACGGCCTCGCCAGTCAGTTTTTCGACTGCTTCTTTGGCCCTATAAGATGCAAAGAGATTAGTAAAGGTATCAGAACGGGGGGGGGGAGGGAAGGAGAGAAGATTAGAACGCACATGTCACCAAGAGCCACCATGCAGACGGTCTGCCAGATACCCAGACCAATGCGGGGAGCGACACCGCGGTAAAGACCACGGATTCCATTGGAGTCGTAGATGTACTTGAACGCCTTGCCGACAGTGAGGTTCTTGGGGCGGTTGGGGTCAACGGTCTTGCTCTGCATCTCGACACGAATGACCTCAATGGGCTGATTCCAGGCGGAAAGACCACCACCGAGACCGGAGGCGAGGATCTTCTCCCAGGCGGACAGCTTCTGGCCATCCTCCTTGTTGGTGACCTTGCGGATGGCAGACTCAGCCAGACGCGAGAGACCGAAGCGAGAACCCCAGTTGGTAGTCTGACGGATGGCCACGGCGTTGACACCACGGTTGATACCCCGGATACCCTCCTTGCGGTAAATATCCATGAAGGTTCCGAAGGTACTGGCGGGCTTAACACCGGCGGCAGCCATCTTGTGCTTGGTGATCTCGACGGTCTTCATGCAGGTGCAGAAGCCCATGGTGGCATACGCCTGGGCGATACCACCAGCCATACCACCACTGATACCGCTAACGAAATCATTGGCACCGAATCGGCGAGCCTGCCACTCCGCTTCGGAGGCAACGAACAGGAGAACCGCGCCCTTAGTGGAGGCCTCAATCCAGGCCCACGGAATGAGTCCTTGATAGTCTAAATGTCGGTAGATCTTCAGTCAGCATGGTTGGTTCCAACAGGATTGGCTGGATGATCCCCACACGCAAGTTGCGCGCATCGGAGGAAAAGCGAAGGGGGGTTGGTTACATACAACCGAGGATCCCGCCACGGCCCCAAATCCGACCCATAGCACTGCCGAAGCTGTCGCCCCGATTGGCGGCCATGGTTGTCTTGATCACTTCCAACGGCTAAACGGAAAGGGATGAATGTCAGTCGATGATTTGGCTTTTTTCGGGCGCCCTAGCTCTCCAGGGCGCCTGGAAAGCTGGAAAGTTGAGAAAGAAAAGACTAACCTGTCCCAAGGTGGTGACCTCAAACAAGTTCAAACCAGCGCCCAGCAACAAGTTGCTGAACTTGACGGGCTTCTTCTCAAGCTGAGGCGCGGCGGCCTTCTCTGGAGTTGTCGACATTTCTGGTATGGGGATGCTGCTGAAAGGGGCCCTGACCAAGGGAGATAGGGGCTTCGTCGCCTAAGGGATGGAGAAGAGGAGAGAGAAGAGGAGTGCAAGACTCAAAAAATGGGGAGTCTGGGGAAGAAGAGAGTGGTTGGAAAAGAAGAAGGAAGGGCGAGGCGCCTATTGTCTTATAGGGGCAATCAGCTCAGGCCAGTACCTCGAGGGCGGAGTTTCCACTCATGCTATTGGGTACAGGGTACCTCCCATACCGCCTACATTGCTCCGTACTTTCACAATAACCGATGCTACGATGTCGGGCTTTGCTATGTCGGGAATTTTGTAAACTCCGAAAATCGCCAATTAATCCTACAAGAGATTGTTCAATATTCTGCAGCGTAACCATCATCTCCATGACTGTTGTTCTCCTTCTACATCGCCATAACAACGTGGATGTTGTGATTTTTTCCAAGTGGGTCGGTGAGAGAAGGTTGAGCCTCCCCAACAAACGTGTGCTCGATTCTCCTCAGTAGCCGTCAGACCATTCTCAATACTGCTGGTGTATACCTCAGACTTTGCTTATCTACGTACATGCAGTACAATACGATGTACATCTATGCATCGAATCCTTTCGTCAGTCCCATTCTGGTGTCTTTACTGGAAATGTACAGTTACGTGATAAATCATGCTTTCGAGGAAGTGCTGTTACAAGGCCCGCTCGAACCCAAGTCCTATCATACATGACAAAAAAATCACAGGACCAGATATAAAAAAAGGAATAATACATGTCTTAACTTAGAAACACCCCCCGAAAACCATTTGCGCTGTTAAATTTACAGCTTGGCGCCGACCAGCTTGGCGTAGGCCTCAGTGCTGAAAGACTTGGGGCGCTCAATGGGCATACCAAGAGCACGGTCGATGATCAGCTGGGGCAGGACACCGAGGGCACGGGACACACCGAACAGGACGGTGTAGTAGTTGGCCTCGGTCAGGCCGTAGTACTGGAGGAGGACACCGGAGTGGGCATCGACGTTGGGGTAGGGGTTCTTGGTCTTGCCGTGCTCGGTCAGGACACCGGGGGCGATCTTGTAGACCTGGCTGACCAGCTTGAACATGGGGTCATCGGGCAGCTTGCGGAGGGCAAACTCGCGCTGAGACACGTAGCGGGGGTCGGTCTTGCGGAGAACAGCGTGGCCGTAACCGGGAACGACCTGGCCGGCGTTCAGGGTGGACCACAGGTAGTTCTTGATGGACTCGTCAGTCAGGTCGTTGCCAACGGCCTGCTTCATCTTGGTGAGCCAGTTCAGGACCTCCTGGTTGGCCAGACCGTGCAGGGGACCGGCCAGACCCTGGAGACCGGCGGAGAGGGAGAGCATGGGGGAGCTCAGGGCGGAGCCGACCAGGTGAGTGGTGTGGGCGCTGACGTTACCACCCTCGTGGTCGGAGTGGATGGTCAGGTACAGACGCATCAGCTCAACGAAGTCCTTGTTGCCGCCGAAGCCAAGCTGGTTGGCCAAGTTGAAGGAGTAATCCTTGTCCTTCTGGATGGGGGCGACCTTGCCGTCCTGGAAGACGTTACGGTAGATCTTGGCGGCAATGGTGGGCAGCTTGGCGATCAAGTCCATGGAGTCCTCGAAGGTGTAGTTCCAGTACTCCTTCTTGTTGACACCCTTAGCGTAAGCCTTGGCGAAGGAAGACTCGTGCTCAAGGGCAGTCACGGCCAGGGAGAACTGAGCCATGGGGTGGAGAGTGCTGGGGCAGCGGTCGATGAGCTCCTCAACAAACTTGGGGACATCGGAACGGGCAGCCCACTCGGCGGAGAGGTCACGGACCTGCTGCTCGGAAGGAATCTCGCCAGTCAACAGAAGCCAGAAGAGACCCTCGGGCAGAGGCTCCTCACCACCGGGAGCCTTGGGAAGAAGCTCCTGGATCTCGGGGATCTAGATCTGAGTGTTAGTTGCCTATCGGCATTCAACGCCCTATTCCTGTCACTTACAGTACGGCCACGGAAACGGATACCCTCCTCAGAGTCAAGGACGGAACCCTAACGCAAGAAAAACAGAAAAAGTCAGCCTCACTGCGCCTGCGCGTCATCCCAGGATCGAGATATAAAACTCACCTCCCAGACGAGAGACTTGATACCACGGGCACCACCGTAGGCCTGGTCAAGGGTAACCTCACCGATGACAGTGTTACCGTGTTCCCTGCGATTGTATCAGCAACTGACACGTAGTTTTGTTGGGCGCGGAATGACATACTTGCGGAGCTTCTTGACCTTCTCGATCTCGGCGGGCAGGTTGTCGGCGAAGGTGTCCTTAAGAGACTATCCGAGAGATTAGTATTCCAATTGACAATCATCAACTTTCGATGCGACGACATACCTTAGCCTTGGCGGAGGAGTAGCAGCGCGCGCCGTTCAGGGCGGCAGTCTGCACAGGCTTAGCCATAGAGGCCCGCAGAGCGGAGGTACCAATTCGAATGGAGGCCATTATGAAATGTCAATCTCTACACGACAGAGAAGTGTGGGAAAGAGAGGAGTGGAATGGGAGGAGAGAAAAGGAAAGAAAAGAAATCATCCGGGAGCTCCCTTTTTTCGGATTGGATTTTTCCCGTAATACAGCCGGTACGGATCGGGCTGATCAGTATGTAATTTACTCCCAACGGTACATAGCTCGGGCTGCCGTGGATCGTCGAGTCCGAGCATTTCCGTCACTCGATGCTTTTTAAATTTACTTTGGAGGATACTCGCAGCAGTTCTCCATACCATACACCGTCATCCTATCTGATTAGGGCCGAGGTTATGAGCTCAGCAAGATCAGGGGTATAGGTATACCGTATCATACCCACTATCCCTGATGCGGGTATGGCAGTGACGTCGGCAAGTCGCCATCCCATGTCCCGCCATCCGGATCCCCGAAAGTGCGGGTTGGGGCCCTCGGCATCAGATTAGGACCTTTGGGGGCTACCAGCTGATTCGATATTCCCATGACCTTCTGCATATCATTTGCTTTGACATGAAGTCCATGCAAATGGATCATCGATTGAAACCCAGCTACGTTCCCTCCGTTTATAGCCGGTCATCTGCTTAAAAAGTTCACCGAAATTCGGGAGCTCCACGGGACAAACGAGGACATGGGGGTGGGAAAGAGACTAACACCAAAACAGCAAGGAAACAAACCAAAGAAGCCGATATTCGCCAACGGAAATCTTGCCGACCCCATAGCTCTCAGCAAAGTGGGTTTCTTGGGTTAGTGCACCAGAAGTATACGTATGAATTCTTTTTTTATTCTTTTCTGTTTTCCCATTCGAATGTAGCTCCATCAACAACTGTAGCCGGGGGAACCGACCCCAAGTCACGGGAGCAACAGCCACGTGATCTGTCTCCCGTGATCCAGGTCACGTGTGATGATGACCAATCCAGCCTAGCGGAACAAACTCTTTCACTCCTTTTCTCTTGCAGAACATCGTTTCCTTCCGTCAACTCGCCATCACCCTCATCTCGGAATTATCAGATTCTCCCCACGGATAGTACTCTGTAAATCCGTGGATTCTACCCTTTCCCTCTCACCAGTACGCCTCTAGGTCCCCGTACTCGTACTTCAGGCAAGGGCAACCCCCCCCCCTAGGCTGTATCCCAGCTGTAGGCGACTTCTTATTTCTCTGGCCTGGTTCGACATTCCTATGCTGTAGTGAAGAAGACGGCTAGATATTTTGAATTCTCCCGAAGAATCTAATCTTGTCAGAGACCAAGACCAAAAAAGACATTTTGCCCTTTACCTCCTGTTCGCAATTCTCCAGTAGCCACGGGACTTGGGCCGACGACTCCTTCTCGGGTCACATTAGACCTTTCACTTGGTTCTGAGAATCCTCTTATTTTTCACCATGTCGTCAGCTGTAGCGGAGCTGGAGAACTATCTCCAGTCCATGCTGGCTTTGAAACCACCTGGCGTATCAGGCTCCAAAATTCACAGCATCACCACATTGTGCACCGCCAATGTTCAGGTACGTTTTGATTCATACCTCCAACTTCAGTTGAACTTCCAAACTAACTCACCTCCAGAATGAATCCGTTCTCATCCAAAAGATCTACACCCACTTCAAAAAGGCACCGGGCACCCACAAGCTGGGCGTACTCTATGTCGTAGACTCTGTAACCCGACAGTGGGTAGAAGCTGCACGCAAAGCTGGTCAACCTCCAGGAAATTCTGCTCCGGATGGAACTTTCGCCGCGGGTGTCAACCGAGTCACTGAACTTCTGCCCGTGTTGATGGGAGATATTATAAACACGTCCCCACAGGATCAAAAGGTACGCACTAGATATGCATTCAAATCAGCCCCACCGAAGCTTGGGGGCCGATCACCCTGGTACATTGGTGGAAACACCCATCTACCTCGCCAACTCTGATTCTTTAGAGAAACCGTATGATTAACGTATTTCTTTCTTTCTAAATCGTATAGGACAAGATCAAGAAACTCATCGATATCTGGGAGCGGGGATGCACGTTTCCCCTTCCTATGCTCGCCTCAATTCGAGACAAGATGAACACCCCTCAAAGTAAGCTCGGTCCCTTCGGTATCCCATTAGATGACTTCGTCAATTTTTGTTTCCGTGTTTCCTTCTCATCTCCAGAAACTTGGACTTGCCTTCTAACCATATGTGCAGACGTCGAGTCCACCACCCCCGAAGGATCACCTGCTCCCGGTTCGAATCCACTGGGAGCGAGTGGTAACTCTGCAGCTGCTCCAGATACCTCGAGTATCTTAAAGGCGTTGGCCGATATGGCCAAGCAGAACACCGCTGCCCCCGCTGCTCCCGCTACGCCGGCCAACCCGCTCGCAGCTTTGAACCCCTCCGCCCCGTTGCCCATCTCTTCTGCCGATGCCTCGATGCCCCCTTCCGCTCCTACCCAATTCGCCGCTCCCAATGCTATGAACCCTTACGCTGCTCTGGGGGCTCTCGGTCAAAACCCCGCTTTGGGTCAACAACAAACTCACAGCCCGGCCCCGAACCCCATGGCCCAGAACCCCATGGCCGCCATGCTCCCACAAGCTGCGACTCCAGCCATGCCCGACGGAGGTGCAATGGCGCAGCAACTTCAGCTACTTCAAATGCTTGCCGCCCAGGGGATACCTCAAGAACAGTGGGCCACCGCCCTACAACTCTGGACCATGACAAACATGGGCGCCAACCCGACCCAACCTGGTTTCAATGCCATGCCGGGAATGCCCCCGATGCCCGGAATGCCTCCGATGCCTGGAATGCCCCCGATGCCCGGTATGCCTGGATGGGGCCCGCAAGATAATCAAAACCGAGATGAGCGCGATCGTGACCGTCAATACGACCGTTCCCCGGGAGGATATCGCCGTCGATCGCGCTCCCCTGGGGCTGGCTGGGACCGACGCCGCACCGCCTCTCCCCCTCGTCGCCGTGACAGCCCTGTATATGGCGAATACCACGGTGAATCCCCTGGTCGTAGAGGCGATCCTCGGGATGCTCGTGGTCGTCGAGGCAATGAGTACCGCCAGCGCAGCCCGGCTGGACGCCGACGCCGCTCTCCTTCGCCTCCTCGCAATGATCCCAACCTGCCCCCTCCGGGTCCTAAGCTCATTGAATGGGACTATTCCATTGGTCAAAACAACATGAAAGTTCTCAGCCGCACCCTCTTTGTTGGTGGTGTCACCTCCTCCGAGGCAAATCTGCGTGCCCTGTTTGGCAAGTTTGGTGTCGTTCAAACCTGTATCGTCAATGTCGACAAGCGTCATGCATTCATCAAGATGATTACTCGCCAGGATGCTATAGCCGCACGTGATGGAATGGAATCTTACCGCGCGGGAGAAATGCAACTACGTACCCGGTGGGGTGTTGGGTTCGGTCCTCGTGACTGCAGTGATTACCAGACGGGTGTTAGTATCATTCCGATCGAACGCTTGACTGAGGCAGACCGCAAATGGATGCTCACTGCGGAGTACGGTGGCACTGGTGGCCGTCAGATTGAATCTGGCATGGTGGTGGAGGAACCTGATATCGAGATCGGCGCGGGTGTATCTTCCAAGGCAATCAGCCGTCGCATCGCAACCGACACTGGTGGCAAGCGGGGTCCCATTTCCACTCGCACTCAAGGAGACCGCTTCACCGGTGGTCGTCGCCCGGAGCGTGATGGTTTCGGTGGCGGTCACAATTCCGGTCCTCCTCAGGCTGACCGTGGTGACATGAACAACACCATGAACAACTCGGCCGTTCCCCCTGCTGTTCCCGCATACGGCTTCAGCTTCCCTGGCATGCCCATGCTTCCTCCCGGTTTCATGATGGGTCAGGGTTCCATGCAGACTTCTCAACCCCCGGCCCCCGGCCAGGGTGAGTAAAGCAGGGTCTTCTTGCCGAGCAATTTTGTTTTTCTCTTTTTCCCATGTTTTATGCTGATTCTTCATGGCCTAATTGGCCTTTCTGACCATTGTCTTCTAATCCACCATTTTTGCATGGACATTCGGTGTTGTCCACGGACAACTGGCGTTTTGATGGGTTGGCATGATCTGTATCAAAATGACTGAAGAGGGAGGTTTTCTTTTTATGCGTCTGGGTTTCTTCGATTATTTCTTCTTTTCATATCCTCTTTTTCCTTTTTCCCTTTTTTGTGAAACATCTGCATATGCCTACAGCGAACTGAATGACGTTGTCATGAATCAACGCCCATCGTAGGCATGAAAGAATCTTGTTACAGACCCATTTTTTCACCTTATTCCGTTTCTTCCGTTGTAGCTCACGTCCAAGCCTGAGGTATCTCTTCTACTGCGTCACATCAATCTCCCAAATTGGTTGTGGTTCTTGAACCTAGCTAGCTCTTAGTCAAATGTTACCTAATGTACTTTTGCAGGTTAAAACGCTCACGCCGTATTCACGAGTATTCTGGAAAATAATTTGCCAATAATCAGAGTTGTATAATTGTAATTTTCTCGCTCTATCGTAAGGGAATGGCCAAATCTACATATGTAAATCTTCGGGCCTTGTTGCTGGCCACGTTGAAATACCATTCCGGTATATTCCTAGCTCTTAATAAACATATTTTCTCGGAAGTTTTCGGTTGTTCAGCTCTGGCCTTTGATTATAAATATATAAATAGATATATCTTTAAGCCGTGCGGTCCGACAGCACAGCCTTAGATGCACGGAACGACTGTTCAAAATCGGCGATGATATCGTCAATATGCTCTGTGCCGACGGAAATTCGGATTCCATCTTCAGTCACGCCAGAATCCCGGCGCTCCTGCTCGGTCAGCTGCTCATGAGTGGTAGACCAAGGATGGATGGCTAGGGTCTTGGAGTCTCCGACACTGGGAGGGTTAGCAAATACCAATATATCAACCAGGGCGAACTTACTTGGCAAGGTTGGAGATCAGCCTAAAGCCATCAACCACCTGACTACCGGCAGCAGCGCCACCCTTGATACCCACCGACAAAACACCACCAAAGCCGCGTGGGAGGTACTTCTTTGCAAGGGCATGAGAAGGATGATCCTCCAGACCTGGGTAAGATACCCAGCTCACATTCTCATTCTTCTGCAGCCATTTAGCCAAGGCCAGAGCATTTGTGGCATGGCGCTCTGAGCGCAGACTCAAGGTTTCAATTCCCAAGATCAGCTGCTGCGCCGCGAAGGGGTTCAATGCCGAGCCCAGATCACGCAGAATTTCGACTCGAACCCGGATGGCGTAGGCAGCGGCCCCGAAAGTCTCCCAGAACTTCAAGCCATGGTAGCTTTCCGAAGGCTCGACGAACTGCGGGAAGCGGACACTATTCTTGCCCCAGTCGAACTTGCCACTGTCAATAACCACACCTCCAATGGTGGTGCCGTGACCCCCGATCCACTTGGTAGCACTGTGAACAACGATATCAGCGCCATAATCGATGGGGCGAGCAAAGTAACCGCCTGCACCGAAGGTGTTGTCAACCTGTGAATTTCCACACTGTAAGCCGCCGATCACTTCATTCAGTGGCTTTCAACTTACGACCAGTGGAACTCCTTTATCGTGAGCTACCTTGGCAATTGCCTCGAAATCTGGCACATTATAACGAGGGTTGCCAATGGTCTCTAAGAATACAGCCTTGGTACGGTCATCAATGGCAGCCGCGATATCGGCAGGGTCATCGCCCTTGACAAATTTAGTGTTGATCCCCAGACGCGGGAAGAGTACCTTGAATTGGTTATAGGTGCCTCCGTATAGATTGCTGGTAGCGACGATATTATCCCCAGCATGCGCGAGGGCCGAAATGGCCATGAACTGGGCTGCCTGGCCTGATGAGGCGGCGACGGCAGCGATACCGCCCTCTAGAGCGGCGATGCGCTTCTCGAAGACGTCTACGGTGGGGTTCATGATTCGGCTGTAAATGTTTCCGAACTCCTTGAGGCCAAAGAGCCTGGCGCCATGGGCAGAGTCATCGAAGGTGAAGGAGGTGGTGGCATAGATAGGTACAGCACGGGATTTAGTGGCTGGGTCAGGCTCATGACTATTGACTTGTGAGAATTGATTCGAGGAGCCTTGGAATGGGAACTAAGCACGAAACAAAAGACTGTGGGGAATGCTTACCCCGCATGAAGCTGAAGCGTCTCAAAGTGGAAATTCTGCTCCGACATGGTGAAAATATGGGGTTGTCTAAGACAATATTCTTTGTGATACTCTCTCCAAGGCAGGAGGTTCGATTTTAAGCTTGAGCAAGAAGGCGGGGGAATACTCGATGGCGTGATTCAATGCATTTCTCGTGCGAGTCTGCAGTGATGTGGTCAAGGGAATTGCAATTCTTAGCTAAAATTCTCCACTCGGGAACCTTGTTTCTAACTCTTGTCATTATAGACCAATAGATGTAGGCATTTGGGCCTAAATAACAAATTGCTTTTCCCACCTCACCTCACTTCGCCTCAACAGGACACGACCGCCAATTTGCACCGAAACCGTAGGTTTCCATGCGACCTTATGATTTATAAGATGGGAGAAATCGCCTTGGAAAAATTCGATACGCTCGCAGACTCAGGTGTTATAATCCTCCGTGTAAAGCTGTAGCACGCTTTTTTTTTTTTTTGCTTGGCCACTGCGAAATTTAGTATGCGTTGGCACAGGCCCATCCGATGAGAAGCCCGGAACTCTTTTTTGACATCCGTATAGGTGCATGGGAGCGCTTTTGAGGATCAAGGAACGCAAATGGCATATCGGTATACGTTAGTCACTCGGCAGATATACCAAAGGATGGATTGAAGTAGATCCTCCTCATGGCGAGATGGAGATGTACAACATGGAATCGGTGAGGCGAGTAAGTGCGGTACGGGCAGATATGAGCTGATATAACTCGAACAAGTCTGGTTACGAAGTCGATGCGCAAATTTCCGTCCAGCAATCCTGTACGAACGCTAGGAATGATTTCCCCCGAAGTTCCATGAAAGCCGAGAGAGGAGGTCGTAACATGGTGGCTGCACAAAGCTAGGCAAGAAGCATCAACAGGCGATGGGTAGCTGGGAATGAGGCACACAAGCTCCGGTGGCAGGGTATCCAGTGTCCTTCGCATGGTTGATTCCTTGAGCAAACCAATGTCGACACTTGGTCTCGACATTCAAGAATGGCCATTTTTTCTATTCATAGTCAACTCTCGCGGAGTATCCGTCCCGCGTCGTCCTAGACAAGATGCCCCGTGTAGGATGAAGAGAGAAGATCGCTTACATAACACAGATCAGATCAGTGTTACGAGCAATAAGAGCGCTAGGTATCTCTCTATAGACTAACGATCGCCGTATAGAAAAAAAAAAAGAAAAGAAAAGAAGCGAACAGAGTAAATAGATCGGTAAGGGGTCTTGACTCCACCCGGTGACATGGTACGAATTCTATACAAGTTGAGTATGAACTTTAATCTTTGGTTCTATAGATGAGAGCGCTAGAAGTGAATGAACATAACGGTTTTATCGGTTACCAAACTCCAGACTTACAGATGCAGGGGCATATGACCTCATGGGTCAGACATTCTGAACTTGGATATAAAGTATGCGTTACGCTAGCGTTAGGCAGCGTCAAGCCACAAAAATCAGATCGACGCATGTTCTTCACAGCACCCCGTGTAGGCAACAGAAATACACCATGCAAGTAATATTTATAGAAACTACTCAGGTATCAGGGTTTTCAAGTCTATCCCATGAGGAAAACCCCCTCTCTTCCTTTTCTTGAATAGTGTGCACTTTCACAAAGGCGATCCTTCCCCATCAGCCCTATTGGCTGCCACCTGACTAGCCTGTCACCGATGACGCTTGGGCGACGCCGGTGGCTGATCTTTGATGACTTTATATATAAATTGGTCCACGCTTTTTCATCGCCAGTATCAACTCATCACCCAACATGGCTTTCCCTTGGATCTACGCCGTTCGCATCGCACAAATCCTTTTTGGCCTGATCGTATTGGCCTTGACGGCCTATGGTGCGTGACCACCCTCTCCCTCTCCCGCTCCTCATCCACTAACCTTTTCTCTAGTGGTCAGTACCTTCAACGGGTGGTCGTACTCCAGTACTGTGGATTTCAACCTGTTTTTGGGCTGCTGGACAACGTTTCTGGCCACTCCTTACCTGGCCGCCGCGCCGATCTATGCACCGCGACTCGCCCACCACTATGTGATTCCGGCCGTCGAGGTGGTTACAATGATCTTTTGGTTTGCGGGCTTTATCGCCATGGGCGCTGAGTTGCCGCCTGCGGTCGGCTGCACTTGGAGTACCTGTCGTGCCCTCCAAGCCGTCACGGTGTTTGGATCCTTTGAATGGTAGGTTCTTTGAAGTACTCAATTGTTTTCATGTCGAGCTGACCGGTCGGACCCAGGGCTCTTTTCGTTGTCACCACTTATTTTGCCATTGTCGACCTCATGCACCACCGCAATAGCGGCGAAACTGCTCAAAAGACCCACAATGCCCATCTTGGAGTCTGATGGGTGGTCGATATGTTTATAATGAGAGGTGACTGTGTCTTTGTTTTATTGTTTTGTTGAAGCGTCCCCGATACCCGAGCTGTATGTCATAGTAATTAGTGGACGCTTATCGCCCCACGGAAACGGAATCCACGTTTGCGGCCAATTCACGGTTGATCCGTTTTTCCTCATTGTCGGGCAGATGATTGGTCTCCTCTGTTTTTCTCGATTTCTCAGAGATAGCGGGGGATTATTAAATCTCTCGATTTTATCTGCATGGCATGATGTTGTAGAGTTACATTCGACCTTGATAAGCAATGTAGTCATTCACTTGATCAATGATATACGTAACGCAATACAGGCAGGAATCCTTGGAACCTCTAATCAGTCGCCACCAGAAAAAAAAAATCTCTGTTGGGGAGCGTGGCCCACATCAACGGGAAACATAAAACCTTCGGAAAACTTGGGAAATAAACTATGAGGGAAAAAAAAATTTCAAATAAACTTTGTCTTCAAAGACTGGAGTTTCAGCATCAATTGATTTCTCTAGAGATCATCCTCGATCTTGAAATCAGTTCTCAACGTTGCATTCGATTTCTTTTACCTAAGACTTTGTCCGCCGATCTAGGAAGTAGGGTTTGACAGCGTCGCGTGTTTCTCCACATCGGCCTTGCCCTCGGAGGCATCCGCTCCTGTGCAGGTAGTGGTCCTAAGTGGAGACTGGTGCGCGCGACCTCTTGACTCAGTTCAGATCCTTCTCTTCTTCTCTCCTGATCACCGTTCCGCTTCGACAACGTCAGAAATGGCCTCTGGCAAGGTCTGGAATGCGCCGTGGTCTGAGAAGGGAAAAATGGAATACGAGACCCCCATTACATCGGCGCAGGTGCCCGAGGATGATCACGACTATGAGAAATATGGCGCCAATCGGGACTCCAACCCTATGCCCGATTTGAAGCGAAAGCTGAAGAGCAGACACTTGCAAATGATTGCCATTGGTGAGTGACATCTCTTGTCGACTGCAGATCTGTCACGCTCACACTTTCCTTCTCTCCAGGTGGAACAATTGGAACTGGTCTGTTCATCGGTAGCGGTACTGCCATCGCGGATGCGGGCCCCGTAGGCGCTCTCATTGCATACATCTTCGTCGGAACCATCGTGTACTCGGTCATGACTGCCCTGGGAGAAATCGCGACGTATATGCCCATCCCCGGTGCCTTTACTGCCTATGCGACGCGATTTGTGGATCCCAGCTTGGGTTTTGCCATGGGCTGGATCTATTGGTTCTCCTGGGCCTCGACCTTTGCTCTCGAACTCACGGCCACTGGTCTGATCATTCAATTCTGGGATAGCACCATCCCCATCGCTATCTTCATCGCAATTTTCTGGGTCCTGATTATTGTCTTCAACATGTTCCCCGTCAGCTTCTATGGTGAGCTCGAGTTCTGGTTTTCCAGCATCAAGGTGAGTTGGATGTGCTTCTGCGTCGTCGAAAGCCCAAGGGCTAGGCAGATTATTTCTAGGAGAGCTTTCAATCCTGACCAAGATTCCATAGGTTCTGACCGTGATTGGTTTCATGATCTTCGCCATTTGCGTCGATGCGGGCGTAGGAACGCAGGGATACCTCGGTTTCCGGTACTGGGTCCACCCCGGTCCCTTCGTTGCTTATATGGTTGATGAAATCGGTGGTAAAACGCCCGTGGCCAAATTCATTGGCTTCTGGTCCGTTTTGATCCAGGCTGGATTCTCCTACCAGGGTACTGAGTTGGTCGGTATCGCAGCTGGTGAGACCGAAAATCCTCGCAAGACCGTCCCCTCGGCGATCCGCAAGACCTTCTTCCGTATTATCTTCTTCTTTGTCTTGACCATTTTCTTCATTGGCATCGTCGTGCCTTCCGATAATCCGGGTCTTCTGGCGAGTGAGGGCAGCGGAGCCAGTGCTAGTAACGCCAATGCCTCCCCATTTGTGATTGCGGCCCGACTTGCTGGAATCAAGGCGCTTCCCAGCATTATCAACGCCGTTCTGCTCACAGTGGTTCTCTCGGCGGCCAACTCGAACGTCTACAGCGGTAGTCGTATCATCGTTGGTTTGGCGCAGGAGGGTTTCGCGCCGCGCTTCTTCAAGAAAACCACCAAGGGTGGCGTGCCCTATTATGCAGTGGGCTTCACCGCTCTGTTCGGCCTTTTGGGTTTCCTGAATGTGTCGGACGCGGGATCCACCGTATTCAACTGGTTGCTCCAGATCGCCGGTGTGGCTGGCTTCATCACCTGGGCCTCATTGAACCTTTGTCACCTTGCCTTCATGCGGGCCCTCAAGGCGCGTAACATCTCCCGTGATGTACTGCCGTACAAGGCGATGTGGCAACCGTACTACTCGTGGTATGGACTGTTCTTCAACATCTTGATTATCTTCACTCAAGGATTTACCGCATTTATCCCGAACTTCCAGGTTAAGGAATTCTTCATCGACTATCTGAGTTTGATCCTGTTCGTGGTCCTCTATCTAGGCCACAAGCTTATCTTCCGCCCGCCGTTCGTCAAGCCCCTTGAGGCCGACCTAGACACAGGCCGGCCCATCTTTGAAAATGAGACGTGGGAAACAAATGAGCCCACCACTTGGTATGGCAAAATGTGGCTCTGGATCTCTGGATAATGGAGTACGTTTCTCCTCGTTTCTTTACATATACTTCTAGTTCTTTCTTTGGAGCTTCTTGGCATTGGGTGCGGCGTTTCGGTACATACACAGTTACCTATTATAGTTCATAGTATATCTCCCCTTAAGAAGCATACCTGTATATAATGTTGTGCCCACCGATGTAGAACACACCTGGTAGACTGTGCAACATCCGAACGGTCCATGTGAAACTGCATGTGGAATGACGGCATAAGGTTTTCCAGTCCGACAGGGGTGGCAAGCCACTAGCGGGGTACTTAGTAATGTATGGGACTGGCCATTGTAGACCGGGTACCCGCAAGCCGAGGTCCATCTGCAGGGTCCCACTTAAATATTGACACGAGATGGAGAAATTGCCTATTGTCGCCTTCTCCGGATTTCTTTTCTCTCAACTCCGGCCCCTTCTTTTCCCTCCCCACACTTTTTCCTTGTGAAGGTCGACTAGGATCTGGGAGACTGTTCCGTTGTCTTTGTGATTTCTTTGTAAACTCTCTTACCTTCACTTTCAGCTCCTTTCCAGAACTATGTAAGTCATTCCCTGAGGTTGCCACACGTTCCGAACAGGGTTCTGACAGGTCGCAACTCCTCCAGATAGCCCATCATGTTCTTCTCTCCGCCCGCTCACCTCGCTAAGGCTGAGGAGCTCAAACAGGACCCTCCCAATGGTAAACCGTACTGTATATCCATTCCCGGGAGTGAGCAGCCTGGCCGCAGCCCGGTGTATCGCGCCTGGCATTCGGAAAAGGAGTTGTTGAAGACATTGGATCCTCAGGTACGCACAATCTTTGGAACAAGAAAAAGATGGATCTTTAATGTTACTACCCCTAGGTTGTGACCGCCCATGATATGTTTGAATCGACGGCCAATCGCCAACCGAAGAACCACTGCCTCGGCTGGCGCCCATTTAACTCCGTGACCAAGACCTTTGATCAATATCAGTGGCTCACATACGAGACTGTACAGAAGCGGCGCGCGGCATTTGGCGCTGGTCTGGTAGAGCTGCATGTCAAGCACGACTGCCACCGCCCTGGCCAATATGGAATTGGTCTTTGGTGCCAGAATCGACCCGAGTGGCAAATCACCGGTAAGCTGCTATACAAGTCAGTGGTCTTCTCAGAGACTAATCGATTTCTCAGATCTGGCTTGTATGTCCCAGGGCCTCTTCACTGTCTCCATCTATGATGTCTTGGCCTCGGATGCCACAGAATATATTATCAACCACGCGGAGCTGAACTGTGTTGTCACCTCTCTTCCGCACATTCCCACACTCCTGAAGCTCAAGTCAGTCCTGCCAAACCTCAAGATGATTGTCAGCCTGGATCCTCTTGATGCTGGTGAGCAGGACGGTCATTCAAAGCGCGCTCTGCTGGAGTCGATGGCCGCTGACCAGGATATTGCCATCTACACAATTGACCAGGTTGAGGGTCTGGGCGAAGCTTCGAAGCGTGGATATAACCCTCCCTCCCCTTCGGACATTGTTACCATTAACTACACCTCTGGCACCACTGGACCACCCAAGGGCGTTGTTCTGACCCATGAAAGCGCCGTGGCTGCCACTTCGGCTGGCCTCATCACCATTGGCCAAAGTCGAGGTGACACCATGTGCTCTTACCTTCCGCTAGCTCACATCTATGCCCGTCTAGCAGAGCATGCAGCCCTATGGGGTGGTGCCCGAATTGGTTATTTCCATGGTAACATTGTGGAGCTGGTGGATGACCTGAAGCTGCTGAAGCCCACTGGATTCATTTCTGTCCCTCGTCTCTACAACCGCTTTGGCACCGCAGTTCGGGCTGCCACTGTTGAGGCGCCGGGCTTCAAGGGTGCTCTGTCTCGGCACATCATTGCGGCGAAGACCGCCAACCTCAAGAATCCGGATCCATCCAAAGCTACATTCCGGCACGCATTGTATGATCGAATCTGGGCCAAGAAGGTTGCTGCAGCACTTGGACTGGAACGCGCAAAGTATTTGGTGTCGGGCTCGGCACCTTTGGACCCTTCATTGCACGACTTCCTACGTATCGCTACTGGTACCCCCGTTATCCAAGGCTACGGTTTGACCGAGTCTTATGCCTGCAGTACTGCACAGGCAGATGACGATACGAGTTCGGGCAACTGCGGCCGTCTGGCTCCATGTGTTGAAGCCTGTCTGGCCTCTCTGCCGGATATGGAGTACTCGGTGGAAGACAAGCCCTTCCCTCGCGGAGAGTTACTTCTGCGTGGCCACAGCATGTTCCGAGAATATTTCAAAAACCCCGAAGAGACTTCAAAGGCAGTGACAGAGGATGGCTGGTTCCGCACTGGTGATGTGTGCACGATTGATGCCAAGGGCCGCTTCATTATCATTGACCGTCGCAAGAATGTGCTCAAGCTAGCTCAGGGTGAATACATTTCTCCCGAGCGGCTGGAGGGTCTTGTGCTTTCGGAGCTCGGCTACCTTGCCCAGGGCTACATTCACGGTGACAGCGTGCAGACATTCCTTGTTGGAATTTTCGGTGTTGCACCTGATTTGTTCGCTCCGTTCGCTAGCAAGGTCCTTGGTCGGACAATCGAAGGCACAGATCTGGAGGCGATTAAGACTGCTCTGGCAGACGACAAGATTCGCCGTGCCGTAATCCGGGATCTTGAACGCGTGGCCAAGAAACACAAGCTGGCTGGCTACGAGCGGGTTCGCAATGTTTCTCTGAAGCTGGATCCCTTCACTGTGGAGAACAACCTACTTACTCCTACGTAAGTTGCCTACTATTGTATTTTCCTGATGTTTGTTATTTTACTGACTGTGATTGCAGGCTCAAACTGAAGCGCCCTCCTACCGTCAAGCTGTATCGCGGACTCTTGGATCAGCTCTATGCTCAGGCGTTGGAAGAGCAGTCTGCCCCTCGGGCCAAGCTGTAGTCCTGGATATTGTTTTCTTGCCGCGGTGTCATATTGGTTGAAACCGAACAGCCTAGTAAGAGTTTGGGCCGGTACCTAACTGTAAATAGAATTAACTTTGGCCTAAAGCCAGGTGCATCAATTGTAGTATATTGAGCTTGAATGAACTTTTATTTGTATTTATGATATGTTCCAAGTCCTCCGGGGCTAGCATACAAATTTAAAGACGAGTATTCGACCTTTATGATAGGATATTGCAATGCTCAGGTGTATATGTATATATACTCGCGGGCGAACGGCTACCCGTGATGACTTAGAAGTTCCAACCTTATCATTAGCCTCGGAAGCCAACGACGGGACTCGGAGTAACTTGACCTATCTTCATTCTATCCTAGAAAAGCCATTAGCTAGTCTCTACCCTGGCAGCCTTACTATCAAATAAGACTAGGGAGAAAAAACCATGAAAACAAAGAGTACTTCATGTGCTAAAGATAAGAGTAGAAAAGGAAGATAAAAATAAAAGTAAAAAGAATATGACAAGAGTGGGATTTGAACCCACGCCTACAAACGTAGATCAGGAAATGATGTCAAGGTGGACCTTAACCTGACGCCTTAGACCAACTCGGCCATCTTGCCAATTGCTTATGCACTGACTGAATAATTTCAAATATGTACATTTCTAAAAAGTTTGCCATCTAATAACTTCGTCAAGTGTTTAGCGACGAAGTCAGGATGATAAGAAGCACACGTCAGTGCTTCGGGCATGTGCAGGATATCTAGGTGCAAAGAAAGGTATTTAGGGCATTCAGGTGAATAGGCTGAAGAGTAGCCCTAGGCCTCATTGCACCCGCAGGTTACCGTTTTGTCAAGTGGCCACGTCTAGACATGCTTGATTGGCTGTCCAACGCCGGATCCACTGTGATGCCCCTCGTCGCTGGACGACGGCTATTATCTATCGAGCCTATCACCTCATCCTATCACACCGGAGATGGGCGCTTACGATCTATTCCCGATTGGATCAGGATAACGCGTGCTTTGGATCGAAAATCGTAAATTGGAGCCTTAACCCCGCAATCTTCGATTTCGAATATCTATTTTCCAACCATCTCAGCACGCATAACCAAGCGGTCTACAATGGCAGATCCTATTGGCATAGCTTCTGGCCTGGTAGCTTTGAGTGCTTTCGCATTTCAATCCAGCGTTGCCCTTTTTAACTCGGTTCAAAGCTACCAATCTCATCCGAAGCGGGTACGCGACCTGATAGAGGAGCTCGAAGCACTGAATGGAGTGCTTGGCGCTCTTGGAGAGACCGTGAATGGGAACTCCAATGCAAAACTTGCTAGTCTCGCGTATCCCCTCCTTCGATGTGGAAATTCTTGCAGAGACTTTGAAGAGGAGCTCAAGAAGTGCTCGGCACGATCTCGCACCGGCAAAACGAGCTTCCGAGACTGGGCCAAATTAAAGTACATGGGCGAAGATATTGATGGTTTTAGACGAATGTTGGCTGGCTATAAATCAACTATCATCATTGCCCTCACTGATGCAAATATGTAAGTCTCCTTATGTAAATGATATGTACTCTGATGCTGATGCGCCTCTCTAGCCGACAATCCTCCATCGCAGCTGATAGCCTTGAGAGCTACAAGGAAATGATTGAAACTACCACCAATGATCTCGAAACTCAGCTAGAAGGCATTGATGAAAAGCTCGAGAAAATTCTTGCCAGGAGTTCACCAGACTCAAAAACGGAGGATGGGGAAATTCAGCTCATGGAAGAGGAACGTTTGAGCACTCAAAAATGTCTCGAGATATGTGCACAGCTATCGAGTCACATTGATCAAATTCAACAATCACGTAAAGCTCGTGACAAATCCACCGAGTCTGTCAGTTCGAGCAGCGTACCGGAAAGAGTCACCAACGACGGATTGCAGGAATGCAAAAATAGCCTCCTGAACACTGCTGCGAAGCTGGAGAATCATCTCAAGATACTGATGGACCGAATTGTGACCAAGTCGAAAACAAGTAAAGCTTCTCAGGATGACATTACAGAACTCAGCAGGTTACAAGAAGAATGGGAGACAACTCGTCAATGCATGAATATATGTTCCAAGGCTGGAACCAATCTGTACGAAAATGCTAGTACGATCGATAACTATGCCACTGGCGATGCCGTTCAATTTATGGTCTCTACCAATGAGAAGATAATCCATGGCAAGAACCGTGGGTTAGGATGGAGGACGAGGCAAGTTGGAGGACATCTGAGTGATGCATCGCTTCAACACCTGTCAAAGGATATGACGAGGATGGGTTTTGTGAATATCGACCAAAGGGGCTCACCTTCAGCAGAGCCTTTCATGTCAGACGAAGGGTTGGAAGATCAACCTTTATCGGGTTTCAAGGATCGTTATGGCCAAGGCTTCAAGTTGACGACGGAGCAGTCGGTGCCTAAAACTTCGTCCACAACCCCACCAAGATCGAACGATCTCTAAGCGCGACAAATTCATTTAGACCTCTTTTTTTAAATTTATTTTTCGCTCTAATTAATACAGGGCTGCGGGACACATAATTATTGATTGCATTGATAAGCAAAGACGTGCGCGGTGTGGTCTATATGGCTTATGATTTGGTCTTATCCCACGGTAAAAGTAAATCAACTCCAAGATGTATTGAAGGTGCCATTTCTCTGGCCATCTCTATCGAATTAGCGCCAGGGGGAAGCGTCATTCGTATCCGAGGCCAGGGTCAGTCTCAATTTAGGCCTGGTGCTATTCCTCCAATGGACAAAACCTCTCAGTCCTTACATCCTTCCTCACCCACGCAGGACAATCGGGGACGTGGGAGATCTCCCTTCTTCTGTCACTCTCACCTCACATCATGGTTCCAAGATGTTCAATCTTCAAGATTCTCGCCAATTCGTGCACAAACAACGCTTGATCCATATTATCGATACTGACACTGACCCTTTTCATCACTATCTTAATTACTTGTTGGAAGTTGTGGTGAGGGCTCATTGAACCACAGATGTTGCAGCAGTTCTCTAGCCGTCTTTCTGTCTTCTGGTCGCCATTGAAGCATATTCCCCACTCAGTCTTCAGTCTCCTTACCGATAACATTCCACAATGACAAAACAATCTGTCAGAATTACAAAAACAAGATAAAAACATACAACAGTATAGGTAGTGTAGCACTATGGCACAAGCGGCATTACCGAATCAAGGAAGTAGTTCGTGCTGCCTTTTCATACTTCAACTTGGAATCTGACAAATTTCCATGGGTTTGTCAGCAAAGGTCTGTAAAAGAAAAAGAAAAAGACCAATGCAATGGATTAGTCGATAAAATTTCACGCTTTGTAAAATGGTCTAATTATTATATAATACATGTGAAATCCCTCCACGTTATAATACCGATTCACAGTATACCCCATGAGGTAATCTGCAAGTCTCATTGACAGATCCGTTTCAATTAGAGCTGGTATTGAGCTCACTGAGAATCTCGTCAGCAGCCTTCTCTGCAACCATATAGGTAGACACAGCCGTGAAAGTGCCCGGAATCTTCGGGTAGACGGAGGCATCAACAACACGGAGACCGGAGACACCGCGCACACGGAACTTAGAGTCCAAGACAGCCATCGGGTCGTCATCGGCACCAATAGGGCAGGTACAAGAGGCATGATGGCCCCAGGCACCGTCTTTGATATAGGTCTCGATATCCTCCTTGGACTGGACAGCAGCACCAGGGAGGACTTCGGTGATGTTGACGAGCTGCCGATCAAAGGCATCGCGAGCGAGCTCCACGGCTTCGTAGAGAGCAGTGAGGTCGGCTGCGTAGTCACCGACACCGGTATCGAAATAATTAAAGGTGATTTTGGGCATGTCAAAGGGGGTTTGCGGACTGCAGGGCAACGGTGCCGGCAGAGTTGCGGGGGTGAGCTTTAAGGATAGCCCAGGTGAACCAGTTATGTTCGTCGGTGGCATTGATGCTGTAATCGGGGAAGTAGCCGCGGAAGTTGACAGGTCCACCGAAGCAAAATATATCCCAGTTCTCGTCAGCCGTAGAGCTCTTATAGAGCATAGTGGCAGCCAAACCGGGAGAGGAATAGATACCGCGGTCGCCGAGAATAGGAGACTCCCATTCGTTGATACAAGGGTCCTCCTGGTCGCGGATGCTGAAGGTACATTTGTTCAGACAGGAGAAGTCCTTCTCGATCTTGCCCTGCACGGAGATCTCATAGTGGTCTTGGAGGTTGGTACCGACGCCAGGAAGATCCTTGATCACCTTGATACCGAACTTCTCAAGTTCATCGGCGGGACCAATACCACTCAATTTGAGGATCTGGGGCGAATTGTAGACACCGCCGGCGACGATAACCTCACGAGAAGCACTGGCGGAGCCGGGGACACCATCAGGAGCAGAATCAGACATAGGACTAGCCTTATAAAGATGCTCGCCATCGAGGAACTCGACACCAGTGGCACGAGGAGGGTTGGCGGTCTCATCAAAGGTCACCTTAGTGACGTGGGTGTTCATACGGACATCAAGAGGGTACTTCTTAGAGCCATCCTCGTTCTTAGCATCCCGCACGGCAATGATAAATTCGCGAGCACCATTACGATGGGCATCGTCCGTCGCGATAGGGATTTGGTAGTAGCCATCGTCAGTATCACGGGTTTCAGTATCCGCATTAGCATCGCCAGCCAGCAAAGTACCAATATTCATGACATTGTCGGTCAAGTTACCAAGAGCAAAAGCACCACCGGTCAGCATGCTCAGCAACTGAGGGTCCTCCAGAACAATGCTCAGGGGTGCGGTCTCAGTTGACAACCAGCCTTCATAACCGTGACCCTTAGCCCCAGGAAGCAAGTAACCGTTGTTCTCCAGCTTGGTGAAATACTTTCGCATATTATCGGCGGTCCAAGAGCTGTCACCGGTGAGGGTCGAGATATATTCGAAGTCGGATTGGTGAGGGTAGACCGCGATCAAGGCGTTATGAGCAGTGCATCCACCGAGAGTGCCCGTACGAGGATAGAGCGTTCCTTTTAGCGTTGAGCCCTCGGGAGGATTCAGGCCGGTGTATAGCCCCCCATCAGGTGTGTCGTAGCTTGCCTTCCAATCGCGAGCTTGGCGCTCATCATCTTCATAATGGTGTACGAAGAAATTCCACGACAGTTTCTCGTCTTCAGATGCTCTGGCAGAGTAGGCAGGGATCGTATAGTTGTAATTTTCACCCTGATCATCACCAGCCTCAAGCAGAAGCGTCTTGTGACCGCCCATGGCGAGGCGGGCGGCCAAAGGACCACCACCAGCACCAGAACCAACGACAACATATTCATAGCCGGTGATATTGACGGCCTTGGCCAGGCCGGCCGTGGCGGCCAGGAGACCAAACAAATGAGGAATAAACATAAGTGCAAAAGAGCAACTATGGATGGAATGCTGTTTCAAAACAGACATCGATGGGACCCCATATTTTATACCTCAATTCTGCTTTCCCCTGTATCCCGTATACATTGGGAATCTTCCCCAAAACCGTTGAAGATATGCCGCGGTTGTGGGGCAACTGTCAAACCGTTACCTCCACTAGCTCGTGGTAATCCACTAGCGGAAAACTTGGTAGCTCAGGCTAGTACACTTATAGAGGTCATTCCCGAACGATCATCGGTAGTTTGATGGGCATTCTGCAACTTTACGAGTCATCCCTGCTGATCACCACTGGGATCCACATAGGTGGTCAAGGGTTTCGCCTTTCCTGACCGATTGCCCCTGACAATTGGACTTCGCCAAGACATTATGGATAATTCTTTTCAAAAGAGGACTCAGTGCCCGTCTTGGGTTCCGAGGCTCACAGAGTACACCGGTTGTCTTCACTAATTTTTTTTTCATCCATTTCCACAGTCCCGACATGTCCATTACAGTCAACTCCCACTTATGGTACGGCGGGTTATAGAACACTCCCGGTTATAGTATACCATCCGCTTGGATGGACCCACTTTTTCCGGGTTTTCCCATACAAAACTTCCACTTACAGAACACTCACCTTTGTACACACATTTTTGCTGTCATTCGCGTAGTCAGCTCTATCAACCAATCACAATGCCTGAATACTCTACAACTCCCCTGCCAAAGTGCATCATCTCAAGTTCGGATCTCCTGGATGACGACATTTGTTCGTCTCTTTGGTGCAAAGTCGAAGGCATGCTTCCAGGCCTGGTCTAAAACCACTGCTGGGAGCAATCAAGACCAAAAAGTGAGGCGAATCATCGGGATGAGATTTGCCTAAACGTGTGACAGCCGAATACATGGCGATGAAGACGGCTGATTCACTCATCATTGTCATGTATTTGAAATGTCTATTCTGTGCCCTAGTCACGGAGTATACTATGTTTTGGTAATTACCTGTTTGTAGCATTTATTCTATCCTCCTGTAGTCGAGGTTGGAATACCCCTTTTGAGCACGGTTGTACGAATATTCCTGCAGGGTTTTGTTATTTGGTAGGGTTGAATCATATTTATATTTTTGGTGGGTACTATTAAGATGATAAACCCTCGTTGGGGCTATTACACTTCGATGTGCAAAGGCGGAACATGATGGCTGGATGCATTCTCGCCGATATATTTTCGGATATTCTTTTCCTCTCAAAATTGTCTTTTAGCTCCTGCTTTAAAGATTTCGAGGAATCCCTTTGGATCGCCTTAGCAGAAGAAGCCTTGCGATCGCATTCATCGGCAAAGTCGTACAGCGCATTGGCTTTCTCCTCGTTAGACAAGGAGACAATTTGCACGGATGCGTCGCCTAGCAGCCCAAAGAAACCAGTCTGCGCGGCTTCTCGGAAGCTAGCATGGATAATAACAACACGCATAATAACCCACCAGCTAGGTATCTGTTCGAAAACATCAAACCTCTCTTCTTTCTGGTCGACTATCATAGCAGCCCAGTCGCCCATAATTGAGGGACGACCAGTTACCAGGCGACTGTGCCACGCAAGATAGGCCAATGCACTACCAAAGCTGTTTTGGTAAATTGATTCGTAATAAGGGGTCCAATTGAGATGCGCAGAATCTCGCTTGGTGTCTACCCAGAAATCGTCGGCAATCCCATTAGTTGTAGTAGAGACAAAACCAGCATCGTGTGGTAAATCCTTATAGGTATCTTCCGTAAAGATACCCCCTGATTCTTTGGCAACGTTGCGTGACTCCTGGCAAACACGGATGATGACGGGTGGAAGCCCATTCAGTTTCGCTGTGGGAGTGACTTTGCAGGGATAGGACCCATCGGCATTAGGCTTATCATAAATGCCCTCATCGGTCGGCAAATCTATGTCCCATACGCGATATGGGATGCATAAGCGCCATATCTGAAGTCGCAGCTCTGTCGGCAGCCTAGGAAAGAGATGAAAGGAATTCTCGGCCATAAGTAGACTCTGACAGTGTGTGTAAAATTTAGATCGACTTTAGGCTATCATGGAAAGCCTGCCATGAGGGTTAACGGCAATAGGCACGGATTCGAAGTCTTCCCCTTCGCGGTGAGTTCAGATAAGGCGGTCACGATTATCGTAGCGAGATGGATAGGGGAACCCTTGAACCTTATGTAGATGATAAGTCAATTATAGTTCGTGCACGGTTGTTCCGAGGATTATCCCGCAAAGGCATCGGAATTCTTAGTAGGGCGGCAAGGGCAGTTTTCTCAATGGATGAACGTACTAGCTAAGATACATGAGTGGGGGAGAGTGCACGCAGCAGGTACCTCAGGCCTCAACACACCGATATGATATAACAGAGTGAAAGTTGAGGGTTTGATCCACCGTAAACTTGGAACTTTGAGCTGCTTCCTGGCTCTCGGAAACCACCCGTAGCATGGGGATTGCTAAAGAACAGCCACCCGGGGTGACATCTGGGCGGATAGGGACCTCCGAAATGCCCGCGATGGTAAACTCTATATCGAGTAACTGCCCATTATGAAGATCTAGAACCAGCCCTGTGTTATGGTATTCGAGTAGTCTTGCCCAACCTGAGTGTGCTTCCGGATTTTTTATAGAACCGAAACTGGAACTCGGAACTTCAAGTTGAAGCGGAGTGCGCAAGGGCTTGCACCTGGCGATTTGTTGATCAATAAAGTTCGGAGAGATCGACCTGTAGTGTCCACCTGCCCCGCGGCTTGAAAATTCGGGATATCCGCTCCTATAACTGTACATAACTGTACATGAATGTACCTAGGTACATTGGGTTGTAATGCTGTAAATCTAAGTTATGGCCACCACCAATTTACCCAAGTACGATCCATGGTAACCCAAGTCGTGGTGATGGAGGTTCCGTCGAGTAGGTTGCGGCCAATCACCTTTCTGGTAGACAGTACTCCGAGTTGTGACCCACCAAGTATGTATCAGCATACATTATTTATCTCCTCTAGTGACGGGGTGAATCAATTCCGGGCCCCGAATACGAGATGTCCAATTACAAATGTAGGAACCAAATTCGAGAATTGTACCAAGTTCTAGATTGCCAAATATCGGGAAAGGGCTCTCTAAGTCTGCTGAGAAACTTTCTCGGTCTTCAGGTGAAGAGATGCGTCTCCAATTCGATCATTTGAGTTTTGCCTTCTTTCACGAAACCGGCGTTCCGAATACCGATCAATTATTCAGCTTGGTGTCTACCAGAGAAACATGGAAAGCAAGGCCAACTTATAACAACTAATGGAAGCATGTTGCGACCTTATTCCAGAATGACAATTGAAACCCGATTCAACTTCAACTTCAAGTCTCTCTAACACAACAAGAACGTGGAGAAGCGCCTTCAATCCTTATCACAATACACTAGTTCTTCAACCATACCAGCCAGTCACCATGACTGCCACTCAGGTCATTGAAAATGATGATGCAGGCCCGGGGGAACCAGTTCTAGGTCTATCCAGTTCTCCTTCTTCTCAGAGACAATCCGTTGTTCACTTCGAATCTTCATTTGACAGCCAGCCCGATGCTCAAGGCTCGGGATCCAGCAATGCAATGTCTGAATTCAAAGACCTTTGCCGAAAGAATGGCCTGGAAACATTTTCTAGAACGGAGAACAGTGATGACGCAACAATTCTGTCGGTTCCCAGCGATGCTTACTTATGATATGGGGACCATTGACTAACAATCTCCGTTTCAATATTACCAGACGATTCTTGAAAGCGCAACAGTTCGATGTAAAAGCCTCGTTCGAGCAATTTCACCACTTCCAAACCTGGCGCAGAGAGAACAACATCAGGGGATTCTACAAAAGTCTCGATGTTGACGTTTATGATGAAACGCGGAAGATGGTGGGTATTTCAGACTACATGAAGGCTTCAAGGAGCGGATTCTTTGCTAACACACTGAAGTATCCACAATGGATTGGGCGAAGGGACCACGATGGAAGGCCAATTTATGTTTTCCAAGTGAGGAAACTCAACAAGAAAAGTCTAGACGGTTACTTGAAGTTCCTCGCGAAAACTCAAAGCCCAGGTCCTCACGCTGATTCTAATATTCCTGTTCACATACTTCACCTTCATGCGTTATACGAGAATCTCTTACAATTCGTTTTTCCACTCCTTTCAGAGCTTCCTCAACCGGATTCCAAACAAACCATCTCGTCGTCTACCCATATTGTTGACATCAGCAACGTCAGCGTGTTTCAGTTCTGGAATATTCGGAAATACCTCCAAGAGGCCAGCAAGATTGCAACAGCCCATTATCCTGAAACTCTTGGGAAGGTCTTTGTTAGTATTGACTTCCGTAGCGTGCATAAAGAGACTGCAAGATTTATTGAGGGCCCAAGCTAACTATATCAATCATTTTAGGTCATAGGCGCACCTGCCTTCTTCAAGTCGGTATGGGAAGCGATAAGCCAATGGTTTGATCTCGCAACAAGATCGAAAATTTTCGTTCTCTCTGCTTCCGAAACCAAATCGTTTCTCCTCTCGAATATCGCCGCTTCTGACTTGCCAAAGGAATACGGCGGGGAGCTCGAATGGAAGTGGCAAGATCAGCCCAATTTAGACGAATCTACGCGCCATTTGGTCGACGAAGTTTACCACAAGACCGAAAGGGGAGAAGTATTCTCCAAGGGTCCGTTGTTTTTCCAAAATGGCTGCATTCAACTTGTGGGCTCGCTTGGTGGCTTACCCCGGCGCAATGCATTCTGTCGACTCAATACACCGCCACATGTAGAATAACGCCACCCCTCAGCTGCTTCCATCCCCTTGAGCTACTCTTCTCTAGATTTCTATGGCTTTGTTTCTGCAAATATGTATCTCTTACAATCCCTACAAAGAGGTCTTGACTCAGTCTGCCATACGCGTGATTGGTTTGTTTTCCGCACTTCTGATAGTGTCTGCTATGCCTAGACGCGGTTGGATCTCTAGATTTATTTTCAATGTTCAACGGTTCGGTATGAAGAGACTTTTATTCTTCAAATGTTCACCTACTCTTATATTTGATAATAATTCTGAAACTTTGTTTCGATTCTTGTCTTTTCTGTGGTGTCTTCAATAATGCACTTCCTAACAATTTATTTCACTTCATTTGGCTTTTGACTCGAGCCTAATCTACGTCGGCTCCTAGTCTAATGTCAATGCTTGCCAGACATTTGGATGTTCCAGCACTTGGGATGCAAATATGTCATTACCCATGTGCCGGCTGGAAGACTGTGCATGAACATAGTGTACCTAGATACGAATCATTCCCAAATGAATTAAAATAGCAATACGCATTGGAATACAATGGAACCCCCCTTTTTTTTTTTTTTTTTTTCACTGCCCAGGTCCACACTCCAGTGCGTCGCTTGATATCAATATGCAACATCTGAACAGCCCCCGCCTTAGAAGGCTTACCTTGTGCTTATGAGTGTATCCATTCGGAAAAATCAACATCATGTGATGAGACGATGTCCTCGTTTTTGAGCAGATCCAACTCTTGATTTCCAAATATATCATGAACTGAAGACTGGACATCGTGAGGCTTGATCACTTTCTTAACACCCAGCGCAGTGTATTCGCCCTCACATCCCTGCACCGTCTGGAATGACACAGAGAATAGTTGGCTCAATGCAATCACAAAGCTCTGAGAAAGACTATCTAGGTCTGCTGGGAGGCTCTGGAGCGCGGTTTTCGCCTTGGTGATGTCTTGCATGCAGGTGATTGAAGTCGGTGCAGACGGATCTGCTTTAATGTGGATAAGAGGAACGATGAGTGCATGAAAGAGCGCGTACCTTCAAAATAATTGAGAGTCTGTATGATCAAAGGGTAGAAAAATTGGGCCTTACAGTGTGAAAGAGAGGGTCAACTTCGAATATCGACCCGAGATAAAGGAATCGGAAATCATATCAACGGTTGTGCGGGCGAGTTCCAAACCTTGCGCTCGACATTGAGCTTCTGCGGGATTATTTGATATGGAAGTGTCCCCATCAATAGACTTGCGTTTTAGCCATCGCAAGAGGAGTGGCCGGTGAATGAGGAGACGGAGACTCCGATCACAGAGTATCTGGCGCCGACGCACAGTGAAATACCAATCCGGGGCTGATGACGGATTCGTGACCTGCAGACAGAGAGAAGACCCTTTATGCCAATCATTTATCATTTCCATCGCTTCCTGGACTTGCTGTGCTGCAAAATCAGGACAGCTCAGAATACGGCGATAGATCCTATTAGCCAGTCTATGATAGCTTGATTGCTGTATTAGCCCCGTGTAGATGGTTGACTCATCGGAAAGTGGCGGGAAAGAGGTGCTTGAAGAGGTGAGGGCCTTGGGATGTGCTCGTAAGTCATTTTGTCAAAATCAAGGCGCAGGACAGGATCGACCAACTGACTTACATTCGGCTGGATGTTCGAAACTGGCTTGACAGTTATCAATGCATCTTCAGGCAGTAGAAGCGGTCGTCCGTAGGTTTTTGCAGAACAGCTCTCCGAACAGTACACACTCCACCAGACCCGCCGGCGAATCTCTTTGTCCAGCTCTGTACTTTCAGAATCACCGAGCTCCATTTGCAAGCCAAGGGCAACGGCCATCTGAACTGCGGATCCAATGTAACGTCCACATTTCTGGGGAACTCCTTGCTTTTGGGCGAATTCGGCCAGTAGAACCGAGGCCTGGATTAAAGTGAGGCTTCCCTGGCTCTCTACCGACGCCTTCTCAAAACAATTCTCAGCTTTGCCAAAGTAAACTTCGCTAGACCCTTTATCAGCGTCGGAATTCAGCCAAGCCCCAAAAGCGAGAACTGCATTGCTCAATACGAGCCAATCAGGTGAAGTAGGTCGGCTGTCTTGCATTGATTTGAAAGTATCCTCATGCAGCATGGGGTAAATAGGGTGGTAATGAGTGAAGTAATTGTCCACGAACTGAGCTTCTTCAACAATAGTTGCGATCGGGTTGTAGGATTGTGGCGTTGATTGGCTCTGTTCGCTCATGTCTATTGGAGAGAGGTTCGGAAGTCCGGGCGCCATGGATTGACTCGAATTGAGGAGATCATCGAGTGATAGATTGTCGGGTAACAAGCTATTTTCAGTGGCTACTAACGGGCCGTATTCCCCATTTGTCGATATCGAATTTTCAGTGGAGTCCCCAACAAGTAAATCACGCGAAATGTTTTGCATATCTCCGCTTGGAAATAGCGTGCCGAGTGCGGATTCCAGGAGATGCAGTCTAGTCTCCACAGCCGTTAGGTGCCTGCAAATCCAAAAAAATTAGCTGATGCCCAGGTATCATATGTTCTGTGGTACAAAAATATGGAGAAAGGATCTTACTCGCGTGTGAGCGGCGTCCGAAACACTCTCGATGTATACACGCATTTTCGGTTCTGACGAGCGCACTGTGCACATGGTTGCGTTTTCGAACACTGATGGAATTAGAGAAGCTTCTGGCGACTTGCATGAATGATCTTCCACAAACCTTGGCTTTCCGTGCTCGACATTCAGCACACTTTCCTGTGGGGTCAATCCCGATACTGAACTCTAGTCCCGATGAGGAAAGGGTCAGCGTACTGCTGGAATATGAGAGTTACGGCCAATAGCCCCTGGTGCATAGCTCGCCATGTCCACAAGGATATTTTGGGTAGGAGCTTTGCGCGTGAGAATGCAATTATGATAGATATGTCCGATCACGAGAGATCTCTGATGACGATGCGGAATCCCTTCTTGTTAAACGCGGTGAGGGAACTGGGGGGAGGCAATCTTGTTACTAATGGCCGGTTCCAGCCAGCGATATTTGTATGCCCAGTCGGCAGATGATGGCCTAGTGTTCGGGTGTATTGTAAATCCGCTTACCGGATCCGAGTTACCTAAGCCAACTGGCAAACAAAACTGGCCACGGCCTAATCTGATGCCTCAAACATGGATCAGACACTCGAATGCTTCTTGAAGATTATGCTACATAAATATATACATCAACATTTACCAAAGGCACACATTTATATACTTCAAGTCCGAAGCGTGAATCGCTGCAAGATTTTCCACATGTGCCAGTGCTAGTGCAACATTTTCAAGTAGAAGTTACAGCAAAAACATCATTGAGAAACAAACTTGAACAGGCTAACATAGTACACGATGGTTGAGCTTATGTATGTTTGGCTGCTTTGAACTCTTCGCTGAAAGGATAATCAACGTAGCCCTCTGAGCCTTGTCCATACATTGTTGCCGGTTCAAACTCCGCGAAGGGCAATCCGTGCTTCACCCTGAATGGTAGATCCGGGTTTCCGATGTATGGGCGACCAAACGCAACCACCACATCATGTTTGGCATACGTAGTGTCAACTGCAGTCTTGGCCGAGGTTCCATTATAGTTACCAGCAACTAGAACGGGGCTGCTTCCGCCATATGCCTCCAACAGCCAGTTTAGGTCGCCATCATTGTTTTTGGCGTCGCCTTCGCAAGAGTGAAGGTAAGCCAGCTTGAACTGGGCCAGTTGTCGCACAACATTCGAGAACTGCAGAATGGGATCTTCCATGCGCATTCCTTGGTATTTGCTCCAAGGGCTCAGTCGAATTGCAGTGCGCTGGCTACCGATCTCCGCTACCACAGCGCGGGTAACCTCAACAGCCAGCCTCGACCGGTTCGCAATGCTTCCGCCCCATTTGTCCATTCTCTTATTGGAGACATCTTGGAGGAATTGATCCACAAGATAACCGTTTGCACCGTGGATTTCCACACCGTCAAATCCAGCTTTGATCGCATTCCTGGCAGCATTCCGGAAGTCGGCGATAGACTCATATATTTCCTTTTCGGTCATAGGGCGAGGATGGTGAATTTCGTCGCTGAATGTGCTCTTCATTGGGCTGTCACTAGCCGAGAGAAGCGGATGACCCCCTTGGCTCAAGAAAGCAGGGTTTGCTGCTCGACCCAAGGCCCAGAGTTGGAGGTAAATGTAGGATCCCTTGTTGTGAACACTATCTGTAACTTCTTTCCAGGCAGCTACTTGGCTGTCGTTGTAAATGCCTGGTACATTGGGATACCCACCATGTCGAGGACTAATCACAGTAGCTTCAGTGATGATAAGAGATCCCGGAACGCTCGCACGCTGCTCATAGTACTTCGGTACGGACGGTAGGGGGAGATGCAATTGGTCGGCACGAAGACGGGTCATGGGCGCCATGGCGATTCGCTGATTGAGGGTTTTTCCCCCAATGCGAAGGGGAGTGAAGAGCTTCGACATCTCAAGTGCGTCGTTCAAATGCTGTATTAGTGATGAAAGTAGACACAAGTACTTCAAATTTTCAATTTAATGACAATATAATCAAGTCAATCAATTGATGGACTGACCGGCGGCTGATGCTTCTTGATACCGTGACCCATGTATGTTATTTATACTACCGATCTCGTGCGGGCTAATAGTGATAACCTCGGGATAATGAGGTCCATAACCCCATTGCACTCGGATTTTTACATAGCGATCTCTCCGACGTCTGGATCTCATGGGTTTGTCATTTGAATAACCCTTTCTCGGCATATACAGGTGGGTAGGTACGGCCCATGGAATTGAGATTGAACCTGCACCCACGTATTATTCATTACCGGAGTTTGTCGCCTGGTCTGCTTTGTCAGCCCTGTCAAATACTCAAGTGCTCTCAATATTCGCCGCCGCGATGATATCGAGCCGAAACGGGGCACATTACTCCGACAGAATGATCCCCTGCATTACATTTCAGAGCCCCCGCGCGAGATTCTTAGAAAGCTCAGAGATATGGGTGGGTCCGGAGTATTCTGTACCGTTGGCATGGTTGGCTAAAGCCCTCGGGCTGTGGAGAATCATGACAGGCCCCATAGAAAAGGTTCACGTTGATTCGCCTTGCAGCTCTCTTGTTTGCAGACTATGATACGAGGGTGGCATCATCACCTTTCCCAGTCCAACCTATTTATTCGGGTCTCCGGGTTGGATCCCGGCTCAGCTACTAGATCTTTTGACAACTCGGAAACATCGACAAACACGAGAGACTATTGCAACTTAAATCCTTTCCGGCGCAAAACTTAATTTCTGTCACTCAAGCCACGATGACTGTCACGATCGGCGTCGCGGGCATTACGGGCAAGTTTGCTCGACTGGTGGTGAAGAACCTCTGTAATTCACCCGATGTCCAAATTCGAGGCCTTTGCCGCAATGCATCCAAGCTACCCGAGCATTTCCGAGACTCCCCTCGGGTGACCATCATCCAAGGCGAGTCAACCGATTTGGACACCCTGCGCCGCTTCGCCCGTGGCTGTGATGTGGTAATATGCTGTTACTTAGGTGACAATGACCTGATGACCAATGGCCAAAAGTTGCTCGTCGATGCCTGCGACTTGGAGCATGTCCGTCGTTACATCGCAAGCGACTATTGTCTGGACTTCACGAAGCTGGAGCTCGGCCAGCACCCGGCAAAAGACCCGATGAAGCTCGTCAAAGCGTACTTGGAAACCAAAAAGAATGTAGAGGGTGTGCATGTACTTATTGGGGCCTTCATGGAGACTTTCTGGAGTAGATACTTCGGTATTTGGGACCACGAGACCTGCACACTCAACTACTACGGCAATGGAAACGAGCTGTGGGAGTCTACCACTTACGACACCGCTGCTCAGTATGTAGCGGCAGTTGCGAAAGACCAAAATGCCGTTGGCATGCAGCACTGTAAGTCAACTCTCCACAAACTTACCATAGAAACGAAGACATCGTTAACCACATTCCCGGTACCAATTAGTCCTGGGTGACCGCCGAACCATCCAGGAAATCGCCGAAGACTTTTCACAGGTCTATGGCAAAAAGCCCCAACTTCAACGCCACGGTTCACTGGAAGATTTGTACAAAAAGATGCAAGCTACTTTCCAGAAGGACCCATCCAACATCTTCGCATATATCGCCATGTAAGTATCCCTTTCGACCCATCTAAATTGACTGTGCACTGACTATTATTCTTTAAAGGTTCTACCAGTACTACTGCACCAACGGCCAAACATATCTGAAGAAGGACTTGGACAATTCTAAGTATTTCAGCATCACTCCAGTTACGTTCAAAGGCTTCCTCCAAGCGCACAAGATAGAGGAACTTGCGGATGCATACCAAAACGCCGGCTCTAGCGCCTAAAGACAGCATCGTATATGAGAGCACTTGAGCTATTGGATCTAGAGGAATCGAACAAGACTAAAAACACAATTGAAATGCACCTTTTCTTTCATTGTTCGTCGTTAGTAGAGCCGCTAGTTAGTAAGTATACACGTAATTCCGATTATCCTCAGACACCTCTACACCCGAACATTGGATCCTATCGAGTCCACAATGACCCAGTATGTACTATTTATAAATTCATCCGAAATAGGCCCGCCGTTTTGATCATTGCTAGTTGTGCAAGTTTTATGCGGTTTTAGCCGAAGAATTGCACCTGGGTAAAATCTAGGAACTTCTGGAATACTGGGGAGAGAGTCTACCAGTCTCTGAAGATGTCGTCAAAGCAGCAGCAGCAAATGAAGGAAATCATGGATATGAGATCATGCAGAAGCTTCTGGAATACCGTGGAGAGAGTCTACCAGTAACCGAGGATGTCATAAAGGCAGCAGCAGGAAATAGAGGAAGATATGGATATGTGACCATGCAGCATCTCTTGGAATACTGGGGAGAGAGCCTACCAGTTTCTGATGATGTTATCAAGGCAGCAGCAGGAAATAAAGGGATACGAGATCATGGAGCAATTCCTGGAATTCTGTGGAGGGAGCCTTGCAGTCACTGAAGAAGTGGTCAAGGCAGCAGCAGGAAATGAAGGAGACTATGAATACGAGATCATGGAGCAACTCCTGGAATACTGTAAAGGGAGCCTACCAGTCTCTGATGAAGTGGTCAAGGCAGCAGCAGGAAATAGAGGAAGATATGGACATGTGACCATGCAGCAGTTCCTGAAACTCTGTAAGAAGGACCTACCAGTGTCTGAAGTTGTGAATCTAGGCTCAACCGAGTAAGATACAGTACCATTTTAAGCCTTGCCATCGAGCTTCTGGGACATTATCAACATCATCTCTATCCTGTCATCTATCGTGCCAGTTGACCCCTGCGCTGTACCTGACCCAACCGCGAAAGGCAGGTTGAGCTTATATAATGTACTAGGTCAAGCGCGATCACTTGACTCGTCAGAAGTGAAAGCTCTATCTATGAGAGCGAATATGATCCAGAAAGTGGAAACGCAAAAAAATGAATTTAAAACAAATAATATTTTGGAATTGATTTGAGTTTCTCTGCGCTGTGCTCTTTTGAGTGCAGGAAAAGTTGATTATAGTCCTTGTGATAGATGCCCTTGTTTATCCTTGAACGTGTGAGATCTGTCCCTGCTAGCCTTACCCGACCTCCAAAAACCGCTCAAAGTGGTTCATCAAAGAGTTGCGTCTAGAGGCTCTTTTCATGCTTTTCAACTGGCCTTGGATAGTAAGAGCCCTGAAAGAGTCAGAAACTTGTGATCCCCCATCTTCACCTGGACTTACTAATTGAGAGCTCAGAAACGACCAAAACCAGCAGGCGTCTGCGGAATATATAAAAACTTTCCTTGACTGTCGAATGCGTATGCCCAAGCAGACATCCGCCCTCTTCTGTTGCAGTGATTTTTTCTCCACGCTGGCGTTCTTTGATTGTTTTGAAATTCTCGCCATTATCTTGAATAGATAGATAATCCCGGCTGGATGAAGTGAATGGAAACAAACTCGGTTAAATATGATCGTAAAATGGTCAACATTTGCATTCAAGATGTACAAAGGAGGGATAGACATCGCCAAAACCCACAAATGGGTTGGGTTTGGGCCCGTTGCTCGGCCCATTCATGGGCCTTGGGCTGTTGGGGGCCCATTCATGGGCCTTGGGCTGTTGGGGGCCCATTGGGGGCCCACTAGTCTACAAACAGTACCCACATTTACTAATTTTAGTGAAAATCAAAATATACAGTCTTTTTGTGCATTTTTTTCTATACTAGTCAGCAGATTTATGAGCGCCAAGACCAGTTTTATGCAAAGTTGCGCTTAAGATATATATAAGGCCCAAAGCCCACAGTGGGTGAGTTTAGGGTGAGCGCCGCTTTAGCGTCGCGCGACCAGGGTGATATAGGGTGAGTGCGCAATAGACAGGGTGAGAAGCCGGGTGAGAGCGGGTGAGAATCACCCTGCGTCGTGCCACCCCGCACTGACCCTTTCAGCTGAGCAGGCGCAGGATATGATTGGGTCGAATGCCTCTCCCTGAAACAATAGGTCTCCTGTATCTGCACTTCGCCACAATTCGAAGCGTTGTGCTATAAAGCAATTGGTATTGCTCAAGTAGTGCACCACTAGCCCGTTTAGCAAGGGAGCTTTCTTCAGCGATCAATATTCCCCAAACGAGGGGACATTGACTAATAAAGATCCCACCAGTTCCTGATCAAATGGGTCACCACATACGAATCCTAACTGTTGTATGTTTGTACTCACCAGCCTTTTGTGATTCGTCCGGGAAAATCCCCTTGCCGCTTTAGTCTTCAGCCCCTTCAGGCTGTTCACCCTGAATGCCCTGACACCACTATTTTGTACCTGAGCTCCTGGGAGCAGAGAATTATATAGAATGTGATTGGCCAAAAATCCTGATCAGATGCTGCTCATCCTCACTGTGAACACAAAACATGAAATGCCATAGTTATGTGCACCAGGCCATCAATTTCTAGATGGGAGATTGGTTTTAGTCGAGTAGACGGGGTGTCCACTCTTTTGCACTAGCGTCGTGCGTTTTATTGGGGTGGCTAGGCCGTAGGAGCAGGCTCAGTGAGCCAGGCCTGAGCTTACGTAAGGCTCAGTGAGCCGATCAGTGCGCCAGCAGCCGTGCCCAGTTCTACTCAGTGAGCAAAAGCGGCGAGTCAGTGAGCACTAATTCGGAAAGGGCAACCAAAAATCGCCAGGAGAAATCCAGTACGTAGGAAATTGCTCCCTGAATACGAATTTCGACGTTTTTTTGGGCTTCCGGCATCTTGTGGTGGTTAAAATTGATGTTAAAGTGCGTGATGTGAAGAGAATATTTCATTGGAACCAAAATTTCATTGGACCGGCGAGCACCCTCTAGGCGGTGTCCTAGAGGGGGCGTGCACGGTTAGTAAAACTTTTGAAATGGACCTCTGTACAGTTTCGTGCAGAAGATATTGACCATGTAGCTGAAAGTCTCGCATCACGACGCGGGACGCGTGGATATCATGCATCCCCTTTTTTGTACGTTCCCACTACGCGAAGCTCATATGTGAATCTCTGCAGTGCCGATTTGCCGCTTTCTATATAACTGTATAAATATTACCGCTCACTATTCTAAGATGGGATATAACTGATCGCAACACAGAAACTTAACTATCTGGGTTGGCGGGCTGTAGGTCCATTGACTTTTTCACCAAATCAACAAAATGTCCACAATGAAGCAGCAGATCAACGACGGTGGGGAACGAGCGACGCCACTGAGATCACAGATCTTTGATATCTCGCAAGTGATCGACATGGTTTCATTTCCCAGCGCATTCAGCTGAGCAGTTCGTGCCAATGTGATAGAGAGAGTGGAGATGTCGACCCACCGATGGGTATAACTCTTCCCGCTTTCTATGTTGCGGGAAAATAAACAACAACAACCTAGCAGAATCCCCGATTACCATTCATCCGCCCTGGAAATACACGGCACCATGGGGGGTTTACGTGGGCTCTTATGCTGCAAAGGCGGCAATCCGAACGACGACGACCAGAACTTGGCCAACCGACCAGTTGAGAAACCGAGTGTGCACAATGGGAATACTCAGATTGCCTCAAATGTGCCGGGAAATGGCCAAAAGCCCGGCTCTTCAAATGAGGCGACCGACGAACACCCCGAAATGAATTCTAAGGAGAAATCACACCCTCGCAATCTTTGGAAAGAAGCATATGATGGACTGGATCAGAAAACCAAGGAAAACATACCTGCAATTGGCGTCTCAGTTACAGATGCCATCCAGGGTGTCATCAAAACCACCCAAGAGAATTATGAGGCATGGCAGAAGGGTGGCCTTAGGTATCATAGCAAGGGCGGAAAAGAATACGACATTCGTGCTGCGACAGAGAAAATCTTCGGCATTGCATCGAAGGCGAAGGACGTTGTCTCGACATTCGTTTCCTTCGATCCTACTGGACACGCGTCCTCGGCGTGGACAATTGTTTCTTTTGGAATGAGTATTGTCCAAAACAACTTGGACCGTCGGGATGCTGTCTTCGCATCATCCGAGTTTCTAACCGAGCATCTAACGTACTTTGCATTGATTGATGCAAGATATAGAGACAAGGGAGTCGGAAGTGACTCTAATGTTGATCAGGCCCTTATTCGAGTCTATTCGGCGATGCTGTCCTTCACAGCGGAAGTACGAAAGGCACGAGATGAAAATGAAGCAAGTAAGAACGAAGTAATCTCTACCTTGTGACCGTAAGAAGAATTGACCAACCTTTCCAAAGAACGCATGGCAAAGAGCATCTTCCAGTTTACCGATCAGTCACTTTCCACATTGAAAGTTGTTGTCAAGGAGCAGAAAGAAGCCTTGAAAGAGTGGCAGCAGCTGGCTGCGGATTTGAGTGAGATTCAGTCTACTTTGACTTTCCATAAAAAGGTACTGATTAAAAACAGTTAACCAAGAGAATGCAAAGAAGCTCCTTGCGGATTCCGACCAGCTCCTTGAAAACACGAAGAACATCGAGTCCAAGCTTTCGAGTATGTCTGTTCCTGAGAAATGATATGTGGGCCTTACTAAGAATCCCAGCTGAGGAGCAGAAGACCCAGCTTCAGTGGCTGTCATCGGCCAAGTTCTCGACTCGCCACGACCTTTTGGTTAAAAAGCGAGTCGGGAATACTGGGCTCTGGCTTCTTGATTCACAGGAGTATAGCAACTGGATGGCCACCTCAGGAAGCCTCCTTTGGCTCCCTGGCATTTGTAAGTGGATTAATTTGTTTTAGAAGCAACCGAAGGGCTAATTAACCGATAAAGCCGGCTGTGGAAAATCTGTGCTTTGGTATGTTATATAGCACCCTTGAATGAGACAGAGCTAACCGCTGCTAGCTCTACTGTTATTCATGAGCTCAAAGATCTATGCGGCCTGGACAAATTCAAGTATCATGCCTATTGGTACTTTGAGTTCGGTGTTGATTGGACCAAAAGCGTGGATGCTTTAATTAGGTCACTGATCAGGCAGTTGAGTCGACCCCCACTTGCGCCATCTGTAGTGAACCTTTACACGCGGCACTACGTCCAAGGAAGCGAGCCCGATTCAGAGGAAATATTGAAGGTGCTTCATGATCTTTTGTCAAAAATCCCGGAGAAGGGTCAAGTTTACCTGGTTTTCGATGCCTTAGACGAGTGTCCTAACAACGGTGACCCTAACGAGAGAGAGTCTCTTCTGGCCCTTCTGATGGACTTGCTTGAAAGACACAATAACAAAATCCATATACTCGCCACTAGTCGGCCTGAGAGTGACATCACTCACCAGCTAGGAGGTTTTCCTAGCGTTGATTTAGCAGCCAACCTGGCCGAAGATGTGAAAACATTTGTCAACGTGGCACTTACCAAAGACCCCCTAAGGGACTGGAATGACGGGATCAAGAACCTGATTCGCGATAAATTGCTGAGCTTTAAGGAGCGGTACGTACAGTCTCCATCACTTGAAAATCCCATTCTGCAGAACATAGCTAAACCCCTAATGATACAGTCGTTTCCGTTGGGCTGAGTTACAAATCGAAGAGCTCAAGACACATGTTGATGAAAACGAGCTTAAGAAAGCCCTTGACTCGGTCCCGCCAACTCTGGAGGAAACCTACCGTAAGGTGCTTGAGGGCATTAAGAAACATAATGTGGCCAAAGCACGGGATATGCTTATGCTCATTTGTCTCTCCCCTGTCGCTCTTGATGTTCACGCAGTTGTTAAGATGACCAAAGTTCGCGGACCGAACGATGTCGTCACAATTTGCACAACATCCCTGGTTAGTCTCAACGACAGCACGATCCAGCTTGCACATTTCTCGGTGCAAGAATATTTGATCGTCAAGCTGAAGGAGGACAAGCATCATGAATGTCATTTTACTGAGGCCGATGGACACAAGTACCTCACTGAAAAGACAGTAGATTTGCTCCTTGCGCAAACGGAATATATTACAGAAGAGAAGAAGGCTTTAGAGCTTCCCCACTTCCTTTATGCGGCCAAGCACTGGGACTATCACTTGGCTGCTGCCGGTGGCTTTGATAAGATGTCCCCTGAACTTCAAGTCAAGATAAACCGCCTCTTTACAGACTCGGAAGTCTATGTTAATTGGGTTCGTGGCGCCGATAGTGACGATTGGCACGCCCGCAACGAGTGGAGTAGAGTGTTCTCGACAATCGAGGAGCCCGACGAGCATGCCGACAACGAGTGGAGTAAAGTTTTTTCGGAGTGCGAGGGGCCTATTCATAGGGCTTCTGTCATGGGTTTGGTTCATACCGTGGACGCTCTACTTCAGCAGGGCGCGGATCCGTTAGAACCATACACGTGCTCACATCCAGAGTGGAGGAAAGCCGAAATTTTAAGTTCGTTCGGGATTGCTGCTCGAGTTGGAAACTTAGACATCCTACAATCTTTGCTTGACAAGAGATTGCCCCTCGAAAAACAATCTGTCGTGGATATCTTGCGGTACATTGACTATCGCAGAGCTGGCAAGGCCAAATTAGCACAGATTTTACAAACGTTGTTAGATCAAGACCTGCTTCGTGACAAATTAATCGATGCCCCCGATACAATCAGCGACCTTGCAATTTGGGCTACACTTCAGAACAAAATATCAGTGACTGAGATTATGAATGTCTTTCTGTGCTGGTCATCAATCTCAATACCTATTACTGATTCCCTTGTGGCCCATTCAATCACAACCATGCCTTCTGCCAGCCTGACGAAGCTTCTTTTCGAGAAGTGCGATATTCGCGTACCGCCTGAAGTGGTAGAGGATCTTGAACAGGGTTCCCCTTTCAAAAGCACCGCCAGTCTTACCTATTTGGCGCTAGAGCGGCCACATGAGTTGCCCGTATCAGACGGGCTTGTTAAAGCCTTTGCGCGATATGAAGATACAAAGGTGATGAAGTTCCTTTTAGAAACCCAAAAAGAACACATTCATGTGACGAATGACGTTTTGCGGCATGCGGCTGCCAATCCACGAGAAGGAGATATGTTGGACCTGCTTTGGCCTTTGAGAGACCCTGGCACTCTGATTGATGAATTCTTGCTAATGGACGCGGCATCAAACCAAACTCATCAATATGAGTATTTGTCTCGCTTGCTTCACGAAATGGAACTGGATTTGTCCTTGTCCCCTGATTTTGGAAGACATTTCATAGAAACAATCTTGGAAGCCGACATAGAAACAGGCCAAGGGGTAGAAACCCTCCAAATGTTGCTTGATATGCCTAATTTGAACCTGGCATTTACCGAGGAGACGTTTCAAGCCATTTGTCAGCATCCAAAGGCGGTGGAGATGATGGATATTCTGAAGGAAAGGGGCATAAATGTTCCTTTGACCGAGCTTATCGTCGCAAAATCCATCGCGAATGAGACGAGGGGCCTTGAGCTCTTCAACTATCTGGTGCAGATTTCCACAGAACCTCTCAAGATAACAGATATGACCATTCTTGGCGCCGCTGCGAACCCCAAGGCAGGTGCTGAGATATTCCGCAAACTTGTTCAGGCTGCTCCAGATAGCGCGTTTACAGACAATCTCTTTCAGGAAATCGTCGACGCGGGTCACGCAAATGCTCTGGCGGGTCTTTTGGATCAAAAGCGGAGAGAACCACCACTTGAAATGATATTGGAAGAACTGGCAAGTCCAAGTCAGGGTGTAACGTCAGCTGATATGCTTGAAGTCCTTCTTGAGCGAGATTTGGTGAAAGCTGATGAGCATACGGTTGAAATGCTGTCTAGGAACTTCCATTGCCTGAGAACCTTGCTTTCCTGGAATCGACATGTTACGATCAATCAGAATGCCCTCATGGAGGCCGTAGGAGACCTCCGATCCATACGGCTAGTGATGGCTGCCCAGGAGAATCATGTGGAAATCCCGGATGATGCCCTACGTCTCGCAATTATCAACCGTAATTTGGAAGTATTGGAAGCCATTATCATTCGACAAGAGTCACTTGCCGATAAAATTATTTGGTTGGCTGCTGAAAATGGGGAATTGAGTGAAGGCCAACAGTTATGGCTTCTTCAGCGGCCTTCAGAGTCCTGGCTTAAAGGCTTTTGGCAGCACACTTGGAGGGACCCCGATTTCCCTGCACCCTTTCGAGCCTGTTTGCTCATAGCTTACCTTCTCAACACCAAAGAAAAAGTTACAGAGGACTTGCTGGAGGAATGTTCTTACGATTCAGAAGATGGTGAGAACTATGGGTTTGACATGCTGGTCACAGTGCTCTGCTGGTCGGATGAAATTTCCGACCCGCCCGCGACTGAACGGGCAGCTGAGATAATAGCTGAAAGATGCATTCAAGAGGTTGTTTTGAGGTTTTTGGATCACACGCGGGTCCCCATCACGGAAAATGTTATCAGGGCGGCGGAGAAGAGTCGACAACAGGATGTGGAAGAGACGGTGGAAATTTTGAGGGACCTGGCAGGGTAGTTCAACTGCTCAGGTGCTTTTCTCTTATAATAATTTTGTCACGGCTTGTATCAACTGTGCATGGAAATGGAAGTGAATTGAAGTGAATAGAAACCATAGGTTCTTCGAGATATAGAGAGAACTGAATCTGAAGACCAGGCACGCTATGCTTCGATTTCAAGTCATCAACTGCTTCCGTGATAGGCCAGTATGCCTGGCCGCCATGGTACGTTCCTCCCTCTTCAATATATACTTCCACGGAATGAAATGATTAGCTACACACCATAATCAAAATGGCAAAGCATAGCATGATATTGCCAGTTGAAATATCAACTGCTCTGGGATTATCAACGGAATCCATCGCGGTCTCCAGCCCTCCTCATATGGCAAACGCTCTTCCTGAAACAATGCTCTTACGTACTTTATCGGAAGGTATTACCAAAAATGGATTGAATGATAGCAGCTTCACCACAAGCCACCTTGTGCTTTAAGGAGTCAAAATGCAGGTCAGGGTTTTAGCCTCTTGCTCTGCATGCCGCTGCTTCCGAAATCGGCCAATGTCGGAGACAGCGAACGATTCTTTAGTTCCCAGGTATTTAACGAATTTTTCGACTAAGTCGAGTGTTCTGTACGGTAAGGCTCCCTCGAATTATCAACTGCGAAGAAACGCTTCAAGGTCTTGGCAAGTTCATCTTCCTGGTGTTCAGCCCGGATCTTCTGCAGGGTTTTCGTGAAGTAGTGATTGTAAGTAATCGGATACCCTGTCTGGTGTGGTATAAGTAACTCCCGAGTTTTGTTGTTGATTTCCTGTTTGATGGAATTACAGGCTGGGATAATAATCTTTTCGATTAGAGCGGCTGACGTGGCTTTGTCTGTTATATATTTGACGACAAGAGTGAGGAACTCTCTGGTAGCTGTCTGAATTTTGGTAAAATATCATAATTACTGCTTAGAAGTTAGAGGAAGTAGCAGAAGTGGGCGCATGGTCTACCTCGGTACATCCTGCGGCTCTGAAGATAGTGACCGATCCTGAATGCTCTCACGTTGCAATTTTCGGGGAAAATGTATTTATATCAGATTTCAATGAAATCAAAAATAATCTCCCAATGGAGAGTGCTTACTATGGGAATACACCGTTGCTACTTAATCAGCTTTGAACAATCCCTTGATTGATCTTCGTGTTCAGAACCAGGATATATAATGACTGGGTGAAGGGGAAAACACAAAAGAATTCAGGATTCCCATGCACATCAATGGGTGTCTCTCGCCATTGAAATTATCGAGCTATGCAGAATATAACAATTACGCTCTTTCCTCGAGATTCTAGAGAAATATCACTTAAATATGACAGGTAACTCCGCTGCTTAGTGCGCTTCTTCTTTGAAAAATTGATTTGCCCCAAGGAACTTCTCCTGGGGTTCCCATGACCAGAAGCATTTCTTGATTACCAACAGACTCCTTGGAGATTCGAGACCAAACAACAGCATATGGCCTCGCGTGAATTCTTGACAGGCCCACTCTGCCAACTCGTCTGTCTAGGAATATAGACCATCAGGCGACTACGGGAAGGTATTTCTGCCCACCTGATGACCTTTTACATTGTGGCTGTCAGGATGGCGTAGATGCTAATGGTCATAGATTGCCTGCCAGGTCAGGTGACGAGGGCCTCTGTGGATAGCAGGGCTTCTTTTCTTCTTTCTTTCTCTCTCAACAAGCCACCATACAAGATTGTTCTGTCTTGTCTCTTTTCCGTACTCGTATCCACAGCTTACTCGTACGGACTTCGTTCTCCTCTATTCCTTCAGCGCACGCGCGCCGACACGAATCAATCTTCGAAAATCCCAAGTGCTACTACTTCCACTGGGAACAGACAACCAACCTTGGGATTTTTTTATTGATATTCTTATTCACACAAAATTAAGCATTTATGATAGTACTCTCAACATGGTACAAAGTATCATGAGGCGAGCCTTGCCTATCTTCAGAAAAAGAAGACCTTCGATTATCAATCTTCCACCCGAGGTATTGGATATCATTTTCTTGTTCCTCCGACCAATATGGCAAGGCTGCTTAGCACTTAGCTGTAAGACGTTCTACAACCAGTTTCAGTATATTTTTCAGCAGGGAATGTTTCGATCTCCTTATTCCAACGCAGGCATTGACCGTTCAATCGATCTTAAAGATCGACAGTGTTTTCTCAGCAAGCTCCAATCTCCAACAGGCTTTTGGGCATACTTCTGGCCTCGCCGTTGGACATATTGTGATGCATGTGTGAAGCTTCATCCACGGAATGAATTTGAGTTCGATAGCGATCATAATACTGGAACATATGCTCTTGTCTGTATGTGGCCGGGCCATGTTGTACTATGTCCCTGTCTCAAGTTTTCGCCAAAGAGACTCACGCCAATTGCTATTGAGCTAAACAAGGCAAAGCTTGATAGTGACCTTTTGCTAAAGCATATTCCGAATTGGCATGAATGCAAGTTCGAAAGTCCGTGCAAAAGACTCTCCTATGAACTTGCAATATCAGCTTCTCTTACTCACAGCAAAATATGCATCATCTTTGACTTTCCTATTTGATTTTCATCAACAAGAATTCACCATACAAAGGGGAAAAAGAAGTCATGCTTTGTCCGCACCATGGAGCTCTAAGGTCGATAGAGGATCATGGTGGTCTAGCTCCAAAATCATTTCAATGTACCACATGCAAGATCTCCTACGCCATATCGTGCTCAAAAAACCCGTGCTCCAATGAAATTCTCGCCTATCAAATTCAATTTGAGAGACGATTCTCCTTGTTGAGTGATCCATGGCCAGGGTTTACAGGTGAAATTGATTATACTGGGGCATGCGTTGGGACTAGGTATGTACGTTTGCGTCTGGATATTCCATTTGGAATACTTCAAGGTTGAAACATCCATGGATTGATGCTAACATGTATCCACGGATATTACTCAGGTACTGGCCTTGAGGTTCCTTACCCGTCCTAGGTACCGTACCTAGTACGTGAGCTCCACGGCTGATTAGAGATAGATCGCGCCCCTTTTCCTGTCTACCGCCAATGCTTGATGCTGCCATATCGGTCCTGGGAGACTTGCAGCTTACCACTATTCTGCTTCAATCTGCTTGATTTGTTGTGACTCGCTGCTATCGGCGCAGTTTCCCGTGACTGTTTCCAAGTTCGGCGTCATTTTTGCTTATTTGAAGCCCTAATTGGCGCCATCTCTTCGCTTGTTTGGCGCATGGCTATTTCCTACATCTAGTCGGTCACTAGAGCTTTCAATTTAGATCCAGAACAACACATCTCTCTACCGTTCCCATGATGCTTCCTGTGGCCCATGAACGGATCCACGACCTGGAGTTCACTTAGACCTAAGTAGATAGTAGATCCCGAGATTCTCCAGGACGGTGGTCTATTCTACCTTTTTACAATTATTCTTTGGCAATGAAGACCCACCGCCAAACATTTAGACGTCAACAGACTATCAATTCTAGACCTGAGACTAGCTACATATTACTATGGTGCCACTAATTCTCAATTTGCTGAGCTGAGGTGCCCGAGGGCCCTTGGTATGACTATTCCTGTATGTATGATTCATTGAACAATAATGGCCTCGCCGGGACTTTATACTGATACCCCTTATAAATCTTAGCAATCTTAAAAATGGCAAGTTGTCCTTCAAAAGCTCTCATCTGGCAAAGGCCATACGTGGATATCGCAGATTTGATGATTGTCAATGGAAAGAGATACTCTACCTGGAATTTCACAAATCATTACAATTATTTTCACTCCGCATTATTCCCATAGTAAATCCAGATCTCGAAGTCTTTTCTCTTTCTTCCACTGCTCCAGGTCAAATTTTCCTTCCAGAAGTTCATCTTGTTGGCTATCCCACATGAATGTGAATCCATCAACAGTACTTATCGCACTATTATCATGATTGACAATGTCGATTAGACAAGGCTGGAGCTGATATTTGTCCGTCTCATAGGACACAAATCGATCAAATTATGTTTTTGACAAGATTTCGAATACCATACCATCGACCGGTTGGAGTGGCTCGCCATCAATAAGAGCAGGGTAGGGCCCCCAGAGCTTAACGTCATAGCCTATCACTCTGGCACGGCTCATGATAAGAAGGGAGTCTGACGTTCTCAAGACTCGACAAAGTGTTTCTGGATCCATTAATGTACCGTAGAAAAAACAGTATTGTCTTTCAAAGGAATCCGCGGATGTTGAACCCTCTTGAGAAGGATTAGGAGATGGTGTCCTGTTTTGATTCGACTCGTGTCCTGAGGCGTTGTGATTCATGAACTTGCGCACCATGAGAGAAGGGGATGGGAGTGTTTTGCGCATTGTGTCGGTACGTGGATTCTGTAACACATCAGCAATGCCCTCTAATGCCTCATTTGTCTGAATTCGGCACGGTTTTGAGCGCAGGGACTCATGTCATCACGTACCAGAGTAATACAACGAGATATGCAGTCAAGCAATGAACGATTGACAGGACCTCTGATGACGAGGCCGAAGATACTGCTCGGCGGATGTTAGCTACTTGAATAAACCTGTTTGTAACAGCTCACCTTCAGAGATTAGCAAGGTAGACGCAGAGTTAAAAGTATGATTCTTCTCGGGTGGACAATAAGCTAGCAGTATTCAGTATGGGAGCTGTCTGGGGAACAGGGAGCTAAGTCTATTTCGGATTGTACCTACTGTCATTCTTACCACACGAGTAGGACGGCAAGGGCAGTTTTCTCAATGAATAAAAAACACTAAAATAACAAACAAAAACCAAAACATACAAGAGTTATGATTCGCACATGGTCACCGACCACACTATTAACTAATCGGCCAATGGCTTCAACAGGAATCATCCACTGTTGCAGCGAACATAGCACCTAAAGCTTCAACCAGCGACTCAATATCGGCTACAACTCAGCTCGTCAGTATTGGTCAGGGTCCATCAGTGTGGGGCCAATATTCCAGGTCATAATAGGGGTCACTCACCCTGCTTGTACCCTGGGATGGTACCGCTGACCGCAATTGAAAGCTTTTTGAAAGATTGAGGCGCCATCTTGTAGGTGTAGTAGGAAAATAATAAAAGAAGAGTACAAGAGAAATGACTCAAATGAAAGTCAGAATACCAGCGACGCCAAGAAGCCGTCCGAAACCGAGATGAGATGAACCTTCCAGGAAACATAGCTTGCTCATCTCAGCTGTGTATCAATGGCTAGGCGTGATCCAGTCCTGCAATTGTGCGTCGGTCGGCTGCTTAACTGAAAGATTCTCGGGGACTTTCACATCAATCTTAGCAAAGAATGGACGACGATGGTTGGCCTGAAATTTATGTGTGCCCTCTTTAAACGGCGCATCATCAGGGTTATATCCCGCGAACAACAAAGCCCAGCTGTTATTGGGGCCGATCTGAGCAACAGTCGGCACACCCGGCGCAAGGACCTGATCGCCGACGTAGTGCCAGCCATCCTGCTTCTCAGCTTGAAGAAGGTAGTAGACCTCCTTGTTGCCCTTGGAATTCCAGAGATGATCAGGATTGTCCTTTACCACCTTGCGATAATGCTGACCATGGACGGGCAGGAACGTATCTGACTACGCAATACCAATCTTGTATGTCTTGTGATCGAAAGCTCCCACTGAATAGGCCAAGACGAACTTGCCATGAATGGCATGGATGTTACCCGTTTCGATAAGTTTGAAGGAGTCATTGCCAGCGACATAATTCTCCGAGTTTAGGTTTTCGTCTGGAAGTAATAAAAAAGTAGGCTTGGTTCCAGGTGTTAAGGTTGTAGGGTCGTTCATTGGCCATGCGACGACGCCATCACGTTTTGGTGACTGGGACTTCTGCTTCTGATACACAAGGTACAGCTTTTTGTATGGTGTCTGGAAGTACTTGCCGTCGTAGTTGGCGTCGACATTTTCCGAGAAGGACCCGACCATCACCTTGTCCCCAATCCAGGATATCGGCGGCTTGTCGGCGCTAGGTTCCTCCGAGTGAGCATGGACAATGACACTCCACCCGGATATCCCATCGCATTTAGAACTGCTTTGTACGTACAGCGTTACTAGCGCATCCCATGAGCCATCCTTACTCTGGAAAGGGTGGATCCCAGCAGCACCACATATCGTTGTGCCGGCGGCATTTGCCGTTTCGTTCAATGCTGAGCTGGTTTTGTATTTATTTTTGCGAGTAGAGGCACACCCGGGCGAAAGATCACCTCCGGCACGCTTCAAATACTGATGCGTGGTGCCCGAAATGTAAAGGTTCGTGGTATTCTGCCAATGATATGGACGATTCACGCAAGACTGGAGAAAGGCGGATCGACAAGCTCATCAATTTCTGAATTGAAAGCCAAGTTGCCACCGTCAGCTTATACGAGCACTAAGAAGAAATGACGTATTTTCTCATGTTAAATGCCCGGACTTTAGGCGCCCAGCGGCAATAGAGTATCAATGGATAGGGGTCCCTGATGCTCCACCAAACTTGTGAAGATCTCCTAAGGCCTCCCAAGCCTATGGTGTCCGATAACAGCCTCGAGGCCGGATGATGTATTTTTGAGTTTTGGCCTAATTGATGCCTGAATTATGTCTGATTTTATAATATGGCTTATGTGCAGGCAATAGTGCACCGCCCGGGTGAGAATAGGGAAACGCCGCTTTAGTGTCGCGCAATCTGGGTGAGAAGGGCAAGTGCGCAATAGAGGGTGAGCCGGGTAAGAATCCTACGAGCCAGCGCGCTATCCGCACAGAGAAGGAGCTACGTAATACAAATTAGGGGAGATCATATGTAGTATCATGGCGTTGGAGAAGCACGGCATCATCTCATATTATTGAATGAAGAGATAATCTTCTCATTGTTATGTGGGAAGAAACATAAGTCGATAGAGTATTTAAAGTCGGAGTTGCATGAGTATCGCCGAGAAATCAGTTGTAGATTAATCATCAACTTCACTATGCTGATATAGATGCTTCCATTTTTGACCGATGCACATTGAGCTTTTTGCTTGAGAACGACTTTTAAATCCTGCTGGCATGGCCGTCTCTTGATCCCAAGTAGGCCCCATGCGAGAGATTACATATGCGCAGTCAGCAAAAAAGGCTCTTCGCGCAACAGAAAACTATTTGAAAGCAGGAAGAGTTCTGCCTTTGGTCTCTCCATCCGTAATTCTCAAGGAGCTTCGTGCGGCTGAAAGAGCGCGTATTATATTCTCAAAAAGATTGACAAAGCCCCCTTCGAAGTTGATGATTATTGCCATTTCAACCCATATTAGGCACTGCCCCCGATAGCAGGAAATTTGCCAGTCGATCACAAAGTACGTTGGCCTGTATGATGTCGTCGTTATTCAGACATATTGGCAGTGTGTTGAGAAAAAACGCGCTCCATAGGCCGTAAGCCATCTCAAAATATGCGCCAAAATTTGCAATGGCCAGTCACTTTTTCGGACAAACTGCACCGCGGTGTGATTTACGAAACTGATTTGTAGATGGGTTTTGTGCTCTTCTTGGCGTAAAATGTCAGTGTATCGGCCTCTCTCATTGATGGTAATCAGAGGTGAACAGAGTCTTTTTGCAAGACTAATGGAATCGAATACTTCCTCGCCAGAATTTGTGGCTTGAAAGACGATGTCTAGAACCTCGCGTAAAGCCAAGAGCCGTCCGCTGTAGCACGTAGTTTTTGAAAGACTCCTTGTCCTAGGGAGGTAGAATTGATGTTTTGAGAAAGGGAAATCCTCTTTTGGATATAGGCTACTATCGGCTGTCGTACATGTGATGGAAGGATGATCAACTCTCGCAACGATGATCCGATCTGTTTCCGGTAATGATTGAAAATGCTCATTAGATCAGGCTCTTCACGACTAGAGAGAAGCAGCCTGCAAGTGCGTTGGGATGCCTTCAACGAAGCATTCAATGCAGATGCAAGTAGATAACCATCATGGCATTCATCCAGAGCATCTAAAACGATAAAAAGCGGTCTTCCTTTACACCCGTTGATCAAAGCGTATTGAAAGGCATCTTTGAGTACGGAAAATGATTCCGCATGCTTTCTTCCGCTTTGCAAGCGTAAGTCATTAACCCACTCGAAAAGTTGATGGCTGCCATCTGCTGCAAGCAGTTGGGAAAGTAAAGTGAAAAGAACACGAATAGGATGTTTCTTGCTCTCATCTGTTCCTTTGCAGAAACAATAGAAGACATGACATTCCTTGTTTTTCATCAGATAACTGATAACAAAGGCAATGAGTGTAGACTTCCCACTGCCGGGTGCCCCGCCTAGTCGGAGATATTATGTCTCTTTGTTCGACATCAGAAACGTATTCAGTGCATGTGTTTGAAAAGCCCAGTGGCAGCTTCCATCCACGTATTCGCTTTCGTGATAAGATAAGTCATCCTTGATATTAGCAGGAGAAAGCCATCGGTGAACATGAAATCGATGGTCGCCCGATCCTAGAATGATCATGAGTGATTACTGACCGGGACAATTTTTGAGCAAGGCAAGTTATAGAGAGCTGATGATGAGATGGGAAATGGGTTGAATAAAAACTCACCGGTTTGATACCTGCCAGCAGGTGTACATACACTGTCTGTTTATATGTAAGACAAGACGGACGCCCGTACCAATCATGGCAAAGTTCTCTCCACTCAGTCTGAAGGCCGCCTTCTCCCAATGTAGGGAGAAAGCCAACGCAGCTTTTATCTGGACCCTCCAGGTGATACCGATGGCATGAGACAGCGTCCTGTTCCGTCGATTTTTATCCTTTGGATATTAATCTCGGTACTAAATTCTAATATTGCCATCGGTAACTAAGCTAGCGAATATCCAGCAGATAATACTCGAACATCAAAGGGACTGACTGTATTCGACATATCGAAACCTGCATACTACCAATCCATGGGCTCTATACGGCGTGAAAGCTTATCCCGAAGTTCCTCATCGTCATACAAAAGACCAGTATCCGCACCTGGGTAGGAGAAGTCAAGTTCATCTTTTAACTTCTGTGCAGTCTCAGTTGAGAGCCACATGTATCTCTCCACCATTCCCGCACTCGCTAGTCCGCCTCCATATGTACCTGGAGTATCTTCGTGTTCATTTCCACATTGATATTGTCCATACACGATCTCCATGTCATAGTAGCTGACAGTGTGATCAGTGAGAGAATCTCTAGGCTCCAGATCAGTCTGTAAGCCTGGTGCAGTGCGATCAAAGTCCTTGAAGTCGCGGAAATTCGGGGGGGTTATGTTGTGCTCCTTTATGATTTTCTCAAGGTATTGTAGGTAGAATGGATTTTCACTTCGCCTGGCAGCCACATACAAGGATTTGGTGTAGGGGGGCTTCAAAAGTCGGAATATCGATTCGTAATCACATATTATACAAGTGGTCGCAATTTGATGTCCCATGGACGGACACTTTCGAACTAGATCAATTAAAGTGTTCTTAGAGGGCTTCACAGGCCCCCATATAACCCACGGGAGGCAGTCTGAATCATTGTCAATACCAGAGATATCATTGTTCATGATCATACGGGCATTAATCGCAGTATGAATCTCTCTGCACTCCTGTTCATTGCCTTGACCAAGCAATTTACCGGGGAGGATAGCCCGTCCAGGGTTTGTTTCCAACTGATAGGCCCACCATCTGGCGAAGCTTGTACTGTGATAAATACCACGAAGAATACAATTGTATTCAAGTTTGGTTCTCAGCCTACGTGGGTGCATTAGTCGACTGTATCGATCCACATTGCCCTCCCACGCAGCCATCTGTGTCTGAAGACGCTTTTCGAGAAATGGGAGATCAGGCGGAAGAGGCATCCACAATTGATCGGACTGGCCTGGGCCCAGTTTAGCGTAGTCCTCCAATCCGCTGATATCCTCCAAGCTGATATCTTGCAAGCCGATAAATCCGTCTTCCTCGATGTCAATATCATCAGCAGTTGTCTCTGGTAAATTTTTACCAGGGTAAACTCGCTGCCCCAAAGCCCATCGGGGCTTCATATCGCCATTCAGAAACGCAGGTGTTCGTGGGGTTTCAAGAACAGATCGAGAGAAATCTTCCATAACAACATATCGTTGGGGGGCAGACATGATAATCTTGTAGATTTCGGCGTCCTTGTCTTTGTCAACTTCCCGGGATTCTTCCGCAATAGAAACATCAGGCAAAAGGTCCAATTCTTTGTAAAGATCTGTATAGCATGCTGCAGCACACGCTCGGCCGACTTGATACCGCATAGACGGATACTGACGGGCAACTTCGCGATATGTTTCTTCTGAGGCAAGGTCGGGATACCATATACAGTACGGCTGAGTGGCGGGATGTTGCATATCGGGGATTATATCACTCATTATCAGGCGAGCATTGCGGGCGCGGGAGAATTGATAGCCATAGTCGCCGGAGCACAGCTCAATAATTGCGGGGCTTGTTGCGAATTGAAGTGAATCACGAATCCCACGAATGACTGCTCTCCGATGCCAAAACGAACTTAGATCAACGGGGACATCCTCCCCCTTTATTGCCCAAGCACATTGATCGGTGTCGCATGCAGGTATAGGTTTGCCGGAAGAGTCAGTTGCCTGCCTTTTCGGTAGAACGATATTGTATTGGCTCATAAGGCTGATGCCAGAATGTTCGGTAGCCGCCATTAGGAAATAATATGGGCAGTGCTGCCAGTGGCGCTGGTGCTGCGTGCAGTGACAAGTGGGGAAAATGAAGTTCAATGTTGAGGAAAAGGAAGACAGGATTATGCTTCGACCAGCAAGGATTTATAGGCGAAGTACTCCGTAGATCGCACTATTATTTGATTTGCATTAGTTTATTTCCCGCCCTTTTTTTTTTTTTTTCTTTTCCTTCTCATTCTCCACTCAGCTTGGTGCAGTGGTGCCCCGCCACATGCGACGGGAACTGTACCGTAAACTTACCATAAACTTACAAGCTCATACACAAACTGGGCTGTATATGAACTCATGGACAAGTTCCAAGTTCCAAGGTTAAGTACCACTGATTCTCATTCGAAACTAGTAATATCATTCCAACCAATCCTTTCAAAATTTTCTCAAAATTAAATCCCCCCAGTAAAAGTACCAAAAAAAAAAAAAAAAAAAAAAGCCTACTCTCCATAGATGCCCCTGACACTAAACAGAAATCGCGGTTTCCAGTGAGGCAGATTCCATACTGGCCATCACTACAGATTTTGGATAATATGTAATAAACGGTTCACGATAGCTTCGAAATTACACTCATTTGCACCTCCTGGGTCCTGAATGAGGACTATCTTACATGTGTACGTGGTAGACGGTGATCTATCGTTTTGGTGTGGGTTCTGCTAGCTAATTCCGACTACTTAGTAACACTGATCGTGCAACTTGAAAGCTAGTATGAAACATTATGTATTTCCCAGTTTACCAAGTATGAACGTCAAATCTCTCGAGGATCAACGCTCATCTATCCAAGATTTATCCTCCCAAGCGGCGATCTCTTGCCAATGGCTCCTACTCGAGCCGCTCGCCGGAGGACCATTGGTACTGGGTAAAACGTCCCCAAGCTCATTGGCCTATGTATCAACATGTAGTTAGTACCTCTAGAGCTTATAAGATGACCCCTTGAAAGAAGTGAAACTCACCCAGGTCTGAAAATCAACTCCACTTTCAAGGTTCTTCCCTTTAATTTTCGCGGTGTTGAGTGGATCTTCAAAGGTTGCTGGAAAGTTGATTGTTTGGTATTTGGATATCTTGTCTTCACCTGGAACTCCGGTGTCTGCGTCGTCCACGGTCGTAACAGTGGTACGGATTGAATGGCCATCTTTCTTTTTTGGAGATTCCAACCATCGTCTCTGGATAGATGCTGGATCAGCCACTGATTTGTCGAGGCTTTCCTGAGAGATATCATTCGTTGACTAATCGTGTTGGCGCGATCAAGACGTTCGGAAATGCCCTCAATACTAGACTTCTTCGCATCATCTCTGATAGCCGCCACCTTTTCCGTGACTTTCTCAATGAATCGAGTATGGATTTGATTGCTTCCACCTGTCTTGAGGTAAGGGTTAACTTCCTTCATCTCAATTGGCCCATTGAGATGTTTATCAGTCAACTCCTGTTCCGCTCTCACAAGATCATCCTCAGAATCTGGCGCAGTTATGTCAGGATGAGGCACGACTGCCGTATTTTTGCCCTCCAATCTTATCATGAATTCAGGATAATCAAGAGGATAATATGTCGCCTTCGCCGTGGCCCCAACAGTTATCACATGTCGATTATCTAGCCCGGCCGCGATAAGTTCTTTTCCGTCCTTCTTCAAACGGAAAGGAAGTATGAGCTTTTGTTTGTAGTAACCCTCAAGATTACTATATTGAAATACCGAAAACTTATGGACAGCTGGAATATTTGCTAGATGCTCTGAGAAGGCGAAAATCTCTCGGCGATAACGTACCCAATGATTTTATAGGCCTCCCACAAAAACAGCCTTTCCTAAGTATGAGCACGATCATTGAGCCCGTTATCAGTGATACCTAGAATAGTGGCCGGGGCTCTTCGTTGGTGTGTGTGCAAATGATTATGAGAACCGGAATGGGCTGTATAACTTAGGCTCGTAAACTGAACAAGCCACACTATAACAAGGCCCAGGATAGAGAACCCAGGCACCCGGGAGAGCATCTTGATAATCCCAGAGTTTTGATTGATCGGGGGAAAAGGTTTTCAAAAAGAGAGCTCAGTTAATTCAAAAAAAAAAAACGCAGACATAACAGGCTCTCAAGTTCTTTTATGGGACACTACTTTCCTACCTTTCCCAAATGAACAGTCCGAGCATACTAATTTCTCCCTGTACTCCGTACCGCGAGATATTGTCAAAAATTCGGTCTCTTGGCAAATCCACGCCGATCCTGCTATTCCATATACTCCCGAGCCGTGGCCTTGGGAAATTTACCAAACTATGGAAGCGAAGCTGTATTGTATCATGTACGTGCAAGGCTGGGACGCCAAGACATATTACAATTGGTGCTCACGGCTAAGCTAGCATTAGCGCTAAATTAGTTCTTTGGGTTGGGTTTCATGTTTCTAAACTCGATAGTATTTTGCAAAATCTGCACGGCGGGATACTTGACCGGGGGGCTTCCTCTTCTTGGCATTCCACGAGGCTGAGTAGCTTGAATGTACGGCGTACAGCTTTGGATATGGAATTAGCGTCAAGCTCTCCAAGTGTATCATTTATGTATCAATCATTGATGGCATTTACTGATTCACCAGAAGAGAAATTCCCGATAAGAGAGGGGAGGCATAGTATGGAAATTAACTGAAGTACATACTCCCCTAAATGAGAATGAGTTTCTTCAAGTTCAGCCTTGATGTGAGAGAATTATATGTAAATTCAGATGTCTTAGGTTCATTTGGCCCCCGGGGCCATAACCCAGCGAACACGAAAATAGCCCGTGCGGAAAATCTTAAGATTCTCAATCAGCTGCTGGTACATGAAGTGTAAAAAATGCCCCAGAGGCTTGGGGCCGCGGGAAGGGTCCGTTGGAAGGGTCCAAACAATGCTTCCAGGGTCAGCAATTCGCGCACTAGAGACTCCGCCGTCTTCTAATTGGCTCGTCTAAAAGGAAAATTTACTACCCTGGAGATCGATAAGGGGGGGGGAAATTTGGGACCGGCATTGGGGGCCATTCTCGGACCCACTCAGAGATTGATAATAATACAGCGCGAGGCTGTGAGGCTGTATCATAAGATTTTTTAGACCCATGCTCGGCAAAGCTTGCATGCAGGGCCTAGTACTGTGCCGTCTTGATCTTGGAAGCGAAGATTGCATTGTCAAGCCTGAAGTAGTCGTCTCCAGATGTCCACTCAGCCCCTGACTAGGACCCTGACTACGGAGTAGGACCCTGACTACATGGACCCTGCTGGTAGCGCCTAGTAAAATTACATTACTACCGAGATACAACAAGCTAGTAATTTAGGAAAAAGCACAAGAAATCTAGAATTAATGAAACGAACCTCCGTACTCCATAGTGATATCCGCTTCTTAGTGGTAATATTGTAATTAACTGTTACTAGCTTCACCAAATCCTGTCAAGGTGTGACACACGGGAACTCATGGGCTCCGAGGATGCTCCGTCCCACATCGGTTCAAGTTCGTGGTCTGCAAACTTGTGAGTGGCCATTCAATAACGAAGTATAAGTATTTGAAATCTACCTATATTGTGGGTAGTGATGGGTATATCTTAAGATCATCTCCACTGTCCTTTCAAGTTCCTTTTCATTTTCCAACTATCATATCGCCTAGGCAGTCTTTCTCTTCATTCTTTCATGATGAAGACTGCCATAGGGGCTTTCGTTCCTTTCCTCTCTTTGAATTTCCTCATTACCCTTCCTTCTCTTACCCATGCCTCGCCCAACAAGTTGGCAAGCTCAGGTGTCTTGCCTGCTCCAGGTTGTCCAGAGTTCTGCTTAGTTGTTGGTTCAAATCCGAGTAACTGGACCTGGATTGTTGACTAAAGTTATTTGAGTATCTGTGCTAGCCAATCCTATTTGACTACCATATTGACCGGGACTCGAGCTCTAACTTGGTTGTACGCTCTTGTGCTATCCTCGAGCCTTTCCCCGAGTAATCTCAAACCTCGAGTTTATAAGAAATGAAATGGAGCAATGTTAATAGCAATGATTCAGAAGCCGTCGAGCAGTCATTGGTTATATCGAAGTCTTGCGGGGCATCCCAGCAAACTTCAGATGTTAACGTTTAGGTGGGCCCTACTGGTGCTATTAAGGCTACTAAGGATTCCAATACCGCAATCAAGAATCTAGCATCCTACATGACCAATGCTGCCTCATGTGGCACTACCATACTTATATCAAAGGCTGGGGTCTCTATGGCTGCGCTTTATGCCGGTGTAGATGTCTATCAAAGCGCTATTGGATCATACCTTCTCGACTTCAAGAAGCAATTTAAAGCTGGATCCTAGATAATCCAATCCTGCGACTCGAGCTTAAAGCGAGACAATACCATTGGTGTTTATATTATGAACTCATTGGATGATCTAGAAGATATCGATCACGCCTTATAGACATGGTCCAAGGGTAGCTGCCTTACTCGGACGGTCATGACTCGATCCAATCAAAGACTACCATGCTTAGTGTCTCTGAAGTCAGCAAGCGATTAGATATGTCTTCATCGCTCGGAGGTTTCCTAGCCCCTCGTGCTGATTGTAGGACCATCGAAGTCAACTAAGGAGATGGTTGTGCGTCATTAGCAAGCCGCTGTGGTATATTAGGAAACGATTTCGATAAGTACAACACCGGTACTGGTCTTTGTAGTAATTTGAAAGTTAAGCAACGTGTTTACTGCTCAGCGGGATCTCTGCCAGATATCATCCCTAAGAAGCAGTTAGATGGCACTTGTGGCACTTATACTATCCAGACGGACGACAACTGTGCTGATATCGCGGCTCATTTTGGTATTACCCAAGATGATATCTATGACCTCAACGAAGATACTTGGGGGTGGGCTGGCTGTGGCACGAACGATCTCAAACCAGATTAAGTCATCTATTTAAGTGAGGGTAATACTCCCATGCCGTCTCCATTGAGTAATGCTGTTTGTGGTCCTTAGGTGCCTAGTACCAAAGCTCCGTCAGGAGGTTATACTGGTTGGAATCTTACTAAGCTCAACCCTTGTCCCCTAAATGCTTATTGCTTAGGTTGGGGCTTCTGTGGCACCACAGATAAATTCTGTACCGAGTCACCCGCCAAGACAAAAGCCCTAGGGGCCTTTTTAAAGTGGCAAAAATGGATGTATCTCCAACTGTGGCATAGATATCGTCAACAATGATGACGCTCTGGACAATTTCTACCATGTTGCTTACTTTAAAGTCTTCAACCTCAAGCGCGAGTGTCTGAATATGGACGTTAATAAAATCAGCGATACATCCTTGACCCATGTGCACTTCGCGTTTGCTGGATTGACTGCTGATTTTGATATTTCCTTTAACACCGATAAGTACGAATCGCAGTTTGAAAAATTCGTCAAAAATGATGCATCTTATAAAAAGATTCTTTCGTTTAGAGGTTGGGCTGAGTCAACATCCGCCTTAACTTTCTAGCGTTACCGTGATGTCGTTAAGTCTGGAAATCGTGAGAAGTTTGCTAAGAATATCAAGGCGTTCTTTGAGAAATATGATGGACTAGACGGTATCGACTTTGACTGGGAGTATCCTGGAGCCACTGATATCCCTGGCGTACCTGCAGGTTCCGATAGTGACGACGATAATTACCTTAGTTTCTTGAAGTTGATGAAGAGCACCATTAGTGATAAGTCCCTTTTAATAACTCTACCTGCTTCATATTGGTACCTGAAGACATTCCTAATCGCTAAAATATCTAACTATGTTTTATACTTTATCTATATGACTTATGACCTTTATGGCTAATGGGGTGAGTTTATAAATATCATGCTAAGTTCTTTGTCGATGAAGCTCACTAACGATAAAAAATTGAATAGATTATAATAATGCCTACGCAGATAAGGGCTGCCCCAGCGGAGACTGTCTTCGATCGCATGTCAATAAGACCGAGACTATAAACTCTCTTGCGATGATCACTAAGGCTGGTGTGCCTGCAAGCAAGATTTTTGTTGGAGTTTCAAGCTACGGTCGTAGCTTTGGTATGGTCGACCTAACCTGTACTGGTCCTATGTGTAAATACGGTGGCGGTTTTGATGTTTCCACTACCGAGGCTGGAACTTATACCAACACTTCTGGCTATATCTTAAACGCCGAGCTTAATCTTATCATACAAGGTGTGGACTCGAATGCTACTAATTATAAGGGCCGCACGTGGTATGATGAGGATTCCGCTTCAGATATAATGGTCTATGGTACTAAAGGCGAAATCACTACTTGGGTGGCATATATGTCCGATGACACTAAGGAGGCACGCATTGATTGGGTTAAAGGACTTAACTTTGGAGGCGTCACTGATTGGGCTATCGACCTTCAAAAATTGAACTTGGGTGTTGACCCTGACTCCGATGAAGCTTAGGACCTTGATCTTCCCGCTCTACCTATAGGATGTTCTTCTGACGATTAGCTGGATAATCTGGAGGACTTGCGGAATAACATTGATAAGATTGGTTTAGGCTACCGGGCCTAGGCTGTTGTTTGGGTTTTGATCAAAATTCTTCCTAGCATCCTAGATAACTATCAAAGTGTAGCTAATAATTATGATGAATAAGTGAGATTCAAACCCCTCATGGTGCTTTCGCATTTAAGCTAATATACCTCTAGTTTAAATACTATGCTGAATGGGTTAGAAACGGCATCGATGATTCATTGCCACTCTTTATATGGAGTGATAGAGAAAATTATATAGACTGCAAATGGCCATCTATATCGGATGGCAGTGGTGATGCGGCCTGTATAGAAATGCACGTCCTAGAAGGATAATCAGGATAAGGTGAAGTTAGTATCACATATATAGTACGTGATGAAGATGGGTTTCATAAAGCCCTTTAAGCCGACTATGGAATTGAGAAGGACTGGATTGTATGGAAAGACATATACGCAGACCCTGAGAATTCTCTTACCTATCCTCCTTGTCCTAGCCTTACTAAAGACTGTAAACCTTGCACTAGCCATGGCGTGACTTACCACAACTGGCCAGTAAAGGCTGCGGACGATGACATCGATGTTCCTAATCTCAAGGACATCATCGACACTGCAGTACCTAACATTACGACACTTCAAGATGTTATTCTTGGAAGTTTCATAGAGATGCGTATCGGGGCCATGGATGCTTTGGATGAAGACGTCGCTACCGCGCTTAGTATGCCCGTTTTTATGATTGTAGACATAACTGAATAAATGAAGAACATCACGAAAATCGGTAAAGAACAGGAAAAAGCTAATCATGATGCTAAAATCAGTTTCATCTTAGACATTGTCAGCATTGTTCTTATAATCATTCCGTTCGCTAGAGAGGCAGTCGATGCGATTGGTGGCGTGGCGAACGTTGCCCGTGCGGCTTATGTTGTCGGCGAGGCTAGTAACGTAGCTCTTTCTATCTATGATATTGTGAACAACCCATCTTCAGCTCCCTTCGCCATCCTTAGTCTAGTCATGGGAGCCGATGCCTCGGTCGTTAGCAAGGCTAGCAAGACGACTTTCACCAAAGCTGCCGTTTTCCGGACAGCGATGACCGAGGACACTCTGAGCTCCTTCAGCAAAGAGTTCTAGGCGAATGATGCGATCGTACAGGACATTATTAAAGCTTGTAAAAAGGCTTGATGCTCATGTTGTGGAACAATGCTAGCGGTTTCTATCTCGAGTCGGGCAAACTAATTAGTCATAGAAATATCACTACTTGAACTTTTCCTTTTCCAAATAGCAATATCACCCACTCTTTATGTAAAAAATAGTGCGAGAAATGATGCCAGTGCTTGATGAGACACGGAGTTTCAGTGGGTCGGACTCTGACTTTGAACATTTGAAGAGCAGAGGTGCCTGGGGCGTACTAGAACCTCGGAAGCACCTCTTACTTTCTCGTCTCTCCCTTCGGAGTAGATCAAACAGAGTTACTAGTATCTTCACACTCCACATCTCATTCGTGTTTCTTCAATCTTCCAATTCAAGTGATGCTCTCCAAGATGGTGCAAGGGTGTGTAAGAGTCGAGTAAGCGTGTCTAAGGCAATTAAATATACTTATTTTATTTAAGTAGCTTTAGGTAGTTATATATATTCTAGCTTTTATTTTTAATATAGTAGTCTATTTAATCTATATAAATATAATTAGATCTAGCAGTTTGAGTTATTCCTGGAACTATTGCGTTAGGCTAGACTTCTATTACTTTAATTTCATGGACTAACGTGTGATCATAGGGACTATAAAGCGGCCACTATAAGCTATTAAGGAAAGGGATGGGCCGGGTGACGGACATACGGGTAAGAAATTAAAGAAGAAGCATGCCGAGAAACGCAAGGTAAAGGGAATTTCTGATAACGAGTCAGAGTAGAATTTGGAAAATAATTCTTGTAAGATAGACACCAACTGGATAGTCATTTTGAATTCGAACTTCAAGGAAATGCGCGCGCAACGCGCGCGCCCTCACGACTTGTCTACAGTAATCCCTTTTTTTGTTTCTGTTATTAAAAACTAAGAGTTTCGTGACTAAAAGACTGGATCAAAGGTTGATGTCTAGAACTATTCGCTTCCTTCCCGTTAGTGTACGCACCTCGTTATATTTTGAGGCCGGGTGGATATGGGCGGGCATCGATACAATGACGTCGACGACATCTTTAACATCTGTAATAAAAATCCAATTTAGCTTTTTGATCAAAAAGCTTAACTTAACCAAGTCCCGCCGGGTTTTCAACAAAGACCAATGGATCGAATTTCATTTCCAATTATCCGTTCTGGATGGCCTTCTGTTATGTTATGCGAACGGTCAATGACGTAATACATCTAACACATGGAGTGATTATAGTAACCACTCAGCTAACTCACCAGCAGCTGATATTTGGGAGGAAAGACTAAATAGCTGTATGGTTATGACGCCTATAAAATTTAAACAAGAGCCCACGTTTAATGTTCAAGTTCAATGAATCTTTAATTGCAGAAGCTTTATCATCTCACATCTAATCATGTCCGCAGACAAATATTATACCCTTGCTGAAGGTGAGTGAAGCAAATAAGAAAGAATTGCCTGAATTGCCTTCATTTTCCTAGCTCACCAAGACAAAAAGGATGCCCCTTTGCAAGCAATAGCACAGCAGTGCTTATGCGAAACAGAGATGGAGGGGGTCTCGGACTCCTCCAAGATACGCAGCTCATCGAGACATTGGCGCATTTCTCGCGGGAGAGGATTCCGGAGCGGTAAATCGCTATTATAAGAAGTTTCGTGTATTAGCTGACACTGTAGGGGATTGAAAGAGTTGTTCATGCCAAAGCTGTTGGGTAAGGCTCAAAGAGGTTTCTTCGCAGATCAAGTCCTAATCAACATTCCCATTCATAGCGCGTACGGAGAATTCGAAGCCACCGCCGATTGCTCTGACCTGACATGTGCCAGCTTTCTCAGTGAAGTTGGCAAAAAAACCCCTGTTCTACTTCGTGTCTCTACTGTCGGTCCCGAAGCAGGCTCGGCTGATACTTCTCGAGATGTTCATGGATGGGGCATGAAACTCTATACTGATGAAGGCAACCTTGATTGGGTTTTCAATAACACCGTGAGATTACTAAAGTCCATCGATAAGTCCCCTACTTATATCAAATTCAGCCTGTTTTCTTTATTCGTGACCCTATTAAGTTCCCCTCCATGAATCGCTCTCACAAGAGACACCCACAGACCCACCTTCCCGATGCGAATATGGTAAGTTCAAGTGATCCAGCTCAAGTTATATAACAAGACTGACATGACTTTAGTTCTGGGAGTAGGTCCAGGTAGCTTTATTTACCTCTTCATCGCTTACATGATATAGTTTCCATGTGGGCAATCCTGAAGGAATCCACCAGCTCCTGGTTCTTTTCAGTGACCGTGGAACTCCCCAATCTATCCGCTTCCTGAACTCCTATAGTGGTCACACATACAAGTTTACTCAAAAGGTTCGACTTCCAGCATATGACTTCTCACATTAGCTAAGCCTATGGATCTAGGATGGCTCTTTCAAATATATCAAAATTCACGTGAAAACCCGACAAGGAGTCAAGAACTTCAGTCAAGAAGAAGCTACCAAAATTGCTGGTGAAGACCCAGATTACATGATTCGAGACATGTTTGAAGCTATTGAGAGAAAAGACTACCCTGTTTGGGATGTCTTTGTACAGGTTATGGATCCCTCAGAGGCGGAAAACTATCGTTGGAATATCTTCGATATGACCAAAGTTTGGCCACATGAAGACTTCCCGTTGAGAAATATCGGCAAGCTTACCCTGAACCGGAACGTATGTTACCCCTTGTGATATATTGATATGTTGATTTTTGACTTTTTTACAGCCTGGTAATTATTTCGCCGATATTGAACAAGCAGCATTCTCCCCATCTAATATGGTGCCTGGGTTTGCTGCTTCTGCTGATCCAGGTTAGTCGCCCACGAGGGTTCGAAAAGGAAGAATTGAATCTCACTTCTATTCCCTCTAGTCCTTCAAGCACGACTGTTTGCTTATCCGGATGCGGCTCGTTATCGTCTTGGTGTCAACTACCAGCAACTTCCAACCAACGCAGCCAAGGCACCTGTTTATTGCCCATTTGAGAGAGATGGTAGAATGAGATTCGATGGAAACTATGGAGGGGATCCAAATTATGTGAATTCTTCTCTTCAGCCAACAAGGTTCTATCCCGAAGTCAAGGGAGTAAGCCCAAATGTGCTGAGCTTGCATACTGAGCACGAGAAGTGGGTAGGTGAGGTCACCACCTACACCAGTCACATGAAGGAAGATGATTTTGTTCAGCCTGCTGCTTTGTGGGAAGTCATCGGCCGTGAACCTGGACATCAAGACCGAACTATCGAAAACATTGCTCAGAGTGTTAAAGAGGTCAAATCACCCAAGTTGCGAGATGGAGTATACGGTTTGTCTCACCCTTTAAGTAGTGCGTGATGGAAACTGACCCTTTCATAGATCTTTTTAGTCTAGTCAGCCTGGACCTCGGGACTAGAATCAAGCGTGCGACCGAGGCCTTAATCAAAAAATGAGGAGGTCTTCATAAACTTCATCAGTTATATATATTTCCTAGAAGTATTTTGACTTTTGACACGCAAAATGGAAAATGGTTTTCATCAATTCGATGTATTTTGGTCCCAGTAAATGCTTACACCACGGTATCCTTAGGCCCACATTCATCGTCTTGTAATCTAGTGTATCAAATACTCGCACGACAAACTTCCTAAAGTTGCACCATTTTACCACGCGAAAACTGTCAATATGCTAAGCAACTAATAAAAGATGGTCTTCTAACCCGTATGTTGCCCTACACAGATTGTCAAGTATGATTATCTGTCAGAGCAATGTAACGCGAGAAGTGCAGTGCCAGCACCGAAAATAAAGTCAAATTCAATCTCCTTTATATATAGCCGCCATCATGACTTGCTGCATAGTATGTAATTGATACAAGGGGATTGATTAGAGGTAGTCTTTAATGATCTCGGCCGTATTTGAGAACTGAAAATATTTTTCTGCCTATTCAGGCTATATATCCCCTCAATGATGCCGGGAAAATTAGTCCAGTGATTTCCATATTTCGGTATGGTAGAAGACACTTCATAAGCGTCTCGATATGACTCCCAGTGAGACTCAATAAAGGCACGTTTGATCTATATGTGCATATGGTGTATGGGTAGTTGAAAAGAAGAATTAATGGATTATATAGTGAACAGGGGTTAAGAATAATATTAGATTGTGTGAAAACTATCTATTAACTGGCGCTGTGCTGTCCCCGTATTAGGCAAGCATGTGATCCGAGCAAGTCAAAGTTTGACGTTTCCCAATGACAGCGGCGTATCATTAACTAAATCCCAACAGCTCGGATATTCCAATGATTTATGTCTACACTTCACCCAAGCACCACACTCTTTATGTGAGTCCATTGGCGGAAGGCTCGTCTCGAGTGATTGACGGCAAGCAGCCCCCCTTCCCCTCGAGCCCTCAGTATTCATAGCAAGGCTGAACAGGCCCTATTCTCACTCATCCTGCCCAGCCAAATGGAGCAACAGATGATACGCTATCAGTTTTCTTCACGCAAGGCCAAGCTCTGGTCTACCTGTCCCGCTGGCATGGAGCGACGAAACATCAAAAGCACACTCAATCAACTAGGCAGATTACTTACAAAGGGAGACTATTGATCCGACCGGGTCATGCCGCCCGCCAGTGGAACTTTGCGATGAGACACTTTATATGATTGTGGAATGGATTTGAGGCTACAGATGATAATTTTTATTTGTCAAAAGTAGCTATGTTTTTACAGAGAACTGTAACTTCGAAGCTAACAATGCAACTAGTAATAAAACCAACGCAGTGAGAAAATAAAAAGCTCTGAAGGTAGTGCTCATCATATTCTTGATCATTTCTTTCCACTGGAGCTTTCTACGCCGCAGTCGTCTTCATCGCGGGTACTGTGGAAGCGTCCGATCCTCGATGGATACCAGCAACCGCACTCTTGGGTACAAATCGTAGGCCGAAGACAATCATGCTCAAGATGAGTAGCCCAACAAGAACACCTAAGGTTACAATTGCCCCGATGACACCT